CACACATTTCTAGTCCTTCAGGAGGCCGAGGGTATCACGCCGCAGTTTTGGTATATTCGGTCGGAGTTACGCCCAAAAGATGTAAAATTGGCAACCTTACTGAGTCGAAAAAGAGGCACTGAAAAGCGAGAGGACAAAAAAGCGGTAACGAGTGTTGCAAGTGCCCGTAATTATAGTCGGATTGCACGATCAGCGAGTTCGATATTTAGCGGTTCACAATTCAAGTTCTCAGGCTGTTATTTTTATTATGAAAACATCAGCTATCGTCGCGCTGCTTTACGATGCCAACGTCCTAATTTGGAAGCGACTTTAAGTGTTCGGACTAGATAAGTCCAAAGCATGAGCATACATGAAGCCGAGTGGGCGCGGCCCACCCCCGAATGGTCTGGTGCCCACCCCAGGATGTTGGGCTAACGATTAGTTGATAGTACTTACTCATGATAAGTTATGATAATCGCATCCCCTCGTGACTTGGCATGTCGGGGACAGGGGCCAGGCACCCTCTCGAAAATAACCCTAGATACGCCAATAATCCAAGTTAATGTATAGTACAGTAGAACGCCGATTATCCGAATTAATTGGGACCGGGGTCGATTCGGATAATCGAAAATTCGGATAATCGGACATAGACTGGTAATAAAGAAAAAGCATGTTAAAAACGAACTGTCACACATAGAATAAACTTCAATAACTGTGTTTACAGTTCTATAATAACGCTCAGTTGAAATATATGTAGATTCCTGCGCGTTCCAACTTGTTACACGGATACAAAATAAAAATTACTTGGTTTTAATTTTTTATATTACGCTTAGGACCGATTCGGATAATTGGCGATTCGGTTAATCGGCGTTCGGATAATCGGCGTCCTACTCTAAATTTGAATTTTGTCACCTGCGTGTCGGCGGTGACGTCGGCGTCCTCGGGCTTGTCGGTGCTGAAGTCGAGCGTGGGCAGGTCGCGCCGCCGCCCAGCACACGCGGGGCTCTAGGGGACTCCTGTAGGCGTGTCTACAAGAGACAGTCACCTGCGTGTCGGCGGTGACGTCGGCGTCCTCGGGCTTGTCGGTGCTGAAGTCGAGCGTGGGCAGGTCGCGCCGCCGCCCAGCACACGCGGGGCTCTAGGGGACTCCTGTAGGCGTGTCTACAAGAGACAGTCACCTGCGTGTCGGCGGTGACGTCGGCGTCCTCGGGCTTGTCGGTGCTGAAGTCGAGCGTGGGCAGGTCGCGCCGCCGCCCAGCACACGCGGGGCTCTAGGGGACTCCTGTAGGCGTGTCTACAAGAGACAGTCACCTGCGTGTCGGCGGTGACGTCGGCGTCCTCGGGCTTGTCGGTGCTGAAGTCGAGCGTGGGCAGGTCGCGCGCGCCGCCGCCCAGCGCCCACACACGGGGCTGTTTCACGCGATCTTCGTTCTTGGGGCTCTTGGGGGACTTCCTGGAGATAAAGTTAAGTCAAATTCTCCCCGAATTACGAAAAATATATTAGAGGTCACCCTTTTATCATTATACTGTGGGCTGGCTTTGTTAATTTGAATGGAAGAAATAACGTTTCTTTGGCACCAACCAAATATGGAGACATTTTTATGCAGCACAAAACAGGTGGTATTTGACTGCAATCGCACCTGATGTTTAGTCAGATGAAGTCCTATTACTTTTAGTTTAGGTCCAATATTATAATGTGGCAATGACATGGGCGAACCTAGCTTCTGATCAGGGTGGGGCAAATCAGACTAGGTAAACTTCCATGTTCTCAGACACTTAAGATGGAACCATATGGTAAAGGGGCTACTGCTCTCTTTTAATGAATTATCACAAACCACAAACAGTGAAATATTTTAAAGTTTTTAATTAGTAACTTTGTAATAGTATTAAATTTTTTCCTAGGGTTAATGAATAGTATTTTTGTAATAGCAACATCATAGTTTTAAGCCAAAGCTCTACTTACTTGACATCTTTCTTGACGCCCTTCGAGGCAAGTTTCTGGGCCAGTTTAGCCCTGTTGGCAGCAATCACATCATCTTCTATTTCAGGAGACTCCTCCACCTTTCCATTGGTCATATTCTTATTTTCTACTATTTTCACTGTAACAAAATTAAATCATATTTTGCAATTAAAAACAGTGTTTCTGTTTCTTCTAACTGTTCTATTAAACATACTGCGGTTTTATTAACATTATACATTTCTCAAAATTCAATGGTTTTCTTATAAAATGGTTGATATAAACAAGTAAGTATGTTAGAAAATATTTTAAGGATTCATCAAAACTATAAAGTGCAAATCACCCAAATGTTAAGCCTCTTCCTACTTTCAATGACCTATATTTCTATAAAAACATTATAGTGACAAATTGACAAATAATAAATTATATGATGAAAATTATAAATGTAAATTAAAATTTTTAATTTATAAATCAAGTCAAGATTTGGCACATGTTTGTTCCATAAGAAACTAGTTTACAAACAGGTTTATGATATCAAAATAAAATATGTTAAATTATGCAATGAGGAAAACACACAGTATAAAGCCAAAAGCATTTGTATGTCTGTTTTCCTTGCCTCATGATATATCCTAAGATACTTGACATTTTAGTAAGTAGTAAACTTAAGTGCAACATTAATTAAAGTACAATATAGAAAACTGTGTACATTCTTAAACAACTTGTTCACCAAATGGGAAGCAAATATAAAAATTGTATTTGAAAAAATATAACGTACCTGACTTCTTAGTACTCTTTTCTTCTCCCTTACGTTCAATCATAGAAGCAACAGTCTTTTTCGACTTTTGAGAGTCTTCGAATGTTCTCATTTGTTTTGGAATCTTAGCTTGCGATTTGGCTGAAAATAAAAAGGTACAAAATTCAGTGTAAATTAAATAATCAAAGAAAGCTCTGAAATAAATGATTTGTGAATACGTAAATTAAAATTGTTTGTTATGCAAACTTTAAATTAATCTTATAATTCTATTTTATCTTAGGTCTGAAATCAGGATCATGACTCACCCCATACTTCACATCCCTTCAAGATTTTGTCAAATGATGACTTAAAATCGTAGTCAACAAATATACTGCCGCCGCCACCTTGGAGATCATTCTTGTACTTGTCTCTAAACTCCAGGTGCACGTCATTCAGAAACTTATCCACGTACGACAGCTGCAGAATACGCTGGTACGCGACCACGAATACCAGCTCAAACTCGTTATCGAGCTTATACTGCAGCGTAAGGGCATTATGGTTGAAAGAGTTATTCCCCGTGCGCTCCTGAAAATTTCAAAATTTCAATTGATCACTGCCCTGCAATTCGTAAGAAACAATGATTGACTGTGAGTTCATGCAGCTGCGGTGATCGATTATAAGGAAATCGGACGTACCAGCTGGCAAATTACGATAAATCAAGGCCAAAAGGGCTTCGCGAACTTACTTGTAAGATCACACTGCGAATTAGTGCATTCACTGATGGCGTAAAAATCTCGCTCGTACTTTGAAAACACCATAGGACTATGCCCCCCTTACTGAAGATGCTGAATAAGTCCAACATTTTTTATAATAATGCAAAATCACTTTTACTGACTAAAATCTTCGCAACTATTTCATCGACGTAGAAATGTGTATTTGACACACAGATATGGATTAGAGTAGATACAGCAAGTTGATCGTCAAAGCGTGCCATTCCGATATGTCCAAATGGACATACATGGTCGAGTGATGTTCATGTAATCCGATTACAACAATCGGTTACGATGATTTTACGAGGACAGTAGTACGACGAACACGGTAGAAGAAATTATTTACGGATTGAGAATTGTAATTAACAGCACAAGTAACAAATAATTAATTAGAATAAAGTAGCAGTAGAAGAAGTATAAAGTAGCATTGTTTTTAATACATATCCTGCGATGTACTCTTAAGAGTTAAAACCATGGTCCCTGTATGTGGTGCACTCATACCGATCCCAAGGAACCGTACTTAGTACTTACTCATAACAATAAGACACACACTGATGCATGTATTCATGCACTTGACAAATTTATGTCTTGAAACGCTGGTAGGGTAAAAAAAATAACGAGATCAGACGATTTGTAAGAATTAATTTATTTTAAAAAGGTAAATAAAGATGTTTTTGGTTTTGTATTTAACAAATTATCAGTTTTATTGGAATTAATTAATTTTCGAATCGAGTCACACGATATCATTCGATGAGTTTGCAAATGCAGTACGATGATACGATTACTTTTACGTTGCGGCAATCACTAAAATTCGCTAAAATGACACTAATGACGTTTAAAAAGTGGCACGCTCGGCTTCATACAATTTTTGACACATGCTGCATCTATCCATATCTGTGATTTGACATAAAATTGACACCTCACAAAACAGTCGTTCAAATTCTGTTAAAAAAATGTCGGAATCGGAAATGTACATTCAAACATAAAATTAATTTAGTAAATTTTTAACACATCGATTTTTATTGAAAAATTAACATCTCCAATATTTTTTTATTAAATATTACAATAAAGTATTTTTATGTTTATTCACTTTCTTTTGAACGGCCTATTTTTTTTTCACGGCCTAAATTTATTTTGTCTATGGTGACAATAAAAGTATACCATGTCTAAATTGATAAAATGTACTAAATCATGATGTAACTGTAAAACAATGATTACAAAACTATGGGTACAATCGTAATGGATATTATTGTATTTGACTCCCCAAACACCTTCAAACAACAACAAATATCAAAGTAGTCTATTGGCATTGACCACTGCTGAATACTTATCCAATACTTAACATATTAAATAACGAACTTGCTGTATTAATTCAGTTATATTAATTCAAATTTATTTATTACCTTTAGCATAGTTAAATTTACATGTTCATGTTTCTTTGCGAATAAATGAAATAATTAGGACATAATATTATTCTGTCAATAATTCAGAAATATGTACACAATTCGTACAATAATATTGACTGGTAACACAGCTTTTGTATAAAAAAAGTTTAGGTTTGTCTATGATAAATTTGTCAAATCATCGTTTTATTTGTGCCTGTTTCACGAAATATCTGTAATTTTGAGCAATAATTATTTGAAATAATAAATTAAGTGATAAATAATCAAGATGAATATAACGTCAGCCGCGGGGATTATATCCCTGTTGGACGAACCAATGTCCGAGGTAAAAGAATTTGCTTTGAAGAGGTTGGACAACATCGTCGATGAGTTTTGGCCTGAAATATCGGAGTCAATCGAAAAGATCGAGATTCTCCATGAAGATAAGGTGTTTTCTCAGCACCAGCTCGCCGCGCTAGTGGCCAGTAAAGTGTATTACCACTTGGGTGCATTTGAGGATTCACTGACGTACGCATTAGGAGCTGGTGATTTGTTCGACGTGAACGCTCGCAACGAGTATGTGGATACGACGATTGCGAAGGCTATCGACTTTTACACTCAGAAGAGGAAGATGCTGTTCCTGTACAATGCTGGGGAGACGATCGACCCGCGGCTGGAAGCCATCGTGAACCGGATGTTCCAGCGCTGCCTGGACGACGGCCAGTACCGCCAAGCCCTGGGCCTGGCGCTCGAGACCCGCCGCATGGACATTTTCGAAGAATCCATCATGAAATCTGATGATATAGCTGGTAAGAATCCTTTGTTTAGTAGCAAGTTCTTTGTTTGCCAACAATAAACATGTTTGTTGAAGTACTGTCTTTTGCATGCATGGTATTTTATACTCAAGAGGGTTCAGTTAAGGTTCTTATTTTATAAATTGCTCAATCATCATGATTTTCACCTTTGATTAATGACCTATTTCTTATTGTTTTTTTAAAAGCTCCATTTTGTACCCAAAGTAGGTAACTTTTATTTCACCATTATTTGCACCAACTAATTTCTTTTGTATGGGATGTAACTACTGAGCTCCCTATTCTGGTGTCTTGGTAGATGTTACACATTATACTCAAATGGACCAACAGCTTACTATACTATGCCCTCTGAAATATAAAATTAATCATATTTCTAAATGTTTGTTAGAGATGTACTGGCTAGGTTGAATCAAATTGCATTTAGATCTGAATTGTATCAATATTGAGTTTTTTCATGAACACCAAGGCTGAGTTGCACCACCTAACTTTAACTGTAACTATAACAATAAATGGTATTTTTTGTATGGCGTTCGACAGATTTTTTACATTAATTGTTAAAGTTAAAGTAAGATTTGTTTCGATGAATTGAAATAAAATTATGAAGATAATGTCACAATCATCTACCAAGTTTTTAAATAAGTCCTATAAACATTTTATTAAATTTTGCTGTTTTTTTCTTTCAGGAATGCTTCAGTATGCCTTCACTGTTGCGATGAGCCTACTCCAGAACAGAGGCTTCCGCAGCACAGTTCTTCGGTCACTGGTGGGTCTCTACAGAGGTCTTAACATCCCTGACTATGTCAACATGTGTCAATGTCTTATATTTTTGGAAGATCCTCTTTCAGTAGCAGAAATCCTTGACAAGCTAACACATGGGCCCCAAGAGTCAGTCTTGATGGCATATCAAATAGCGTTTGATTTATATGACTCGGCTACACAACAGTTCCTAGGAAGAGTTTTACAAGCCTTGAGAAGCACCGCTCCAATACCCAGTGCACTTGGTGGGAAGCCACAACCACAAGGAGGACCATTCCCTGAATCTTCAATGGAAGTGGACCAGGCACCAGCTGAAGAGACAAAAAAACCTGAAAGAGACATTGAAAGTTTGAATGATGAAGAAAAGGAACATCAAAGAAGAGTAGAGAAGCTGATATCTATTTTAGGCGGTGATGTTTCTATCGGCCTACAATTACAATTTTTAATCAGATCCAATCACGCTGACATGCTCATTTTGAAAAACACCAAGGATGCCATCAGGGTGTCCATATGCCACACAGCAACTGTGATTGCCAATGCATTTATGCATGCCGGAACAACTAGTGATCAGTTCCTTAGAGATAATTTAGAGTGGCTAGCACGAGCCACAAACTGGGCGAAACTAACAGTAACAGCTTCCTTGGGAGTCATACATAGAGGACACGAAAGTGAATCCTTAGCTCTCATGCAATCTTACCTGCCCAAAGAGGCTGGACCATCATCAGGGTATTCTGAAGGTGGTGGTCTATATGCTCTTGGTCTGATCCATGCCAACCATGGTGCTAATATCATTGACTATCTTTTAACCCAGTTAAAAGATGCACAGAATGAAATGGTACGACATGGTGGTTGCTTGGGTCTTGGTTTGGCTGCTATGGGAACTCACAGACAAGATGTATATGAGCAACTGAAGTTCAACCTGTACCAAGACGACGCCGTCACCGGTGAAGCAGCCGGCATTGCCATGGGTATGGTCATGCTGGGATCGCGTCACGCTGCGGCTATAGAAGACATGGTTGCCTATGCTCAAGAAACTCAACACGAGAAGATATTGCGTGGCTTGGCAGTTGGTATTGCCTTTACTATGTATGGGAGACTTGAAGAAGCTGATGCTCTTGTTCAGCAACTTTTGAGAGACAAGGATCCATTGTTGCGTCGTGCCGGATGCTACACTATCGCTACGGCGTATTGCGGCACTGGTAATAATAACTCCATTCGCACTTTACTCCACGTAGCCGTTTCTGACGTCAATGATGATGTGCGGCGTGCTGCAGTTACTGCTCTAGGATTTTTACTGTTCAGAACACCAGAACAATGCCCATCAGTTGTATCTCTATTGGCTGAATCCTACAATCCACACGTTCGTTACGGTGCTGCTATGGCTTTGGGAATAGCTTGTGCAGGCACTGGAAACCGTGAAGCCATTGGCCTCTTGGAGCCTATGGTGAAATTTGATCCTGTAAACTTTGTTAGGCAAGGAGCTCTGATCGCCTCTGCTATGATTCTTATTCAACAAACTGAGGCTCTTTGCCCGAAAGTAACTTACTTCCGCCAGCTGTATGCCCAAGTTATTTCTAACAAACATGAAGATGTCATGGCGAAGTTTGGCGCCATCCTGGCCCAAGGTATCATTGATGCTGGAGGCCGCAATGTGACTGTTTCACTGCAGAACAGGACTGGCCACATGAACATGCTTGCTGTTGTGGGAATGTTAGTTTTCACTCAGTATTGGTACTGGTTCCCACTTGCTCACTGCTTGTCACTGGCTTTTACACCTACATGTGTAATTGCTCTAAACTCTGATTTGAAGATGCCACAAATGGACATCAAGTCTAACTCCAAACCATCCTTGTATGCATACCCTGCTCCTCTGGAAGAAAAGAAACGTGAGGAAAGAGAGAGGGTTACTACTGCCGTCCTGAGTATTGCTGCAGCCAGAGCTCGCAGGAGAGCGCATGGCACTGAAGGGTCTGCTAGCAGCGTTACCTCGTCAACAACCTCCAAAATGGATGTCGATGAAGAAGAAAAGAAGCCATCTAAATCACCTAACCCAAACATTACTGTTCATGGAAAAACTGATAAGGATGCTGGATCATCCAAGGAAACTAAGAAAGAAGAAAAGGAAGGAGATGAGAAGGAAACAAAGGAAAAGAAAGAACCTGAACCGACATTTGAGATCCTTAGCAACCCCGCCAGAGTAATGCGTCAGCAACTGAAAGCCTTGACAATTGTTGAGGGTTCTGGCTTTACACCATTAAAAGAGCTCACCATTGGAGGCATTGTCATGTTGAATCACTCTGGAGATCAAGAACAGGTGCTTGTGGAACCTGTAGCAGCTTTTGGTCCCAAGACTGAGGAAGAAAAGGAGCCTGAGCCCCCTGAACCTTTTGAATACCTTGATGATTGATATAGTCTCTTTGGTTAAGAAATTTGCATCAGTTATCATTAGGACCATATTAATATGAATGTGAAATGTATTGAACAAGTTATTGATAGAGTAAAATATAGAAGTACACTGATCACTTGCTAACTGAAAATTTAATATTGTGTTTCTTCCTGAAATAAATAATTCTTAATATTACCAATGTTTCATTTTAAACTAGCTTCTATCAATTGCGTGTCTTCCTTCCGAAAACCGGCATAAGGTCTATCCTATATTTCTCCACGGATTCCATCCTCACAAACTATGATATAAAGTAAGATCATCTAGGATAGGTACTACAGAACAAAATTTATAACTTCGTACACGTAGTATTTTTTTCTGTTCAGTCGCCTAGTTTATCTCATTTATCCCAAGAGCTATCTGCAGCAAACTATCATGAAGAAACTTTCCATTCGCGTCCATCTCTTAGCCGACTTATTGATCCGTATCACAATGATGCTCAGCTTCTTGCTCAGTGCTCAGCTTAGAGGAGAAGGTCAAGGATGAGGAGACGTAAGCGTGGGTACCGACGGAGAGCCGCGGGGCGGGTACGGCGAGGCGTAAGTTATAATCACAGTATATATGTTATAGTCAAACCTCGAAGTTCCGGCACTCCTAGGTTTGACTAGTCAATCCTCAGGTCTGACTAGAAGACTTAGTCAAAGCCCAAACATTTCGGCCTTTGACTAAAGAATGTTAGTCAAATCTAGGAGTAACTAATTTGGTCAGGCAAAGGTCGAAACTCAATTTAATGAAATCGGGGTTTGACTAGTCAAACCTCAATTAAGACTTTAAACTAAACTATAATTAATTCTGATCTCGAACTTATTGCATAGGCGTTACGACAGTCGGTTTTCACGCGCACGCGCAGCTCTCTTTAGGTGAAGGTACGAGTAACTAAACTTATACAATACTGAGGCTGTTTGTCAGTGTTTCTAGATCGATCTTGATTAATTATTACTAATTTTTAGGGATCTGTTACCTAAGAGGATATAAAGAGTTTAGACCCTATTATTATGACTTCGCTAAATGTTGTCTGTCACCAGGCCCGTATCTCATGAAAATAAATAAATACTTAATTCAATAAAATACTTAAATATTTAAGAAGGGCTCCCATACAGCAAACGTGAATTGTTGCAGTTTTCTACTCGATATTAAAACGTAAACAGGTGAACCCTTGAAATACTCACATAATATTTAGTTGCATATCTATTTTAAAAATAAATCATAAAATTAAAATAAAATTAATATTTATGGGGGGCTCCCATACAACAACAAAGTCTCACGGAACCCTTCGTGAGCGTATCCGACTCGCACTTGGCCGGTTTTCTTATTTGCCGTCTACTTTTGACCGAGTCTGCCAGTCGTTTCTAGGATTGACTAGGCAAAGCCCGTTACAGATTATTTTAGTTTCGACGTATGACTGAACATTTTAGGCACTTCTAGGTTTGACTTAGTCAAAGGCCGAAATAAGAATTCACTTCGGGGTTTGCCTGAAGGCCTTGGTCAAACCTAGGATAGCCCAGTCATTCCGCGAAGAGACTGCGTATCGACCTTTGACTATGACATATATATGAGNCGAGAAATGTATGACACACTAACGACTTGAGCGGTGTTGCGAGGCAAACCGACTTACGCGGTGTCACTAAAATTCAAATTACGGCTTCTTATTGGCTGAAATCTATAACATGTGACCAATGGTTAGACGCGCGATGAGCAGATCTATCCAATGGCATTAAAATGTCAAAACCGCCAAAAATCGACTTAGGCGGTGTTGTTAGCTAAGGGACGAAAGGCAATATTTTACTCAAAGATAATTTGACTGAAACTTGANTATTTAATCATTTTTACAATTCAGAATTATTACGAAGTTTAAAAAATTAAAGTTCTGGTTTTGAAGATGCCGAGTTCAAGCAGCCGTTTACTACGCAATACACTCGTGCGTGGCATGTTTTGAAAAATACAGCGGACAGTGCATGCAATAAAATTATTATTAAAAACACAACGCGCGCGACACTCGCGACGGATGGACTGCGAGGTTCGCTTAGAGCTCGTGTAAAACGTGCGTCTGTGTGCGTGAGTCTGATTTCGAGCGTTTGTATGAAGCTTCCGTACTGTTTTTATCTACTGTGTTATAATGTAGGTGTAGTTGACCATCCATGTGCAGCGCAGTTTGGGAGCTTGCTTTGCTTGTCCCGGAAGAGGCGATTACTTTACAATTCCGATAAATGTGCGATACCTAGTTCCTACTGGGACTATCATACAAAAAAATTCAATTTGATACGATGACGATCGCTTTCTAAGTGATATGCTCAGGTGATATGTGTGCTTCGTCCTTTAGTATTTTTGTCTGTGATTTTTCTCTGGAACCCAGAGCTTTTTTTTTTTTTTTTTTTTTCATATAAATTTTACGGCTTTGGATAAATATCCATACGGCCAAATCTTTCTTGTAATGCACTGTGTTTGGTAAAGCATCTCAGTGTTTGGTTCTATGTTCTTCTGTGCGTCTGTGTCTATTTTGTTCTAAGTCTTCATTGTGGTCTTCATAGTTCTATTGATGTACTAGTAATGTACTGGTAAATATGGAGATATGAATTTTCGTTGGCTAGTAAGGATGGCAAGAGGCGGGGAATATTTCCATCTTGGTATGTCTTTAGTAAGCCACCCACTAGCAGTAGCCTCTCCATTTTAAAGGCTGGACATTGTAGAATCATATGGTCTAGNGTTATTTACATGACGATTGAAATACATTTTGGAATCAAAAAACAAGCCTAAAAATTTCTTTTCTCCTACTAAACTAATATTTACATTGCAATATTTTACATTTAAATTTACAAAATCAGAATCATTTTTCCTACTGAATACCATCAATGAACTTTTTTGTGGATTAATATCTAACTTTAATCTTTCTTTATAATATAAAAACAGAAGATTCAGGGACTCATTGAGAGTTGCTTCAGCTTCTGATATATTTCTATTTCTAGTATATAGTACAATATCATCTGCATATTGTAATATAGATAAATTATTTACAGAAACATATTTGTGAAATTCTGCTGTATACAAGAGATACATTAAGGGAGAAATACTCGCACCCTGCATTACACCTTTATACGCTCTTTGATGACCGTGGAGGGTGTGGTTATGTTTAATATACACTAATCTAGAGTTAAAGAAATTGAAAATCCACTGGCATACTTTTCCGGGAATATTGTAACTGTGTAAAATTTCTACTAAGGTTGGCAAATCCACATTATCAAAAGCACCACTAACATCAAGGAAAACACTTACTAAATAGCTATGTTCACAGAATGCGTCTTCTATATCACCGCTAAATTTTAAAAGGCTATCAAGTGTGCTTCTGCCCTTACGGAAGCCAAATTGATCTGTTGGCAGTATTAGTCTGGATTCTACATAAAATTCCAACCTGTTCTTCAACATATTTTCAAAGACCTTTCCTACGCATGATGAAAGAGATATTGGCCTATAAGATTCAGCCGAATTAGGGTCTTTATCAGGCTTTAAAATCGGCACTACAGCTATACTTTTCCAAGAAGTTGGGATGATATTGTTCATCCATAAATTATTAAATATAGATAGTAAGATTTGCTTAGCTCTTTTATGTAAGCGTTTTATTAAAATATAAGGAAAATCATCAAGCCCAGGTGTGGTATCTCTTCTACTATCTAAAGACAAANGAATGCAATAAAATTATTATTAAAAACGCAACGCGCGCGACACCCGCGACGGATGGACTGCGAGGTTCGCTTAGAGCTCGTGTAAAGCGTGCGTCTGTGTGCGTGAGTCTGATTTCGAGCGTTTGTATGAAGCTTCCGTACTGTTTGATTTATCTACTGTGGTTTTATCGTCAGTTTTTGGTCAACACTTTCTAATATTTATTGGATAACATTTCCACCGGTTATTCTCACAATACTGCACACAACGTTCACTAATTTGTTCATTTTAACCAAGTTTTACATTTTTAAATCGATAACAAATACGGAGCCAATGTTTACATGATGGAGGCGCCATCTAGTTTGTTAAATGATAGTTTGTTAAATGTCTAGTTTGTTAAATAAATATTATGATGCTTTTAAATAAAACTTCATAAATGTCTACTTTATAGGAAAAACTGAAACCAATTTAATTTTATTTATTTATTTAACCTTTAGCTACTGAGGTGGGGGCCTGGGAGGCCCGTACATATATGTGCAAATATTTAAAAAATATAATCTTTTTAGGGTTTTATGGTTAATAATTATTAATAGTAGTTATATTCAAATACAATAAAACGATTTTTATGTAAATTATTTGTTAATAAGTAGGTATTATTTCAATATTTAGAAAACATGTAGCATTTTTGGCAAAAATTTCATAAAATCATGATTCACAAAGTTATCATGAAAAATATTCATAAATTCAACAAATCAACTTAGAATCTTAATTTTCAATAGTCTTTTTAGCTAATGATAGGTATATCAGTAATCCTAATATGAAATAGGGGGAAAAAAATTACACACATCAAATAGTACGAATTAAACACAGTCTGGATAAACTTGCTTTGCTCAGTGAAGGAAGCCATACATGTTTTTAAAATGTAGATTTCATTTGAATCTTCAAAATACATACAGGGTCCTTCTAAACTAGCTACATTCCTTTTAATGGGGGCATCTATACGGTACACTGAACAAGTTCACCAAATTTGAGTATGTGTTTTATAATGATTTTACAAAGTTACATTTTCTAACAAAAATAAAAATTCATTTCGTCTTACATAATGGAACATTCTGTATTTTTTACTCACACAACAAAGCTNACCCAGAGCTGTAAAATAAAAAATAAAAAAAAAAAATAAAAAAAAAATAGTCTATGGTCTCCAGTGACAACTTTTTTTTTAATTGTGACATTTTTCAGCTAGGGTTGTCCATGTTTTATGAATTACATTGTTAATTCAAACGATGTCGATATTACTTAGAAAATCGATTATTATATTCTTCATCATCATTGTCATCATTATTAACGTTATAAAGTAACTAAAAATTCTGTTTTGAAGTTGGCTTCATTCTATTGATCTACAGAATATCTTATTTTTATAGCTTATAAACTTCATTGTGCATTGGTATTGTCGATTTGTCGCATCGATATTTATCGATGAATCAGATGATCAACGATCGCCATTACTTGCCTACCCTAGTTTTATACGAAAGAAACAGACATTTTGCATTTTCATTCAGGTTATAAATTGGAAACGTGCGTGTTTTATTCATAAAAACAAATAAAGAAGAAGGTTTTTATAAAATTACAAACAATGGATTGGAACTTGAAGTATGGTGAACTTTCGAAGGACAAAGACTTCGTAGATAACTGCGAGAATTTGAAGGAAAATTTGCAAGAGGTCCAGAAAGTCTTGGATCAATTGTTGCCACTGAAGGAACATTACGATAAACTGGAGCTTCCGGCGCAAATTGAACTTGATCTATTCTTGGCGTTCACTCTCAATTCATTGCACTGGGTCCACTTGCGCATTCAAGGCATAGACCCTTCCAAGCATCCAATAAAAGATGAACTTCAAAGGATAAAAACAGTGATGATGAAGTGGCAAGAAGTTAAAGACAAAGAAAAGCGACCAACAGTGAATATTGAAGCTGCTAAAAGATTTGTGCGTAGTGGACTTTATGATCCTTACAAAGCTACCGCCCAACCGCAGAATAAAAAGACCAAATTTGATGATTAAAATATCCCAATAAGCCATGTCCTTTTTTAAGACTGAGTGTAATTTTAAACAGATAATCTATGATTGATTATCTTTATATTTGTGTTATTATTGCATGATAAAATGTTAGGATAAAATAGGTATTATAACTATAGAATCTTATTACAAATTACCATGTACATAGTTTTATAGTTTAATTAAGCTTTTGTTTTAGTGGCATATGCTCTCCAATGAATAAGTGCTATTAAAATAAAAGACTTGTAACTTTTTCTCATACCTACATCATAATTTAGCAGGGTTCGAAAATATCCGATATTTATTATAAATATCAAAATATCGGATATTTATGATATATATCCGATATATATCCACTTTGATATATATCAAATTTGTATGAAAGCTATACTATTATTTTATTGTATTATTTATGAATACCATTGCATATGTGTTACATAAACATGTTTTTAATGTTTTTAAAACTTAAAATCAGACAAATAAAGCAAAAACATAAAATCTTCTTGTAAATACGGCAAAATCAACTAAAAAACAAAAATCTTATGTGAAAAAGTACAAATACAGTTACAAATTTTACAAATTGATATATATCATCAAAACCGGCTGGATATATATCGGATATATATCCGATATATATCAAGATATATATCCCTTGATATATATCCTCGAACCCTGTAATTTAGGCTAGGCCACTACATTGAACTTGACTATTAATTTGTATTTAGATAATTATGCCTTAGTTATTGTTCAAGTCATGTAAATAATACTATTTATTATAACATGATATTAATAAGGTTATAATCACAAACAAATGACTTTTCTTCAGATTTCCTTTTAATCCTTTTAATTTGAACAATCATAAAACGATCTTCAATATTTTCAGGAATGTAGATGTAGTAGCACAAAAACAGTATCTTGTAATAAAATAAAAACCTTAACCAAATTCATAATAAAATAATTTAAATACTTATACATATACAATTCAATAACTTATTCATAATTTAGTCAACAAAGCAAGCAGTCAATTCCTTAAAATTAAACTTCAATAATGTTGTACTTGAAAACAGAGGCAAGTCTTCTGAATTGCTAAATAATGACATTGTTCTAAATGTGATATTATAAATGGCACAACATTAAGTATCTTAAACATCACAATACCTTGAAATGGAATGAATATCATATAAAGTAATAATAAAGTATAAATATTATGTTATTTGTAAAAATGACCTAGATTCACTTTTCCACCTGCAACACCAACCCAGCAGCCGAGATATTATCTCCTGCTCCCGCGGTAAGCTGTGCCTCTGTACAAATTAACACAGGCGCAACACAAATATCTACATTCTCATTTTCTACCACTTCTTCCCAACAAGCCACAGGTTGCGACGGCTCAAAGAACACTCTACTGTTGTTGTCGTTGTCTGCTGTTGTGGAGAAACTGTCATCAAGCAGCAGCTTGCTTTTGTCCAGTGCAATGTTTTGGTTGTTACACACATACCTGTGTGCAGTTAGGGATGCTTTTGCAGCTGCAGCTTTTGTTCTTTTCCAGTTTGAACTTTTAACTGTCAATATAGCTTGATAAGCTAGAGTGTGCACATGTATGCGTGTTAGTTTTCTTTTGCTCCCATGTTCTTTGTTCTTCAGTCTTATGAGTCTGAATATCTTTCTCATTTGATCCAAAGCTGTAGCCACTCTTGGATTTGAGTCTGCCACAACACTTACTTCCCCATATTCGAGCACACTGCATAAATTACTGAGTTCTTGTTCATTCATGCCAACTGAGTCCACATAAGGCAGAACTTTAGTTGTTAAATGCAATAATAGATCTAAATCCACATAACTAGCCATCTCAAAATGAGCCAAAGTTGTTACTGGTTGAGATAAAATTTGTTGTTTGACTAAATCCAGTCTTTCAGCTCTCAAATCTGGAATGGAAACATTTTTTTTAGTAATTTTAAAACAATGGTCTATTTAACTATTGCTTAATTGAAATGTGTTTAGTATGAGTACCTTTTTTATCATCTTTCTTGAATGGATAGTTGTCCATCATTTGTAATCCACTAATGACTAGTAAATTAGGATTAAATTCTGGCAAGTATTCACCAAACTTCTCTAAGGAACTAAGTAAAGGGTTATTTTCATCATTATGCATTATGTATCTGTTTGCTCTGGGCGCTGTGTAGATGCCAAACTTCTCATCTGCCTTATATTCTAATATCATATGAATATCATCTTTCACTTGTTCATTTTCAGAGTTACCAACTATTTGTATTTCATCAGGAATGTATGACTTCAGTTTTTCACTCATTTTAGCAGCAAAGAGTACTTTCCATCCCTCCATATGGAACCTTTTAGCCATGAGAGGAGCATTGCCACCGATAGTCCATCTTGTTCCAGGCAACTTTAGAGCCTTTTCAATCAAATCGTCATACAATTTAGAATTTGACATAAATCTCCTGCAATTATAAAATAACACAAATTAGTAACATCATAAGAATAAGACATTTATTTATACATTTTAATGTACAGATACTTACTCAGCTGCTGCTCCATGTTTGAAGAAATAAGCGAAACTTTTATGGAATTCTTCATTATTGGTAATCTCATTAAAATGTTCTGGTGTGCCTTTTAAGTATTTATAATCCAGCAATGATGTAGCGTTTACGAAGAGGTCATGACACGCACCATAACCTAAGGCTACTTTTGGCTGTTGGATTCCCGACGCTACCTGGTTCTCGCTCTCCAAATGTAGCATATGGTTCTTCACTGGCGCCAGCCTGATATCGCCAACATCGCTTTTGCGAAAGTAAACAGCGTACAGAACGACACAGAAAGATAAAATAGACCCCAATTTCACCGGAGCACCAGCCATTGCAATGATACAGTTATTTAGGGAGATTATAAATGGAATGCATTAATGTTTTATCTGGTACTTTGTTCAGATCCACGTCACATTATATTTATACAACTGCTTTGTTAAATTTTATTGCTCGAGATAAAAAACATCACGGTCGAGTTTACCAAGATACCGAACGAAACGACACGACACCGATGTCCATTTTTTTGACAGCAAATTGACACATGATAACTGTCAGAACTGTGAAGTGTTCTACGTTCCGATCATGAAGCTATAGATAAAAATGGAGGCCACACTCCGAATACCTACTTGAAGCACAACCTATGTATCACTATCTCGCTCTCTGTGGGCAGACTCTCTCTTTCTAAATAAACAAAAAATATAAATTTGCTCAAAGTCAATGAAACTCAATGTAAAATCTTTATTTCTTGACATAGGTATCATTACATGATAAGTGTAAATACTGGTAAAACGTTTTAGGAAGAAATTACTGTGAAAAATGTTTACAATGATCCAATGTCGGAAATCACGAAATAAACACTTACGCGTGGAATCAGAGGTGGAATTGTGTAAAGCAATCGTAATCATTTGACAGTTCATATCGTACGATTGTTCTGTCAAACGCTTTGTTTAACTGACTTTATCGTACGATATGAACTGTCAAACGATTACGATTGATTTACACAATTCCACCTCTTAAGTCACTTCCGGGACACCACGTACTACCGCAACCACGCACTACAAAATTTTGCACCATTTCTTGTGATAAAACAATGATTATGTCCTGTAAAAAATCTCAAACGAAATTAACTGCATAATAAACAAAATAGTAAACAACCGCCATGATGGGCCGGATTGGGCCGATGTTGCCACATGGTACCGATTACCCAGGAATTGGGATTGTAATTCCCTGATTCGCCAACACATTAAGCCTAAACGGCCGACAATTTTGTGATTTTTAATTTAACTAGGTAATCTTAGTTCAAATATTTAATTATTTATTTGTTTTACTTCTGATTTGGTTAGTGAATTGGCTATTTCGAAGAATTTACTAGGAGATTTAAATAAGGAGATAGCAATACTACAGTCCGGGCGTTTTCAAGGCGAGAGTGAATAGGCACTTACAGGGCAGATATGTACCATCCTAGACTGCATCTCACTTAACACCAGGTGCGATTGCGGTCAAATACCTGCCTTGTTCCCAGCATAAAAAAAAAAAAAAAAAAAAAAAAAGTCCACACTAAAAAGAGAGGTCGGCCCACAGAGAGCGAGATAGAGATAAGTAGGTATTTGAGTCAAGTTGTTGTTCCAAGTGTGCCCTCCATTTTTATCTTTAGCTTCATGGTTCCGATTCAAACACAAACGTGCACGCACAGTTTTTAAATTACGAAAACGAAAATAAGTTTTCTTTCGACGCAACGACTAGAAAATAAATATTTAAATGTTTAGTTGTTTTTAGAGAATTAAACCAGTATTCCTCTATGTGGCCCACATACAACTTAAAAAAAATATACCTCGGTTGGTGAGAACCTCCTCTTTTTGTTGAAGTCGGTTAAAAGTCACCGGGCATCACGAACCGACACTTTTTGATTAAAAGTAGGTATTGAATGAATATTAATTTACTTAACATACTTTAGTATCCTACACATTAAATTGCCCACATAATTAGGTCACCGTGGCGTGGGATGTTTGTTTTACGAAACTGGAAGTAAAATAATTTACATAAATAAATACTTATTTATTCGGGTAAATAACCGCGATATTAAAAGTTTTACATGAATTACTCACACAAAACAGCTTTCAGTAGGTACTAGCGTGGCCGCACTTTAGTTTGTCTTCAAAATGTAGAGCGTAAATGAGAAACCTACCTACCTATTATTTCGTTAAAGGAAACTTGATAGGATCATCCAAAGGTTGATAATGGAAAAAATAATCGTGATGAATTTATTATGTAAATAAGTACCTACTTCATTACTTTCCAATATGTTTCGAAAGTAAAAAATCCTTCCCCAAAAGGAAGAACCGGTTGCGTCCAAAAATGGGAGGACATGAGATGTTAAGAGCTTTGGGCGTAAATTGACCCAGGGAGAAGAACATTAATTTCAGAGTTCACGTCTTGCATTTTTTTATCTTTGTTTCATCACATTGCCTTTTTAATGCGAGAGCGACACAAATAAACAAAATGATAAGTGAGAAGTTATCGACCTGACGCGGTGGCGCAGTGGTGCTTGCCTGAGCTTAGGGGTTCTAGGTTCGATTTGCCGTGCGTAAGGGTTTTAGTCGTAGGTTAATATAACTTTCCGGTACGTGTCGCACTAATGGCTAATGAATTTAAGCAAATTGATGCAAAAGCAGCTAGATTTATGTTTTAATGAAAATTATAGCTTAGCCTGCAATATAAAAAAACCTACCTATTTACTACCCAGTACTAAGAGTGGATAAATTACTTTTACCTTTTTGTGCAATCGTGTAATCTGATTAAACTCAAAACGGTTGAAAATAATAAACAATAGCAAATTAAATGACTCCATACCCGGTGTTAAATACATTTTAGGCAAAAAAGCCGGATTAAAAAGCATAAAGTGCATCCGAATAAGGTAGTCACGTATTGTTGCCGCCAAAATAACGCAGATGAAATCAGTATGCCGTAACTGTCTGGCGCCGGTCCTCGAGCTGGGTGAAGCGACTACGGAAACCAGAGACTTTTTCATTCGGCCGTTTCAGCCAAATGACGTCCACTGCTGGACAAAGGCCTCCCCCAAGGAATTTCCTCAACGACCGCATCCAGGCACCTCCCGCGACCTTCACTTCGTCTCCACCTGTGGGGGGCCTGCCCACACTACGAATCTTTTTACGGCTTACGGGCTTTTTACAGCCTGACAAATTATAAGTCATTAATGCTAGGGTTATTCCAGGTTATCCAGCAATGGTATCGATTGAGGTGGAAAAAAAATTAACACTTGACCCCTGTTGGCACTGAGTGTTGGCATGACGAATTTAGAATTTCTGATTGTATCTAATTACTTTTGCTCTTTTACTGCGTTTTCCGGTCCGTGGTCGCCACTGGATAATTTTTCTGCCTCAACGGCCACCTTTGTCCAGCAGTGGACGTCTTTCCAGGTTGAAACAAAGCATGTGATTTAATTACCTTTTTACAGGTTTTAAATATCAACAAAGATAAAAGTGTGTTTTAGGTAGGTACTTTGTCCCTGAAACAAGTTTCCACATCGTATGAAACTTCAGGTCGCTGCGCCTCTAGCTAGAGGAACGCAAAATGAACTTTACTCTTATGTAGGACTTAGGACTTAACTTACTCTTGTTTTGAACTGGGACTAAGTACAGAATAATAAGATGCAGGTAGGTATCTTGTCAAAATTTTACGCACTGCAAAATGTGTTACTGGCAAAGAATACTTACTTACTTAATATTTGGTAAGACAACTTTTTTCTCAAGTTCCAAGTTTTCGCAGGCACCGGAGGGTCCGCAGCGCGGGCGCGGGGTCGCGTGATTCATGCCGTGAGGTCAGGATTTCCAGTTCGGGTGGTTGCCGTATGCCATTTCACTGTTTATGTTCGTAACAATTATTAGCACAACATACGAGAGCGCCTCCCTTGACCTTTGAGCAAAGGTTGAACGTGTAATTAGACTACGTTATGAAATCTTCCATACTTAATGAATGAAGACAATTTACGCCCTTAGGTTGTGCAGGTCGTTTCGATCGAGGAATCGTCCAATTGCATTTACAAATTAGGTTTGAGTAATCGAAGTCTTTGAAGTTTTATTCAGTACAACCTACTAACCTAGGTAATAAAACCTCAGTAGCTACTTATTTGCAATAAAATTTCACTATACCAAATTTACTCAATTGTCATAAAAATAATGATTAAAAAATGAAAGAAATAAATACCTGATGCAATCTATTTTAGGTAGAGTTTAAAAGCTTGCTTTGTAAGCGTGAGCTATAAAGCCAGTATAGATAGGTAGTATGATATTTTTTACCTTTCTTACGATTTTCCTACCTGTAGGTAGGTTCTAGACACGCTGTAGAATAATTTCTTCAATAATTAATATTATTAACTCCTAGTAAGTATTTATTTTTACCTTAAGCAATCATCGTAAGTTTTTGCGTTGCCGACCTCGCATCGCAAAACTGCTATGATGATTAAATCTACATTTAATTTGCTATAATTTATGATTATTAGATAATTTCTTTAAGTCTACAAGGTAGGTACGTACCCTGTTTAATACAGCGATTACCTTATAACTTACTAAAGATTTTACACATGTGATGCGATGCCAAGATACCAAGTGGGTACACTATTAATTACCTACGAATGTCTACTTAGATTTTGTTTTTATTACGAGCGTAAATATTGAATGAGCTTGGTAATGCATACAAATTGGTAAAAATGGAAGTATCAAACAAAATATAAATTCACTAGAGTTGAGAGTGTTTCAGTCATTGCGAAACTTTTTTTATTCGTTACCTACCTACTTAAATTAGATGTCGTACATAAGTGGTCACTGTTTTGGTAGAAAAAAAATGTTTCAATTAAAATGTAAACGTTAATTTACGCGAATGCTGCGACTGAACATGGCGCCAGTGACTGTGAGAAATACCGATTAAAACCCTTGAAAACTAGCGCGTTGAATGCATTCGATTAAGTACTTAATCATATTAGATGAAGTACCGCATCATATTGCTATTTATCATACGTATTTATTGAATTTCTAGTATTAAAAACAAACGAGTTAATTGGTTAATCTATTTGTAGTCCGTCTAGCGTGAAATCTTAAGAATAATGCTGTATCTTCAAAAGAATTAACAGCCCGTGACGCGCAGACGCGTGAAAAAAATATGACCGACAAAAAATATTTATTTTCATTAAATATAACGAAAAGAAGATAAAATTCATAGTTGGGAAAGCTATGTAAGATTCTCGTTCGTATGTTTGAGAAAAAATATAACTGGGTAAGTATAGGACGAACGATCTACAATACCTGCTGAAATACCTTTTTCCCGGCTTTCCTATCGAATATTTGATTTTAAATTGGCTACATAAATAATATTCTGTTTAAAAGTTACGTCATCTTTATCATTTTACATTGTTTTAATTTAAAAAACATCAATGAACGACTTTCATTGATACAAAACGTCGATATAATTATTTAATTGGGGCCAAACACATAATCATTTAATTGTGAAGGAGAAATACTACGACTAATTGAAGTGGATATCTTACGTGGGAATTGGAGTATTGGACAAGCTGTAATTACGTTTAATATAAAATAATTGTTATTTTTCTACTACGAACAATCTACAATAGTTTAGAGTTAGAATAGTGAGATCTTTTCAATGTAAAGAGAGCTATGTTATGCAATAATATGTCAACCCACAAAAAATCGCATATTGAGATAGTGCCATCTAGTTATTGTTCTCGGTACTCTCTACGTCTGAAAAAATGGACAACATCGTATGTATTCCATAAAACGCCATCTAGTTAGAAAATTATTTCTGCAGTTCACAAAACTATTACTATACAGTTTTGCAATAAGCGATCACAAACCTGTCATAACGTGCGCGGTTTTTCTGTAGCTTGAAAAATACAAAGTTCTTTGAGTTTCAATAAGAAAATAGGTTTAATTCAAAGTAAGTGTTATGTACATAACGTTTTAATAATGATGATACATAAAGTGTTGGTTTAAAGTTATATTTAAAAGGTTTTTTCTACTTGTGGCAACGGATACGAAGGTAACTTGCAAAATTTTTTATTAGTAATTAATTTCTGCATTACAAACATTAATTGGTTGTTAATTTTGTTTCCTCTTTTATATCAAATGAGTGATTAGTGTATTAAATAGGTGATTTACTACCAAATTAACTATAATAACATCAATATAATTCACTGTTAAGTTTAACTGGTTATTGCAAATTAAATTTTTAAAAGTTGTCGTTATTTTTAGGGTAATAGGGTACATAACGTTTTTGTATTGTTTATTATTATTAAGACAAATTAATGTTTCTCTGTAAGTGATTGCATTGTAATCTTTTTGAGAAATAAATATCTTTAACCATTAAGCTATTATTCTAGGTAAAAATTCAAACCTATTACGATTGAATGCATTAAAAATGTTAGAAATATCGTGCAAAAGAACTGTTTTTCTTATAGCTATGAAGCAATTGATTTTTTATTATGTTGTTATAGGTACCCATTTACCATGAACTCTAGAGCACAGAAGTTAGTTGCAATGGCTTGTGAGAAGCATTCATCTAATGAAAAATCGGACTCTGAAGAAGAACCTCTCAGAGATATTTTAGAAACTCACGAAAGTGAAGTAACCATGCTACATCGGTTAAAAAATGATCCTCTTCTTAAGCTTCAAAATACTGCATTTATATGTGACCCGAACCCTAAAGATACCATAACTGAAACAACAGAAGATTTAATACATAGCCCTAGTTTGATACAATTAGATGATTTAGATGTTGTTCAAAAAAGCCTACATTCCACATTTTTTAATTACGATCTCGAAGGGAACGAAATCATAGAAGAAATAGAAGTCGTGTCTTGTAACAATATACATGGTAACCAAAATAATGAAAATGACATGTTAAATACAATTCTTCATGAAACTGAAACTCAAGATATTTTTAATAATGACTACAATACTCTAATAACTAATGGCAATAATAATAGTAGTACGGACATGATCACACAGTCAACTTCTACTGAAGAGAATTTAGAAAATCAATCCAACGTTATAAATAATACGGAAGAACAAATATCAAATACTGAAACTTCTGTGGCAAAAACACAATTAGAAGAAAATGTAATAGGTAGACCTAAGCGCGGTAGGAAACGAAAAATCGCAGACCAGTCAAGAAAAGAACGGAAACGAAGAGCTAATGTAAATGTAAAATATATTAATGCAAAAGGAAAAGAAGTATTACCTAAAACTTTTGATCAGACTTTCTCTTGCGGATGTAAAAAGAAATGCACCGAAATAATTTCAGTGGATGACCGAAAAAGGATATTTGATCAGTTTTGGTCTATTGGGTCATATGAGGGCCGATGTGCTTATATTTGTGCAAACGTTAAAGAAACTAATAAATCTAGATGTTATTCTACTGAAGATTCCAAGAGAATGGTTTCTCGAAAATATTTCTTTGATGACAATGAAATTTGTAAGAAAGCGTTCTTACAAACCTTACGCATTTGCCAAAGTAGAATAGATGTTGCAATGAAGAAGAAAAATAGTGCATCCGATTTAAAAGATAACAGAGGAATAGCTAGTGGTGGAAATAATAGAACGAGTGAGGAAAATATCAAGAAAATAGTTGACCATATTAACTCCTTTCCAAAGTATATCAGTCACTACTGCAGAGGCAAGACTAATAGTCGTTATTTGAACACAGATCTTAATCTTTTCAAAATGTATGACTTATTTAAATTAAAGCATTCAACTGAAGAAAATTTACCGACTCTTGCAACTTATAAGAAGATATTCTATGAAAAATTCAATCTGAAATTTAAAGCTCCAAAAAGCGACACATGCAAGACTTGTGATGCTTTTGCAGCCAAGCTGAAATTATTAACAAGTGTAGATGCTGAAGAATTAAAAGAGAAACGCGATGTGCATTTAAGTAAAGCTTCAGTGCTCAGAGATAAAATGAATGAGGATCTAAAAATTGCTTTGGAAATTGAGTCTGTAGAAACACTTACTTTTGACATGCAAAAAACACATCCACTTCCAAAGATACCATCTAATATTGCTTATTACAAGCGACAATTGAATTTGTACAATTTGGGAATTTATATCGGTAGTAATAAAAAATCTATTTTTAATCTATGGCTTGAACATGAAGGTGGTAAAGGCACACAAGAAGTAGGATCCTGTTTGCGAAAGTACATTTTAAATAATATACAACATCCAATAACGGAACTGATTTTATGGTCAGACTCGTGTGGGGGACAAAACCGCAGCATTAAATTAGTCCTCATGTTGATTCATACTATGCAACATCACTCATCGCTTAAGTCGATTACAATGCGATTCCTTCTATCGGGCCATTGTTTCTTGCCTAATGATGCGAACTTTGGTGTTATAGAAACTCGACTGAAAACGCAACAAAGACTTTACACATTAGAAGATTATGCTGAAAGCATTACGATGAGTAAAAAGCAAAAGAAGTTTGAGGTTACGCGAATGCTATCGCCCGACATGCTGTCTGTTGAACTATTAGAAAAAGCTATTACTAATAGAAAAGTTGATAGCGCCAAAAATAAAGTGAATTGGCTAAATGTTCACGAAATTGTAATGGAAAAGGATTCTCCCCATATTTTGAAAATAAAGAATGATCTGGACGAAGAACCCCAAGTTGTCAACATTGAAAAGGCAGGAAAAGGTCGTAAACCCGTACTGAAGAATATTGATTTACCGGGACGTTGGCCAAATGGAAAGAGTTTAAGTAAAGAAAAAATAAAAGACTTACGAGAGTTATTAAAGCTTGTACCTGCAGACGCCAGATCTTTCTATGACTTTTTAAAGGGTGCTCAGGGTGTAACTATGGAAGAAGATGTAGATGGTTATCATGCTGAAGACTTTGATAATGTTTCTGAAAATGATGAAAACTGATTTGTTATTTTGGGCTATATTTGATTTTTTAAGAGTTTCTGAGTTTATGACTTTCGAATTCATACTAATAGTATTAAAATTGTCATTTGACTGTATTATTCAAGAGCAAATATTGAGGAAACAATTGTTGCTATATTTTTTTAAAATCGCAATAACCCTTCAAATGTGTTTAGAAGATTGTTGCATTATTTTAATAATGTCGGTTTAGGCGATTTAGGCTTAAACGTTTATTGCAATAAGTCCAATTTCTTGATTTCATTTTGCAATAAACAAATTATGAAAAGAAAGCTGTTTTTTTTATCACACTCAAAATATCAACTATTTACACTATGTTACAATCACTCCCTACAATACCACCGAACTAGCAAAAGTCACTTCACTACCCAAACAAGGTAAGGTTATTTTTTAAATCTGCAAAATTCTTTGACCTTTCATTTCTCAGGATTTGGTTTTCTGGGGTTGACATGTTATTGCATAACATAGCTCAGATTCGAGTAAGTAAAGGTCTGTTTGTGCCATTTTTTCAACTTGTCAGTAAATACCCTAAGCATTGGTATTAGTTTTATTAGTTAAGCATTTATTTTGGTTTCTAGAGAGAGATCAAGTTACCTATATTGTAGGTAGGTAAAGTTTCTGGGATAGGGACAAGAACAAAACTTACGATTTTTTAAATGAAATTGGCAAACAATTTACTGAAATGAAGGTATTAAGTAGGTTTAACCTACGTTGGAAAAAAGCTTTCGCGGGCGCAATTAACGGAGGAAATGTAATTAAAATGACTGTATGTGAACACAAGAATGTAAACTAAAAACCTCTTGCATTACAAATGCCATTAAAACTCGAGAAAATATGATAAATGACCTATAGACCACGTTCTAAGTATCACTGACCGGGTTTTTGTTGGAATTTTTTGAATTACAAACCTTGCAGACAAGCGAGTGTTCTGCAGTTGAGAAAAACTTGTATGATGGAATATGTGTCGTGTATCTTGTTGGATAGAGGTGGTGTGGTGTCCTGTTAGCTGTAGAGATGGTTGGTGATGTTAGAACTAATGTCCAATTAGCGCAAACACTAGAGTTTTCTTCAATGAAGAGAGAATTCTGTTACAAAGACGCGCGTTTTTGCGCGAGATAGGTGCGCTGGCGCTGCTGCTGTCTGGCTAGTTAGTGAGGTGCTCAGTGAACGAACTCATGAATGAAGTCGTGTGGAACACGAGAAGTAAGCGCCGTGAAGATTAAATGATGTTATTCACATCTTAGCTTGGATGCTTTTGCGTTTCGTGCGTCAAATTAATTTTAGTTGAAACAAGCAACATTGTTAAAACTAGGCGACTTCGCTCGGAAAGTTAAATATTAGGTAAAAATGGTCTTGGTATAGTCTTGATTTGCGTCATGGGTAAAGCTGTCACCGCCATATTTGGAGCACTGCTACCTGCACCTGAATTTCAACCTGTTACAAAAAGTCCCGACTCGCGGAAAAGCTTTTTTGTAAAATTTATGGCTCCAAATAACTAACTTCCATACACACAAAACCCTCAATCAATTCAATATCAATTTAAATCTCTAACACCAAAAGTAATTGGAATTGGTAAGTTAATCAGGCGTGAAAACCATTAGTGTAGAGTCACTATTATTTGTTACAAATATCAGTCATTAAGTGGTAGGCACCTAACCACTTGCTGACACGTCGTTTTCTGCTATGATTGTACATCGTCATGATCTGCGCTAAAATCTCAAACCAAGAGCTAGAATTAAAACTATAAAGGCAAATAAGAATTTAAATAACTAATTAATTAACATGGTAATGTAATGGGCTAGATAAAAACTCTATGCTACCCATGTGCGACTAAAGCACGAGTTAAATTGCATTCTTTTATCTAACTTATATCACCTTCGCAAACTTATGTAATTGGATCCATTCATAAAGTAATATCTTTAAGCGTTTCAGATATATTTGACGGTGAACTATTTCAACTCCTATTCAAAGATTATTAACGTTTGAAATCACAAACACTATTTACTCCGATAGTTAATTTTAATGTACGCAGTTTGTTACCTAAGACAGGGTCTAGTAGGCTTTACAAAGTTGTTCTTTCGCTTGATAGTTTTGTTCGTAGTCTTTGTTGCTTATACAATAAGCGTTGAATCCGTGATAATTTTTATGAGACAGCTGTAGAGTGGTTTGGTCGTTGTCAGGTTGGTTCCATCCTTTATATGGGAAATCTGCATCATTATGCAATAAGGGAGGGCGATAAAGTTAGGGCTCAATACTACACACCTGAGTGAGTAATGATTGACGCCGAGCTTGGGCAAGTGTGACACTGACATAGGTTTACCTAAAAGAATCGATGAAGATGACGAGACACGGCTCCAAGTAATACAATTTTTGTTTTCAACGAACATCATCCAAATCCAAAGCTGAAGAACTTGAACTTTATGTTTTGTTAAGTGACATTTCCAAACGACTCTATATTTCGGGAATGAGACTTTCGGATTTATCTGTTTAAAAAATGTATTTCATAAATATTTTTTTAAACAGATATTAATCCGAAATTTTTTAAACAGATATTAAAAAAAAAATGAAATCACAATAACTATTATAGATATTACGAGTATAATGACAGCCCTAACAAGTTTGTGATACTGAAGATGTACAGGGTGTCTGTGTAACTGTAACGGACACTTTGGTAAAAACTTAAAACAGCCCAGCAGACCATGTTAGCTATACGAAGCACAGGAATTTTGAACGTGGAAATTTAAAATTCTTTTTTAGAGTTAAATCATAAATCTAATGTAGGTACTCATCGAAATTAATTATTGAATGTAATGAAACACTTTAATTTTAGTGCAAGATAGATAGAGCGGCTTGAGAATGCAGTTTAATTTTGTCAATTACTTACACCCTGTGTGTAGTCACATTAAATCTTGCCGTAAATGTAGAAATTCGACATAAAGTTATCAATCAGTAGATCTTTTAATCTCGGAAAGCCGTCATAATATATTTCGAGTCAGCGCGTATGGTCCTAGGCCATTTATGGCGATTGGCGAAGCTGCCGCTCGTGAGCACACGATTGACTCACTGCGTTAAGTTTAAAATTATTTATTTGTTGACAGTACAATAAGTAATGTCTATTAATGGATTATGAGTAATTTTTAGGTCGAAGAATTCTCATAATATTTTAAAAACATTAGCTACATTATGGCTCTGAATTATCCTTTAGGGCTGTATTTCAGTTACAATGTTTTAAATAATAAAAAGCTTTTAATATATTATGCGACACTGGCAGCCCTAAACGTCTTTCCCAATTGGCCACACGTTCACCATTCCTAATACGACAATGTCAGGTGGACAAACCCTGTAATTTGGCAAATAGACCACAGCACGTGAACTGCAAAAGTACGAGCAATTTTAGGACCTATGACCTCTCAATAGAGGATATCTCAGCATCTGACACGGGCAAACGTAAAATTGTTTTATCGGGAGTGTCACGACGTGTGCAAAAGCTCACGATCAATAGATCATATTGTATTTCTTTATAAACGCTAACAAAAATGAGCGCATGACCATATCCTAACCTGCCATTATGGATAGCGTTAGCGACTGGCAGGCACGTAGCAATTTTTACTGGAATAGAAAACTGTTTTGAGCTTTGGAGGCGTGGGAATACGAGCTTTTAATAGAGAACCCCTACCATCCAACACTAGGGTAGACGAAGTTAGTAATTTGACCTGACCTCTATGTAGGTAGGTACCTAAGTGGTTGATAGTGGATTTTATGACCGGATTTGACTTAATGGGAATTTGTTTACCTACTCTGAAAGCTCTGCCTATTTTTTTACGTACTTACCTAACATCTTTTGGTAGCTCTACCACAGAATATTAATCAGGCTCTATGTAAAGTATGCTTAGATTTTGCATTACCTTATTAAAATTCGTGACTCCACCGAGATTAGTGTCCCCTTTTTCGGCTAAACAGGCATTTTAAACACAAGTTACGATATAATTAAGCATTCGTAAACGTTGAAACACGTTAATTACAAACGCAAATAGCTGCCTACCCACATAAAAAGTTTTAGCATGTCTAAGCACTAATTTGAATTTCGTATTCGCGCGTCATCGACAATGAGTAAAAAGTTGTCGATGAGTAAGCTAGATGATTGAACATCTAACTAAGACAGGTCCATAAATCCTTACCATCATCTGACAGAAATCAGTGGAATCGTGCAGTTCGAAATAGCACTTTATTGGAAAGGGTTAGAGTTGAAGGAAATGCGCTGTATGCTGCTTGGTATGTAGGTGAGGGTTAGGATATTTTTCTCACACTAGATGTCAACGCGGTCGGCGCAGGCGCCCGGCTTCGCGCCTCCCGCTGCGTAGGCGCAGTTCACAGCCTTACCTAAAAGCTAATATGGAGCGTTATGGTTTTTTCTAGATTAAAATAGTTTAAATTCAAATCCAAATTCATTATTAGTGTAGGTCCTTCCTTTTTAGCGCACTACAAATGTCGAGTACCTAGGTTAGATTGCCCTAATACCATTTCTGGCTGGTGCTGAGACGTTTTGTTTCACAGTTAAAATTGAAGTCCTTATTTTTTATTGTTATTATATGATTTATTTCTTACTGAACTGTTAATAATGAAAGTATTCATTACATTGTATAAGTAGTAAATGTAAAAACCTAGACTCCGAGTCAGGCAACAAGCAGAATTTTCTTTCTTTTTCCATTACCTGAAAGAAAAATGCGTCAGAAAATTAATATATCGTTAAATTTACCAGTCTACACTATGCCTTATCAGTGACAAAACAAAATAGTAACATATTACGAGTAACTAAACCTTCCAATGCACATTTATCTTTAATTGATCACGCATTACACGGCTCCAGTGCACTGAGAAAAACCTTAACTCGCAGTGAGAGGCTCTACCTACTGAATAAATAACAATAAATAACATATTTTAGCGATTTATCTGCTACTTGATGATATAAAACGTCGTGTTCATATTATGTTTATGATTTGTTTATAATTCAACAATCTTGTAATTTGATAAGATTAGAAGTTTTAGTCGTCGTTCTCACGAGCTTTAAACAAGCTTATTTTGCGCGCTTTTACATCATTCATGTAAAATAATTAAAAGAAACTCGATGGAGGGTAAAAATTTTAAACAGCCTAGTAGAGGTAGAGGCGTTCAACGACTCTAATCTAGCAGCTCTATGTCCTATCTTATCTCCGAATAATGCAATATCACTAGTGGTAGAGCTCACACAGTTTCAATTAAAATGTAAGGCAGAGAGCCAGAGACAATATTGAAATAAATTAACACTGTGTCTAATATATTCCCGATCCTAATATGGCTGCAAATATTATCTACCCGCGGCAATTAACGACTTAATATCGCATAACGTGTGGCATTATAAAACTGGCATGTCTACTTTAGTATAATACACAGTAATTGAAAAAAACAACTCCAATGCCCTTTTAACACCAAAGGCCTCATTTAAGACATGTCACACAGCCCAAGTTCTTTTAATTATCCGTAATTACGTTTGCGGTTTCCATATTTGTGATAAAATGTCTTTGTGCCATGTTAAAATATTTTTAAAAATATCCCCATATTGGTGTGATACCTTCATAATCGTTTTCATTTTTATGTGTAAGGGAGTAAGTAATAAAATCCACCAACTTGATTTTGTTAAAAGTTTACAAATCTCCTAAGTTTAAACAAATACGAAAATGCTTAACTAGTTACACTTAGATACGTGGCTGTTTATATAACACTAAGTGAAGAAACTAAAAAATATTTAGCTATATAGGACTGCGAATTTTTAAAATGGTTCATAGCGGTGAAGTAGTTAAGTAGGTACATCCACGATAGGCAGCCACGATGCTGTTATGAATATTTCATGCACCGTCTGACCACCTGAGACGAATTCATTCCACGACACTGCAAACATTATCCGGTGTAAGACCCGAATTTATCGCCAAAAACGAAGTCCATTGTACCAACCGAAAAAGACATAAAAGTCTTCGGAACTTTTTTGCCATAACACCGTGTTCGGCCCACGACACCGCCCGCGCACTTTGCACAATATTCAAAAATGTCGACCTGCATGACTGACGTCACACGACCTTGCAATCGTGATTATTATTCGTAAAAATCATCCTACACATTTTGGACGGAACATAACTTTTATTTAGGCATGAGCTTTTTCAGGAAGAGAAAATTCTTTCGAGTTCGCGATGGAATCTGAAAATTTCACTATTACAGATTAATGAAGTTTGACATAATTTGTGTTTTCGTTGTCTAATGATGGTCCTTCGAGCCAAAAAAAGTAACAAAAATCAACCTACCTACCGAATTAAAAGATAACGTAGAGTCGAGTTGAGGAAAAAATAAATTAATGTTTTTCGAGAAATCTGTATGCATGAGAAGATTATTCATTCAATGACGCCTACGCCTTTGATGTCTTACTCATTTTCTCGCTATAGTATTGCTTTTATATTAATATAGTTATAAAAATAAACTGCATTATGCTGTGAGGTAGGACCCGTTTTATCTTTGACCCCTTTACAACTCTCAACTCATGTTACCATGAGTAATTTTGTGTATTCTTCCAATATTAATTCAGGTTAATTGTGTTGTTTTCTTGTTAATTTTGACGTATTACTTAAATAATTTTCCTGTTAGATTTATAGTTGCTATTATAAACAAGTCTGCAATTTTACGATACTTACGTAAATCGTTCCTAAACACCTTACTTAGGTACATCTTATTCATTGATAAGACCGGTAACTATATCAGTAGAATTTGATTGACAATCTAGATATAAAATGACTATATTATTATTAACTAAGTTATAACCTAAACTTCGCAAACGATTCTAATAAAATTACAATAACATGTCCTTATCTGGGTACCTCACCTAATCCAATGATTGAGCTTAAATCAAGCACCGAAGTTGGGACTTGTATTGCGTTGGCATCTACTTACATACTATGTTAGGCTAAAAATGCAAACTTATGCAATGGACGTGTAATGCTATAAAGAACCAACGAGCAGTATCCCAACTCTTGCCCGTTTTGGTTTAAGCGGATTGCTTTCCCACCAAATACGGAACGAATGACAGTCCACTGAGTTATGTTATTAAATGACATGACATACGTTCCAGATGCGACATCGGCTTACCCACATATCATTTTGATTTTCGGTTGCGTTGATAGTGGCATAATGCTGTCCATCAAAGTGTTAGTAAATGGCGGATTGATTAAACTATTCCCATTGCTAAATTGAGAATGTGCGATCGCCTTTAAAGGAAAGTCTACTTAATATGTTGAAATAGGAGTAATCAAAAGCTTATTGAAGACGCACAAATTATCCTGGATGGCATTCTTGGGATGGGAAAGATGTTCGGTTGATTAGGGCAATGGCAAGATCGGGTTCTGAGTTACATCGATCAACACAAGCATAAAAAACTGTTTGGATTGCAGCGACTTTGCTTCGTAGGTATACTGCTGAAGCATCGAGTTATAAATATAGTATTTTTTACCTACTTAAGCTCTACAGTGAAAGAAGTTAGGTAAATTGTTTTAGTTAGGTAAAAATTATAAAAATAATTCGTACCTACTTACCCCCTTACTAATAAAAAGTTACACAGTTGTTGAACACTGTTTTAAAATGACATTTCCATACTAAACGTCACTTTAAAACATTGTTCAACGAGCGTGTAAGTTTTATTAGTAAGGGGGTTAGTGTTTTACTAAATAGTGTCGTACGACTTTATGTTAAAGTATCATCAATTAAAAGTATCCTAGCTGTTTGGTAATCTTTCTAAAGATGTAAGATCTGTAGAAGGCTCCGAAATTTACGCCTAGAACATCATCTGAATGACCTAGCCAACGGGCAGCATGGCAGAGCTTCATTGCATTTTATCAAACATCTTTAATCTAAGATGTGCCACATCGACTGCACTTATGTAGTCGCCTCACTCGTAGTCGAGCATTACCAATTTGATGATTTCGACGATTAACTTTGGACGTGGGTGTCTCCGCTCTTGAGTTCAGCGAATTACCAGCATGAGATTGTTCTACGCGAATCTCATCAATCAATCAGTGCAATTACCAGAGCTTTCTTTTTTTCACACAACTTTGGGACATCGCATAACTATATGCAGTCCTCTGTTTGTTTTCGCATCTTAATTTTCATGCAAGGTATGGATACAGGTGAAACTACATGGAATTTTTATATTTTTTGGATTTTAACGTAAGAGTGTCTCTAGATTAGTTTGATAAGTAGTTAGGTAGGTACATTATCGTAGACAATATTTTTGGCAGGTTAGCTAACTTGAAAGGAAGGGTAGATAGAAAATATCAAGATTCCGGAGTAATCATCAGAAAAAAAGAACTTAATTTGTCATGGACCTTAACAAAAAACTAAAACGTTTATCCAATAACAACTTGCCTTTAGAACAATGAGAGAGATCGATCCGCGTGGGTACATAGGCGGAGCTGTCGGCTTGCTGACACAAGGTTCTATTCTCTTTGGGATCGTCGCGAAATGGGACTTTGTTGGCGAGACCTGGCCCACGCTTCCGGAGGCGATGATTTACATAAGTGATCATTCCACATCATTGGGCAACTTGGGTACGGGAGCATTGGGCAATGAATTTTGGTCATTTCCTTTATTATTCTACGGAGTTTGGCATGTAGACGAATGTCCTGTTCCTGACGATGACCCAGTTTCCTGAGCTGTTTCTTTCTGTAACGCAGTATTAGAATTAAAATGTAGGTAAGTTTTGTTCTTTAGGTCGTTTATGTGCGCCTCTTGTGTCAGAAATATATATATATATAAATCATTACTCTACTAGAACTCGGTTTTACAAGTAGGTAGTTATCCAACTTATATATACTTTTTATGATAAATACCTACATGCATTAAGTAGAGTCAAGCTAATTTCTTATCAATTTCAGGCAGGCATGTCGAGATTCTACAAATTAATAATATCCCTCTCTTATTTTTCTAAATATAAAGTTTATTTTGCTGCATAATGTAGAGTCCTAATACCAAGTTATAGAGGCATAAAGTAACATCGCGCCATTTAGTTAGAATAAACTCTCTTAGTTGAAATAGTAAGTCCTAGGTAGAGCAGGTAAGTAATCCTGCCTGAGAGAATTCTACCCTGTAAGTATGTTGTTTTTATATAATTATGTTAAATTGTAGTTAAGTAGGAAGGTTTCTATCCAGAGTTAAACCATAACAATTTATATTAACGCTTTTAATAATTATTTTTAATTGATAGGCACAAAGAAGCCAAACGAAGTCGCAGAAAATGCAAAGTGACTCGAGCTAGTTTTGGTTCTTTTAGCACAGAATAAGATCACGACAGAGAACACAAAAAATATGTTTAAAATTAGAAATTACAGTAACAATAACAACTTTTATTATAAAAATAAATAAATCTCAAAAATACATCTTTCATAAAAGTAAAATAATAGTTAATATTTGTAATATGGCAGAGTGAATTACAAATACCTAATTTGATAAAACATCAGTCCCGTGAGCTGAACACACATCACTTCACTGTCACGCAAATGTCCTGTCGATGTACTCGCAGTCGAACTCCGCGAAGAACGAGTCGAAGGGCGACAGCGAGTCCTCCGCGAACTCCGACGTGGTCTCCTGCTCCAGCTCCGTCGAGAACTCGGACAGGTCCGAGCAGAAGGGCGAGGGCCAGCGCTCGGGCCGCGGCTCGGTCTCGGAGTCCCGGAGGGCGGCGGAGAGGGCCGATATGTAGCGCATGGCGAGGCGGAGCGTGGTTATTTTGGTGAGTTTCTCGCAGGGGACGGGGTTGCCGGTGATGGCGGCGGCGGGCACGGCGCGGCGCAGCGTCTCGAAGGCGCGGTTGATCTCGCGCATGCGACTGCGCTCGCGCGCGTTGGCGGTCTTCCTGCGGTACTTGCTGAGCGGCTGCGGCGTGCGGCGCGCGCGCGGCTCGCGGGCCCTCGCGGCGCGCGGACGCAGCTGGTACTTGTCGTGCTCGGGCATGGAGTGCGGAGCGCGCGGCCGCCCCACGCGACGTTGCCGCCCGCGCCCGAATTCCGCTTGAAAAATACGCTCACTCCGCCCACTTGCCCCGCTCCGTTCATGTACATTCGCTATCAAAACGCTTATTCCTTTACTTACCGTCAATCGAACGATTAGTCACTATAATGAAGAGGTACCTTACTTGCTTTCGGATTTTTGTCACTGGCGAATTACCCATAAGCAAATTGCTTAGAGCATCAACGTCTTGGGGGGCACCAAAACAAAAAATATTGCTAGCACATAAAAATATCTTCCGCGAATTTAAGACGTAAAAGTTGTAAGTCGCATTTCAATCCGACACTGAATATTTCTTTGTATAAACACACTATAAACACTACACATCACGAAGTAAATTCCCCTTTTACGTTAATGACAGCAGTGCTTAAAGCTCTTCATGAGCGACAGCAAAACCAAGTTTCGTTTTTAACAGTACTTCGCTCTGTTTCGTCAAATAAAACATTTTTTACTTTTACTTTTTTACTTTACTTCTTATTATTATTCTATGATTTATTAACCGCTAATGTTTAGGACCCAATAAAATTAATTCGTGAATAAAAAGTCGAGAGCCAAAATATTTTAGACCTTTTCCAACTACAATTTCAGAAAACTTTTGTAGCTAAGTGTACCCGGTCACAATGAATGAACAAGCGAGCAGTAAACCTTATTTTATGCAAGTAGGTATAGTTGCTTGCTTTTAAGAAGATAAAGTCCGAATCACTGCTCGATTCGGCGTTTCCGTTGTCACACCTATATTGCCGATGGCTAATTGTTTACCGACCTTGCTTGGGCTTGAACAACGCGTGGGCAAAAGTTTACCGTGTAGGCGCCTAATAATGTCACAACAATAATGGTCATTATAATGGAATTAGGAAGAGGTTCATAATATTCGTAATAAATAAGAGGTCTACAAGAGAACTCGTGCCAAAATAAGAGTACCTACTTAGTTTCAGTTGTTAGAACCTACCTGCTTATTGCCTGCGTAAGTATTGAGAAAAATCTAAAATTTTCAGACTTTGAGATAAGTTAATATTCATCAATTTCGTAATAATTGTTAGGTAAAATAAAAAATATAGTATCACGATTAAACTACTGACTGAATAAGTAACGATAAAGCCGGCTGGGAATTTAAAACAAAATTCACAAGAAAACTGATAAAACTGTACTAGCAAACGCCTTTGCTTTTTTTAGCATTTAATAAAAAACCATAGGTGGGTCATTCCACAAAAATATGTCAACTCTTAGTCCGCGCCACATTTCACATGAAATATTTGTTAATATTTTATTCCAAAATTGTTAAATAACAGCTCGCAATGTGCTTTATTCATCACCCATTTATATTTTTTGAAACTATTTTTAAAACATCTTAAATTCCTTTTGAATGACCCAAAACGTCATTCCCTAGGCATGTCCGTACTCCAAAAGTTTGTGTTTTGGGACCCACATTTATAAAAACATCAACTTTATCCTTTGTTTTAATTAACGAATAATCTATTTAAATGTATATTACACCAAATTCTATTAATATTTTGCGGTTTCAATAAACAATAATTTGATTTTCTTTAGTTGAAAAAGAGTCTACAGTTTTTAGCGTCATTCCCTCGCCACGCACTGATTTTATAATTTTGCGCTTTAATATGTATTTAGAGTGAATGACATTTAGTTGAGTTTAAAGTACGATACGAAGTTATCCTCAGACCATACTGGCTTTGCGGTAGCCGTTTTTTGAATTAGTGCAAACGTGACAGTTGTTACCGAAACATGTGTTAATCCAGTCACTTCGTCAGTCCCTAGTTGAGTAGCTGTATTGATTATAATAGGAAATTGTATATAATTTAATAGTATTTACGTGTAGTTTTTTGGCTATTTTCGGCACATGGTATTAAGCATCTTATAATATAAAGTTAATCTGCATTTGTGTTAAGTTTTACTCCAAATCGTCAGTCCCTAGAGCGTCAGGCCCTAACTTTAAATGGCACTTGGGACTAAATTACTAGTTAGGGAATGATGTTTTGTATATAGTGATAATAACAAAACAACTACATTATGTGTATTAACTTATCTATAAATGTTATGGCTAAAAGTTTTATACTTTATTGGAAGTCATATAGGAGTAATGTAGTATGAAAAAATAGAAAATTATAATTTCTCCTAAAATAAATCATAAAATGACTGGCCCTTTTAGACATAACATAATTAATTAATAAACAATAATTTACACTAATAAAGTATTCAAAAGCATCTTAAAAAAGTTACGGACTAAATGACGTCGAAAATATACAGATTTTTATGGAATGACCCAGGTAAGTATAATTTGGCGCGTATTAAAAAAAAAGAAATCATTTGAATCTTTGAACTTTCAAACTTTAGGCAGAAATATTAATAAAATTAAACGTTATCAAGCCTCGTTGGGAAATTCGCAATGGAATTGCAAGCCGAGCTTTTGCTCTACCTGGATAAAAGGCGTTTTTTATTTGACATGGGAGATCGCAGCGAAGAATTTTTAAAACAACTTACCGTGGAAACAGTATGCAAGTGTCCCCCGTTGAGATATATTTTAGAAATAGATGTAATGGATTTACTGAACCATTCCCCGTGCGTTGGAAAGTTATTATTGGATGAACCTATAAAGTTTCAACGTTCCTGCAACAAAATACTGTATGCATGTTTAAAATCAATAGGAAATGATTTGTTAAGCGATGTCCAAGTTACACAAGTAGCTGTAAATGTAAGATTAAGGGCTTTACCACGATTATTAGTTGGATTAAATCCACGATCATACCCTGGTCTTGTCCAGTTTCAAGGGTTGCTTTTAGACATCTCAAAACCTATGCCCTCTGTTTATCACACAGTTTGGTCTTGCCCAGAGCAGTGTGACGGCAATGAAGTTATCGTGCCCTATATACCAAAAACACCGCCGAAATGTTACATTTGTAGAAGCGTTCTCTTTGAAAACAGTGGACTGAGAAGATGCGGAGAGCAAGTTATCGCAACGTTTAAAGTAAAACAAGAATTGCTGATAAGAAAGTTCAAAATAGTCGATGATTTGATTATCAAGCTGAAGCTCGGATCAGTTTTCAGCATCACCGCCACAATTTTGAAGAAGACAATGGATGTATGGTCTTTGGAAGAAGTCGTGGCCTTACCAGCCCCTATGACATCGGCTGTCCCAGCAGACATCAGCGAGTTATACAACATTTGCGACGGCATACCTTGGAAGTTTATATACTGCCTAGCATCTTCAATAGGCGTAAATGTATGTCCACTGAACTGCTTTATGCATCTTAAAATAAGTCTTCTGATGAGTTTGACGAGTCTGAAGGCCAACATGGTGACCGGTTCAAGCATCATTCATGTCTTGGCGGCGGGTCTGGATACCAGCATCGTAGGAACACTAATGGAAGAAGGTGCGAAGTTAGCCGATACATCAATAGCGTTGGGATCAAGTAATTCTACTGTGTCTACTGCACTTCTCGGGTCTTCTGGTGGAGTATGCTTTATGCCTTTACCTCTGCACACCTACAATCAAAAGTTGACGTCTGCAATTCTTTCAGCAATAGAAAGTGGAGAAATCTCACACGAGTTCGGTAGAACTAAACTTCGAACAGCAGTATGGGCCCAAGGGATGGACTTTAAAAAAATAAGCCTTTACAATGTTGCTAGCGTGTTTGCTACAGTCTGCCGCGGCGACTACGGTGAATATCAAGATGAAATTGTCGAGTTTCAATTGCAACGTTCTGTGGAACCGATAAAAGTTACTTTTGAAGAGGTGCAAGCAATAAAGGATGTTGCGTTGTACGTCGACCTTGTGTCTGGGATACAAGTTTCCTTGGATGGCGCGACGGAATCGTTGTTGAGGAATTACTTTTTAGCTGCTCGTAAAGAAAGGACTAGAGGAGTGTCGATAGGCAGCATGGAGTCATTGGTGGCTACGTGCGTAACGTCAGCGCGCCTATGTCGTCGGACGACTGCCACTATAGATGACGCAATATTTGCGATTTGGTTGCATGTCAGTGGGAGTCCAGAGCCAAGATTCGCTCCTGATGAGTATCTTCAAACACCAGCAGATATAAAGAAATTGCAAAAAATATTCAACCAATTTATAATTTGGTTAGAAGAATTTACTGGTAATTGCTACGATAAATAGAATGTTCAGTTTTTGCCTATTTCAGATTTACTTTTAATACCTTTAATGTAGTATGAATAAGAACAAAGTTATAATTTAAATAATAAATTTTATTTTTAACATTTTGTTTTAAATTGATAATCTCAACATTTAAAATAATAGTGACACACAAAAGTACATAATTGAAAACAATGCAAAACTTTCATATAAATTCTCATAGCACCAAAAATATTATTAAAATCCTTATAGCAAAATAACATTACCTAAGACTAGAATATATTATGTATTTGTATTTATGTAGATTTAAAAAATATATTAGTGCCTACAATAATACAATTTATTGCACATTATTTAGAGCAACAGTAATCATATTAAAATAACATCTTCTCCTACAATTATGTTTTAGTAAAAATTATAGTTCATTAAAGTAAGGCACATTTAAACATTAAGTACATTACTAAGAAAGCACAACACAATATAATGATAAGTAATGTCGTTATGAGTAACAGCTACTTTTATCAACACATACATATCCAAATAATTTAATCTTCAGCCAAAAAACTGAAGTCCAATTTTGCTTTATTGTGTAAATAATTTTTGGATGTCTTAAACTTTTCAGTGAGCTTAATGTGATTTTGTCTCAATGTTAAACTTTCTTCAATGAGAGACTTAAGATTCTCATCTTCTTCAACTCTATTTGTGCTTTGGACCATTTTCATACAGTGTGTAGATACTGGTTCTCCAATTTTAAAGTTACTTTTTTGAATCGAGACTACACTGTAAGGAAGATCTACTAAATTGTGAGCATCACTGCTCAAGAGACTTATGGTTGACCACATACAGTTGGATAGTTTATCAGTGAGGGAATTTGAGTGACTGTCTAATGTTTCAGAAAAATTTGATGCATTTGTAATAATTTCCGAAATTTTAGATAATTCAATACTCAGATCTTTAATGCTGCAGTAGAATCTTTGATTTCTAATTTCCATCAAAATTTTATTCCTTAGTTTGAAGCAATCTTTAATGAGTTGTATGACATCACTAATTTTGTCTCTTCCTTTGCTATCATTATAATTTTCAATTTTCTTGTAGGATACATACACTGTTTGTCCTTTGGTAAAAAGTGCTTGATAATTAAATTTTGAAATAAAATTATTAAGATCTGTAGATAGTCCTTCTATTCTACGTCTAGCTGCTGATTCCAGCCTGACAGTCAGTTGAGACCAAGCATTTTGTAATTTACTGATATCATCACTCAGTTCATCAGCTTCTTTAAATAACTTTTCAAATCCACCTAATAGATTGGTTCCAACTCCATTCGCTTTTAAATTTTGCACATGTTCTTTTCCCATTGTAGTAAACTTTTTTAAAGTTTCTTCCTTTACATGAAGTTTTCCAATGTTTTTATCAACAAAATTATGTCTCAAAACTAGTTCTTTGCTTTCATTTTTTAATGACTCTGCTCTAACAAATAAGCCTTTTATCAGTGAATCATACAATTCCATTTGAGACATAACAAAGTAGAAGCCATTTCTGTGTAGCAACTGACAATTTTTGAAGTTTTGTATCAGCTCAACTGGTAATGAAGGTTTTAAAGACCTTTGTACAATCTCTGGCACTATAATATCTGATTTCTCTTCTATTAAATATTGTTTGTTGTAGAGATATACAGAAATGCTATTTTCGTCCCAATATTTCATAACAGTATCTTCACCATCAGTGATCACATAATTCTGTGAAATCAATATTTGCTCTTCCACTGGAATGTGTGTGTCATCTTGAATCCACTTCTTTAACATAAAAGCTGTGGTTTTATCATCAATTTCATAAGCATAATGAGTCAATGTAGCAACTGAAAATACCTTCATAATCTTCTTACTTAATATGGTTTCCAAAAGATTAAATATAACTACATTACTAGATGTTTCTTTCTCTTCTGAGGGTATGTTAAATGTGACTTTTGAGGGAGCATCTCTGCCTCTTAGCTTGGGGTCCCACTCCAAAGCAACCTTTAACCACTGCTCTAGAGAGGCCTTAAGTGGCTTACTTATAAAATTTTCAGGAAACATCTCATTTGAATACTTAATATCACCATGGAAAGTTTCATAAATGCAAATATTGTCATGTGTTTTGGCTTTTACATGATGCATCCATTGCACTGGAGCCATAAAAGGCAAAAATGGCCGTGTGCCACATATCACCTCAAAAGCGAGAAGTCCAAAAGACCAAAAATCTACAGAGTTGCTGTATGTCTTACTGTAAAAAATCTCAGGCGCCAAGTACTGCAATGTTCCAACAAAGCTGGCACAAACTGAGTTTGAGTCAATTTCTTTGGCATATCCAAGATCAATAAGTTTGTATGTAACTTTCTTCTTACCTTGCAATCCATTGTCCATATTTCCTGGATCATCCAAAACATGAATAACAATATTCTCTGGCTTAACATCCCTGTGTGTTATTTTATTATGATGTAGAAACTGCAGTGCACTTCTCATATCACCAAGTATTTGACGGACTTGGACTTCTCTCAAGCCATTGCAAGATTCTGGTAAATTTAGGTATTGTCTTAAATTTCCCCCAGCACAATACTCCATACACAATATTGGAAGTTTTGATGGATTTACAGGCTTTAACCCCTCCTTGAATTCGGGAGGTAACTGTTTTGTTCCTACTATGTTGGGGTTCTGACAGTTTTGTAACATTTCTACTTCTTTAGTCCATCTTTCTTTGTGTTTTTCAGTGAGTTCATCACCCCATTTACACGTTTTAATAGCAAGTCGTTCTTGAGTTTTTTGATGTTTCCACAGCACAACTACACCAAAGCTGCCTGAACCTAGTACTCTATCTTTAATCCAGTCACCAATAAACACTAAATTGTCCATTTTAGTATATTTTAAATGAAGATATTTTAATTAACTAAAACCAGATAGATTTACGAAACGAACCAAAATAGAAACACGGAGATCCCCACAGTTTTTCCGTTTAGTTTTCTGTCAATCTGAAAGAAATCTGTCAAATAGTCGACTTGTCTTGCGTTTAGTTGCTCAAAGTAAAAAAAAACTATGCAGCAGAACATTAAATGCATGAGTTGGAACGGAAAGTGTCAAAAATATTGACATTTGATTTGACAGATTTTACGAAAAAAAAGTCGTGTTTGTTGTGTTTTTTTCTGTATTTGAATTAGAAAATGTTATAAAAGACTTGTTTTTGATATAGATTCTAGATTTAAAATAATGGAGACTAGTTTTTCCTGCCGTACGTGTATGAAAGGAAATAAGGCGTTTGTAAATTTGTACGAACCCTTTAAAATAGAAGAAGAGTGCAACCTACCGTTAGCTGATGTGTTGACGGAGTGTTTTTCATTACAGGTAAAGTACTGTTAATTAAGTTTAATAATTGAAACATAAGCTCTGTAACTATGTTACTTATTAATCTTTTGTGTAGGTGTCAAGGGAAGATGGACTGCCACAAAACCTTTGTCAAGATTGCGCTAGACTTCTTCAGCTTTTGTTCAACTTTCGGAAACAAGCCATTCAAACTGAAAAAGAGTACAGAAAATTGCTGGAAAGTCGCCTTGGAGCCGAAATAAAACATGAGAATTTTGAAGTTGAACTTAAAAATGAAGATGATTATGCAGAACATTATGATGATTTTGTGCCAGGCGTAGATGTTGATAATGATGCCCCTAAACAGGAAATTGAAGAAAAAGAATATGAAGAAAAAGCGTGTAGTGAAAAAAATTATCAATGTAATTTGTGCAGCAAGGAGTACAAAAGAGAAAAAAGATTTTTGAAGCATCTGGCATCACACAACAAACCGGCTGTACCTTGTGGCTTTTGTGGGAAAACTTTTCCAAAGCAGTCTACATTGAAAAAACATCTAGCTAAATGTTGTAAAAACTATAACAGGTGTCAAATATGTGAAGAGGTTTTTGAAACTGAGCCTCTTCTTTTGGACCACATGAAGCTTCACTCTGTCGTTGAGGTTAAAATTGAGGGTGAGGAAAAATTCCCATGTCCTGAATGTGAGAGAGTTTTTAGTAAAAGCAGGTCACTAGCGATACATTTGAAAAAACATAGAGATAACAAAACACTTGCAGTATACAAGTGTGATACATGTCATAAAGAGTTTAGCACTAAGACATTGTTGACAAGGCATATAAACTTGCACAGTGCGGTCAAACAGTACTCCTGCTCCAAGTGCCCTAAGATGTACTCAAGAGCTGACCAGTTGCAAGTACACCTAAAGTCACATGATTCAGTTAAACCATATAATTGCCAGGTTTGTGGAAAAGGTAACTATTTTAAAAACTGTTTATTCATACAAAACCATAATGTGATACTGATAAAGCAGCCCATACTGGATGATTATAGGCACATTATGAATATTATGAATAATATTGTAAGTAAAAAAGTGCCAACTTTGAGTGTGGGGTCCTTTCCATTCTCATTTTGAATTACTTTTTTAATGCTTGTCTTTATGACATATATCAAACATTGTTACAGCTTTCAATCAGTTATGCAGCCTGAAAGACCACATTAGAATCCATACTGGAGAGACTCCATACCTGTGCTCCCAGTGTGGCAAGGGTTTCCACAACAGCTCCAATCTAAGACAGCACATGATGCGCCACACAGGCCTCAAACCTTTCGCCTGCAAGCTCTGCCCTAAGAGTTTTTCTACCAAAGGTATGTTAACAAACATGTTTTCTTTGATGTTTTGTATTTTTGAGACATGCTTGATAAATTCAGTTTCTTCTCAACTGTATTTTTTTAAATAGAGTAAGTATATATTTGGTTTGTATATGTACCTACATGCATTGTTGGTTGGTGTACCTTTCCAAATAAATAAAAAAATACACAGTGTAAAAAGACAATGATAAAAAAATTGGATTGACCATTGAACTCAATTCAATGGTCAATACAATTTCTTTATTTCCTTTTATTCCTATGAAATAAATCTCGACCTTTGTAGTAATAGGAAATATTATTCACATACAGGGTGTCCCAAAAACAATGGATAACCCTGTAACCATCGATAGGCCTCGCCATGGTCTCCCTAACGTCCAATTTTGACCCCAGTAAAAATATCACCGTTTTCAAGATTTTTAAGTTTTTGTGCATTTTTAGAAAATTGCCACCTTCGATTACTNGATAGCCCAACTATCCCTTGTGATAAGGAAAAAAACTAGATTGAAAATTATCCTCATTTGTAGAAATGGCATGAGAAAAAGTAATTGAAGGTGGCAATTTTCTAAAAATGCACAAAAACTTAAAAATCTTGAAAACGGTGATATTTTTACTGGGGTCAAAATTGGACGTTAGGGAGACCATGGCGAGGCCTATCGATGGTTACAGGGTTATCCATTGTTTTTGGGACACCCTGTATATTTACGATTTCATCTCAGATGACCAATTAGTCCTTGTTCAGATTTATGAGAAAAAAAGCAACAACAGTTATAAAAACAAAAAAAATTAAGAAAGTCTTATAAATGTTTCTTTTTTTCACCTTCTGCTTCCCAAAGTTCACGCTTTATTTATACAAATGCTTACTGTCATCTTCAGGTCAAATGACTTGCCACATGACAACGCATACTAACATCCACCCCTACAAGTGCGACGAATGCGGTGCCTCCTTTACGAAGCCGACGTCCTTGAAGAAGCACAAATTCATTCACTTGGGTCTGCGACCTTTCGGTTGCGATACTTGTAATATGCGGTAAGTGTCAAGAATTAGGGTAGTTGACACCACCAATCAAAATCGTGACTCCTATAGATTTTGTATAACAATAGGATTCTATCGTAGAGTAGTTAATTTACTTCTAATAAATAATTATAAGTTCTTTTGAGCAACTGAAAATATTTTGTAGCTGAAAAGTAACAGGATTTTCAGGTTTAAAAATTAAAAGTCTAAATCTAAAGATATCGAATTATTAATGCTAACTCCCCAATAGTCCCTTTCACGAATGTCAATTGCGTTAAAACAATTCGATTCCATTTCCCGGCATCGCGACTGTAAGTTCCCTGTTGCAGGTTTACATGCAAGGACCACCTGAAGCGGCACGCGCGCATCCACACGGGCGAGAAGCCGTACAAGTGCGCGTACTGCGAGCGCGCCTTCACGCAGAGTAACGACCTCGTGAAGCACACGCGGCAGCACGTCGGCCAGAACATATACCAGTCAGTATCTTAATAGAAACTCGTTCTTCTATCTTCTGGATTATGGACCAGCTAATACCAGTGTCCTATCCATAAAGTTAATATTCTTTCGCTAAGTATATTAACTTTTTGGTCCTAGAAGACAGTCTTGTACAGAACATAATACCAGTCAGTTTCAGTATCTGAGCAAGCAGGATGAAAGCTGTTACCTTCGAGCCAAAACACAATATAATATACCAGTCATTTATCAGTAAGAGACTTGTTGACAATATAATAGGGTTGAAATTGTTGACAAGATTTCAGAGAACATCTATTTTATGAGTTCTTTGGTCCATCCAGCAGGGAAAGGGATCAAGCAACTTTTTTAATATGGCCAGTTATAACATCGCCACTTTAATTCCTAGTAAAATTGATCCTAACCAGCAAGCAATCCAAAACTAAACTTATTTTTCTTCTCTCCACAGATGCACAGTTTGCGAAATGAGGTTCAGACTCAAGAGTGAATTAAAGCAGCACTACCCGGTTCACTACGTTAACGGAGACCAACTCGCCACAATCCCAGTAGGGAAGGATAACCTCGCGCCTGTAATGATGCTAAAGCCCAATGATCATCCGAGCGAGCCCACAGAGGGAAAGGAGTTCCCCAAAGACAATGTGGACCCGACCATCATCATCAGGATCAACAGGAACGGACTCGATAAGAATGGACACGCGGGAGACATCACTATTAATATCAGTCCGGATGAGAATAATTGAGGGACTGAGAAAATAGGTCAATGTTTTTATTTAAGGTTGATTTACATAATATTTCAGTTTATTTGAATGAAGTCTCAATTAAGACTTAATTTTTTTTATTTATTTTAATAGTTACTAGTTTTGTCTTTCATTGTCCAAATGTTATTCTTTTATTCCAAATGTAATTTCTGCTGAGTCAAGTCTCTTATAGTGTTTAATTAAATAAGTAAGTAATTAGTCAAGTTGTTTTAAAACTAAAGCTTTAGGAAGCACTGCTGTTTCACAAACAAATGGTAGTGTATAAGATGCCTTATTCTCTCTCACTAGTTATACAATTTTACAATGTTTTATAATAAGATTTACTTAAGAAGTAGTTAACACGTCGCTAAGCGAACTTAAGATATAATAATATAATCAATCATTATTAAAACGATTAGTATAAAATTGTCTGTTTTGTTGTAATAAACACCTAAAGTATTTCTAAAATTAATTCACAATTATTAATTGTTATGCGATTTGAAATAATTTCATTTAGGTATTTATATTTGGCTATGCGATTATAAAAGTATTGTAATATGGATGGACTTCTAATCTCTTATTTATGCAATTGCTCACAAATTACACTAGCAGGTATTAACTACAATACATATTTAAGTTGGCTGTCATAATATTTAAGATTGTTAGTTTCCAACATCGAAGACTTTGTTAGTTACGTTCATTATTTACTTAATATAGAAAATGTTTATGGTCTCTGTAACTGGTTTTCTGAAATGATACGAAAATCGGTTCTCTTTTTTCCCTGGCTCCTTTTCCCATTATTTGGGGTCGGCTCTCCGTGTTCTGAGGAGTCCTGGGTTGTCGAAATATTTTTCTGGCCACGCTCTTAAGTCACCGTGGACCGCCAGGTGGCCATTGGGCGTCCTCTACCTTTCTTATTATTTGGCATTCTAAGGCCTGTTTTACGACATGGTCTTCGGGGCGTCTCGTGTCATGACCGAACATCGTATGCGGGCCCTTGAAATACTCGAAACTCGGTTTTAAATCGTGCAAACTTATTTTGCAGATATGTGATAAAAATTTTACATGAAGTGTTTTTCGAGAAGTTGTGTCTTGGCTGATGGTGTCAAGATATCAACTACCAATTTGTATATTCAACAACATATGAGACGATTCGGTGACGCAAAGGATTGTGTCTCGCTCGAGTCCCTAATACTTATGAATGTTAATAAATTAAATACTTAATACCCATTTTATTTGTAAATATTGTTTTAGTAGTTAATCGAAATTAATTGTGAGTTGGTTCAACGGATTGGCCCAAATGTAAAGACAAATTTTATTGTGTTATTGTAATAGGTAAAGCTGGATGCATTTAATCTTGTACAAAAAATAATTTATTTCAATTGGTACTTTATTTATATTAAGTTAGGTTTCCATTTATTTGTTTGTAATTTGGTGCATTATGAAATACACTAATAGATACACCCATCAATATGGTTTTATTTATTTTATGCTGTTTCGTTTTTAAGTTATATTTTTTAAGTATTAAGGACCTACATGATTGTAGTAGCAAAGAAAACTTGCAACCGCTTACGGTTGGTTGGTGTTGTTTGAAGTCCATATAAATACAATAAAGTTCTGAAAACAATCCATACAACAAACGGAATTTTATTGACGTTTGTTGCTCGAAAACGTTAATTTCAGGAACAACCTATTTACAAACCTACCTACAAAGAGGGCTCGGAACAAAATAAAAAGTTCACGTTAACAACAAGGTGACATTAGAATTTTTAGAAACGTGCACTTTTATACTCGTATTAGACCGATGAATTTTAAGTTTCGGTAAATGCTTACGTTATAAAATTAAGAAACAAAAAGGACATCATCCACGTTTCATATATTTTTTGTTCAAAATCAAAATTGTCGGCCAATAAAAAAAAGTGCTGTGTTCTGACAGAATACGTCCGCCTTAGCATTTGTTACTATGGCACCAAAGCTGTAGCACCACTATGCGTCGAGTATTTGAGATCTAAAATTCATCGACGATTCATACATTTTTTGTTCAAAATCAAAAGTGTCGGCCAATAACAAAAAATGCTGTCTTCTGACAGAATACGTCCGCCTTAGCATTTATTACTATGGCACCAAAGCTGTAGCACCACTGTGCGTCGAGTATTTGAGATCTAAAATTCATCGACGATTCATACATTTTTTGTTCAAAATCAAAAATGTCGGCCAATAAAAAAAAATGTGCTGTATTCTGACAGAATACGTCCGCCTTAGTATTTGTTACTATGACACCAAAGCTGTAGCACCACTGTGCATCGTAGTATTTGAGATCAAAGTCAGTCGTTTCATATATTTTTAGAGCTCAAATACTACGATGCACAGTGGTGCTACAGTTTTGGTGCCATAGTAATAAATGCTAAGGCGGACGTATTCTATCAGAATACAGCACTTTTATTTTTTGGCCGGCACTTTTGATTTTGGACCAAAATGGATGATGTCCTTTAGGATCAACCATTATAATATGAGGTGTAGAGTTCAGTGCCCCTAAGCACTAATAACTCTCGTAATCATATTCCATAATCAACCGTAGCAGGCGTTTTTATTTAACACGAAATAAACGATTAAAATCATCAATAAACGATTCCTATTCATTGCTCTATGATTACCATCAATCCTACCACACGAGAACGATATTTATTCGTGCTCCGGGTACTGAATGACGATTTAAGAATTATACATGAATTGATTACTAAACTTATACGAGTGAGAGAGACTGCAAAATCGGTTACTGTTTTAGTGTGAAAGAGATAGACCGAGAAAACTGAGTGAACTTATGAAACAACGGAAGAGTGAACGAGGAAATTTAAGGAAAGCCTGAACGGAGGAAACTAAGAGGGAAAACGTTCACTCACTTGTTTCCTGAGGAATGAAGAAATGATAATTGAACTATGTTATATTATGTTATTCGGATTAAAAGACGTACAATATAAAAGAAAGTCTCTTTAATGTTTCGATCTACTTTATCATGGCTTATTTACGCATACCTACAACAAAAAGAAAATTAAGGCGGTCTTATTGCTGGAAAGCTTTCTAGGTAGGTAACTCGAGTAATGACGCGAAATCCGTTGGTGTATCACATAAATATACCTGAATAAGTAAATGACCATATATTAAAAATTAATTAAAATATTTATTTACTCATAACTGAACGAGAAAGTACGATCTACTTAGCATAATGTTCTGGCTAGGCGTAAGTCACATTCAATTCGCGCGTAGGATTCTTCGCGAAAATGAAAGGCGAAGCATTAAAATTGTGTTCTATTTTGATGGCTGTAAGATCCAAATCGAATCTGAAGGCGCTAGGGCACGTGCCCTCATAAGGAGATTCCAGGATTACAGGGGAAGGCGGCGCCACATATAAACCTTGTTAGAACCTATTTGTCAACCAGTTTGTCTCTACATTGAATCGAATTTCGTTCGCTATGTTACGCCTAGTTAAATTACATCGATCAACCTAATGTACTTCGTAGTAAACTGAAGCTAGCCCATAAAAAATGAAACTAATGTCCCTATTAAAGACGTAATAGCGTGCTTTAACAATAATTGTTATAAATAAAAACCAAATTAGTTAACGCATTCAAAATACAACGGCCTATGTTTCTTTTATAACGCATTATAAATTGAGCAACAATCAAAATAATTGACACAAATGACTCAATTCCATTTCTTTAATGGCTTCCAACTTGCGCTGTGGGAGATCGGTTGCTAAAAGAATCAAATTATTTATGGAACCCGAAATTCGTGAAGCCTCCAAACACAAACGGAAGCCATAAAATAAAAATTACTTCTTAACTTTTACTTGAAAATTGGTCTCGGTAGCTTTTGTAAGCTTTTTAAGCATTCATAAATCTTCGAGCTTTATAAGAAGAGCTTTGACGGTGCACAACGGAAATTCAATCATCTCCGGCGGAGCTCCCTTCCTGCCCTCTGTATGCATTTACAGTAACAAAATATTTTATCGATTTTATGCGCCGTGCGTCGGGGTACCTAGATGTATCTAGATATCCTTTGATGCCAGAGATGTAACATCCTAAAGGTACAAATAATAAATGAATAGTAGTCCTTGTTAGGCATTATAGTGATTGATTAGCTTGATAGTTGGCTATCTTAACTATAACTTACTACTTAACTATCTTTTTACTAACTTAAAAGCTTTCTACGCTCGTATCTTAGCTGAATTAGTATTAGGTACTATTAAGAAATCTATCCGTTACTTATCTTCTTATTTTCTAAGATACCTCACTAGTGGAAATTCAGCCCTTAATTGGCATGTGAAAAGTAGAAGTCGGACATCTTGATATAACTAATTTAAGATGGAGATAAGATCCTACCAAATATCTTATTTAAAACCCAAAAACTTTTTTAGTTTTTTCGCATTTCTAGAGATACATACCTGAAAACAACGATAACGTTATCATTAGTTTACCTGCATACTTCTAAACTAAGATAGGGCACAATAGTTTGAAATAAAGTTGCTCCAAAAGTTGCTCTAGATAATCAGTTCGAATTGTATTACTTTCAATTTAAACAAACATGACAAGGTGCTTACTTTTAGAATCAAAACATAAGTTTTTGGTAGGGGTGGTGGCTCTATTTAACACTTCAGCGAAAGTTACGGTACCTTAAGAATGAAATTATGATTTAAACGTAGGTAGATTGTAGGCCTTGTCGCGTCTGCGCGATATTCTTTGTCGGCCGAGGGCGGGCGGCGCGAGCTCGACGGGAGCTGTTATCAGTGCGCAGCCAGCGGCCGGGAGCGCTGTACGAGGTGAGTCTGCACCATTTTTTCCCAAAATAATAATAATTTGTCACCTAAACAAAAAAAAAATTTGAATATAACACATAATAGAGAATTTCAGTGATAATTCAGCCGGTAGAGACGTATGCACTTTGAATTTCAGATCGGCCAAAGCTTTCATCTCGATTCGATAGATGGTTTTACTCCATATTCATCGATGAACAGCCAATTAATGAAGCGATGCGCCGTTCGAAGTCGTGATTTATGGACATCAATCATTTTATATTAACTTATTTATGTACTTTTGCGTTTAAACTACAACGTTGTAACATTTTATGATCTGCGAGCGAGATGATATTGCATGTTTTGTTTTGACGAGAGATGCGGATGCCATTTGTTGCATTCGACAACATGGCGGTACAAGGTGCACTTTATTACGCATGACAAATGTATGACCTGAAATTCAGGTCTTGTACAAGTTTAGCTTTTGAATTTAAGATTAACTGATATTCAACACATTTTATTACTAGTTTGAAGTAAATAAATATTGTTGTTATTACTTAGTTTTTTTTAAACTTAGGGTAAACTAAGCAATACTTTAGACACCTATGAGGTCGATAATTAATTTAGAATTGAGTAGTTTTAGTATAAAGAAGGCAGTTTACTAGCGAATGTAGCACGATCTTACGATTTAATTTGAAAACTTTAAAAACCACCTTTTTGCAATAAACTGAGAGCGAATAAAAATATTTTGTAGCACAATTGAATAGTCATAAATAAGCGCGAGTTCATAATTGTTTCTAACTCTCGTTGAGGCGCGATGTCGCGCAACGTTGCCGCCATGTTGTGCGACAAGTTTTTACGTCAATTTTTGCTTCTTGGCTAGGCTTTAGCATAATAAGGTTTTAAATATGCTAAAATAACATCGAAAAGCAGGTTACATTTTTTGCGAAGATCGGCTTCTTGAAACTCATAACTACGTGAGCTTTCGATTTTATCGCGAAGATAAAAAAATATATGTAGGTACTTACTCGTACTTTTATTAGATTATTTTTTGATGCGAGGCAATAAATACTTGTCGTGCAGTCTAAAATTCTCGAAGTAATAGCCGCAATATCGCGACAGGTCCTCAGGAATCCGGCCCTCTCCTCTTCTTTGACAAAGCCTCTTCAATAAGCAGCTGCCGCACATTGCGCTACGAAGGCATTCGAGGCGGATAACTTAAACTTTTATGAGTAGGTACTCACTTAAGACGTACTTGCAAAGCTTAAAGCTTGAGGAAGTTCATAATGTTGTTAGGAGTTTTGATGCTTAGATTATCAACTTGATTAATATTTAATGTTGAGAACGGTTTATTGGAAAGGTCGAAAAAGCTAAAACATTGATTTAATGAAACTGAGATATTAATTTAACATTTAGTGTAGGCGCACACCGTTGATTTTTCGTCGGCCGATAGTTTAGTAGGGCAGTTGATCAGTATGGGCACTTAGATTAATAAAACTTTAAGTATGGGCATGTATGGGAGTGCGCACACTACGCCGATTCGATTTGGCCGATTCTTCATACAATTTAAAATCGGGCACAACTATCGGCCAACTAAAAATCAACGGTGTGCGCCTACTCTTATATGCACCTACAGTTAAAATAAATAAATATAGTTGAGGAGTATAAGCAGTTCGTTTTAAATTCATGAAAAATACCATTCGCTCGAGTCAATAATTATTGAGCAGTGCGCATCCGCATCTCACTAACATTTTCACCGCGTTAAAGAAAGAGCGCCGAGAAACAAAAAAACGACAGACGCTAACTACATTAATATTTCTAGTATAAAAATATAAGATAAAAGCTCCTTTATTTATCCTTAATGGAAAGACGTCCAACCTTGATTCAATATCAACTTGAAATCGATATATCGGCTCAACAATAGACTCTCCTTCGAAGCTCCTTGCTCTGTCTGGTTGCCTGAGCAACGGCCGTGGGCTAACGAGCCGTGATGGAGCTAATTCTATTCTGCTTGTCTGTACTGTCGGGAAGCTTAACGTAAATGGGAAGGTACACTAATGTACGGACTATGGACCCTTCTGTTTTAATCTTTGTTGCAGACTTGTTACCTACTTTCGCGCCCTGTCAGAGCTTTTAGATACATAGCTCTACACTTAGGTTTTAAAAATATTATGGATATTGTACTACCAATTTAAATAATACTTAAGTATTTAGCACATCCGACGAGAACTGCAGCAAATTGTTGACGTATTTTAGGACTCGGGAATTTTCCTAGGTTTCAGTAGATAATTAGGAAAAACGTGCGATAAGCAATGTAAGCACTAATACGTAGTTAGATACACAGGCTCTATCATTTATAATACGCATAGTTACTATAGGACTAGGTATACGAGTAGAACATTTTCTATTATTCGATCAAGATGACCTTTGCGGCGAATTAACTTATTCAGTGTATTTTTCTTCGAGGTGACCTGATTTATAGACAATATCAGACACTATTCTTTGTTTGATCAATATTAACTCGTTATTACGATCATTAAGTGACCTTTCATATTGTGTTTCCTTTGTATTTTGTTTCTGAGAACGTTACAGTATTTGTTCATCAGTATTATTGCTAGATCAATAAGTACACACGGTCTAATTCTTATGATTAAAGTTATCAGTTGATTGAAAACAGCAATTCATTTTTAACGGTCATGAAATAAGTAAGCCTACTTATTTCAGTTTCCTATTCTACCCTTCCTTCCTAGATCTTACTGGAGACTTTTACACAGTAGTGTGTAAAGCCAAGTGCTGAATCGAAATGGTGGCCAATATTACACAAAATCAAGCATCATTTTGAAATACAAACTTTTAGTCGACCCTTATTGTTAAAAATTAACAATTCTTAGTGAAAGTTAAAATTGATTGAACATTGTAATGGATTGTCGACTTCACGCAACGATTAAATAACTATTTCAATAAAGGTTACTGATTATTATGTTGTTTATTAATCAATATCACTAAAAATTCTCGCTAACGTATTCTAGAAGCCCGGGGCTTTTCGGTAAGCTGGTCACGGTCGATTAAATGAATATTGCGAAGGTCTGGGGTCCCGCGTGCCCTTGACCCGCTGGCTGACTTGGGGGAGAATAAAGGAATTGAATATTGATTATTTTTGATAAGAAACTGCAAACACGACAGAATAAGTCTGATAATGAAAAGCTTTATCAAGGTTATGTCATACTTTGGAAAATAATCTTTCAGTATACAATAATTAGGTAGTATAATAATTAAAGTTATTAACTATAGAATAAATTAGTTACCTACTTATGATAACTCTTTCACGAATTGATAATGCCTCAATTACGAACTGTAGTAGAATACATATATCCCCGAAAAAGCTTTGAGCCATAGAGTCGACTCTACATAGTGTAAAACAAAGTCGCTTTCCGCTGTCTGTCCCTATAGTATGCTTAGATCTTCAAAACTACGAAGCGGATTTTGATACGGTTTTTTTAATAGATAGAGTGATTCAAGAGGACGGTTTAACTATACATATTATGTACTTATACTCCGCACCCGTGCGAAGCCGGAGCGGGTTACTAGTAATGTAAACAATAGTTTTGCAAGTCATGCACCTACTTGAGACACATTTTCGTGTTCAGTTTCCAGCATGACGATGCAGCAGCGTTGCGAGACGTTGACGCTGAAGGTGGCTGACTCCATCATCAACCACCTGCGGGAGAACTTCTTCGCCGATGAGCCTCTGAACAAGGCGGTGGGGCTGTGCGAGCGTGGACAACCGCACGCGGCCTTGGAGGAGCTCTGCACGGCCACTTTGGAAGATGGGCTCTCTTTGGCCACTTTTGCCGACGAGGCCAACCGAAAGGTAAGCCAACTCTTGTTTTGTGTCCCATATTAGGCTACTAATAGAGCTGTCTTGTGAGCGACGGTATAACGCAATTAAGAGCGAGTTTGTAACGTTCTGAGAGCGGGGCAAATGCAGTTCGAGACTGGCTTTGTACAGCTGTCATGACGGATGGACTGTCCGTAAAAGTAAGTGGAAATTATTTATACCTACTCATACTACTACCTACATTTTCTGTGACTAGAAAGTTTTGGAGCTATTAAACTGAACTGTAAGTCACCGATATTTAATTTTTTATTCTCAGCTACAAAAAACGTGGCAAATATTTGCTTAGTGATAACCGTCCAAACACAATTTTAACGATCTGCGAAGAGTAGGTACACCTACACGTGCGTGAGTATGATTTCAACACAGATTATTTATAGAGATTTTCCTCTTATGGTGGTCCGTCTCGTAGCAACCAGCCTCGTAGCAACCAGTCTCGTAGCAACCAGTCTCGTAGCCGTAGCAACCCCCGTAGCCGCGCCTCGGCGAACGGTGGCGCGGCGCCGATCGCGCTGTTTTGCTTTATTGTGTAGGTAGCGCGTGACCCCTCGCCCTCCGAGTGGAAGGGGTCTGAGAGACAGCGCGGTCCGCTGATTTGAAAGCCGAATTAAGCTGGAGGGTGGACTGTGTCGATATATTCATAATGCATTCAACATTCAATCAATTGACCACACATAGGTACATGTATACTTATACAGTGTGAGTCACGTTAAAGTGTACATATGAAAATAGATGAAACTAGACCTATTTTTATCGACAAAAAAGAGGTCAAAAATTTTTTGAGTTTTTTTTTAAATTTTTTATAGAATTTTTTTTCTTCAAATTACTTATTGTAAAGAAAACGTAATAACTTTTAAATTAAGCGGTATATCCTGATAAAATAAAAACAGTAATAATCCTAAATAACAGGCAATACTAAAAAAATACATAGAATACACAAAAAATGCGAACAAACAATAAAAAATGATACTTTTTGAAAAAAATCTGCTTAAAAATTCGTGTTTTTCGGTTATTTTATAAATTTCTCCAAAAAATGCCCCTATAACCGGTGGTTTTTATTACTTTGTATTATTTTCTATCGTATTATCTTTGTAAAACCAAAAATCGCATGTCTCTATCCCTATCACAACATTTGCTATGATCGTTTGAACAAAGGCCTGCCACAACATTATTCTCCGCTACAGGTAGAGACAATTTTAATTTTAACTAAAATGCTTATTTTACTTCGAAATCTTTTGTTTTTATTTGAAATCTAACTTGTCTTTATCAAAATTACAAATCTAGAGCCATTTTCAGTTTTGTTGTTAACGAAGCGATGAATGGCGCGCCCGGAGAGGCTTAGTTCAAACGATCATTGCAAACGTTGTGATAGGGATAGAGACATGCGATTTTTCGTTTTACGAAGGTAATATGATAGAGAATAATACAAAGTAATAAAAACTACCTGTTATAGGGGCATTTTTTGGAGAAATTTATCAAATAACCAAAAAAACACGAATTTTTAAGCGGATTTTTTTCAAAAAGTATGATTTTTTATTATTTGTTGGCCTTTTTTGTATATTTTATGTATTTTTTTAGTATTGCCTGTTATTTAGCATTGTTACTGTTTTTATTGTATCAAGATATACCCCTTAGTTTAAAAGTTATTATGTTTTCTTTACAATAAGTAATTGGAAGAAAAAAAAGTCTATAAAAAATTAAAAAAGAGTCACAAAAATTTTTTGACCTCTTTTTTGTCGATAAAAATAGGTCTAGTTTCATCTATTTTGATATGTACACTTTAACGTGACTCACACTGTATTTGATTCATAGTCGTTTGGTTATAGTGGTTGGTGACAAAATATGGATTCATTAATAAAACAACGTTTGCATGGCGCCCCCTATGTTTATGATGTGTCACGCTCTCTGATTGTGATTCTACGATTCCCCCTACTAGGTGTCACTAATCAATAACACTAAATTTAAAATAGCACCCATCACCAACCATGTAACAAGCAGATAAACAAATTAAAATTACGAATGAAGATTAAATTGATGTTGACTCAGCATAACTGGCGAGAGGTAGAGCAGAACAGACCGGAGTGGAGATTCTTATTAAGGGGCCAAGACTCACTTACCAAATTCGCCCACAGCTAACTTTTCATCACTAGATTATAGGTATTACTTAGTCGGTGCCAACTAGTAGGGATGCGCAATTCTTGGCATGCCCTTTCGAGCATGTCACGAATATAATATTAGTTGGTGTCTTCTCGTAGGGTTGCGCAATACAATAACAGCAAGAGCGTCTGCGGACGACCAGCTTCTTGAAATGCTGTGTCAATAAAATGATTTCAATTTCTTTGGGTCGCTGCGCAATCGTTAGTTAGTTTTTAAGCGTGCAGGTATAGTTTATGTATGAGCGTCATTCAAAGTCATATTCAAAACTTCCAGGTCTCCGCAGTGGCCTTGAATGGCGTCTTATGACCCGGAGACATCGAGGTGTCCCTGGCGAAACTCAAACAATCGACCGACGAGAAGTTCAACAAGATCTTCACCATCCTGTACACCGTGACCCGCGACCTGAAGCTGTTTTCGAAGTTTGACGTGGACCGTATCCTGGAGTGCCGCATCATCTCTGTGTCGGAGACGGAGAGAGGCAAGGGGGTGGCTAAGGCGCTGATGCAGAAGACCATAGACCTCGGCCGCCAGGAGGGGTTTAAGGTTTGTATTTTTAAATAAAAATAAACTTAATGTTTTCCTAGAAGTAGGTTTACTATAGCTTCTTCTAATGTAGGTACGAGATGGTGTAACAGTCTAGTTTCACCCACTAGAATGCACATTATCTGTGTTGATTTAACAGTCTACGTATTATCTGTGGTTACAGTAGTTTCATAGCTAAAGGTTTTTCATGTGAGATCTGAATGATGAAATTCAGAAAAGTTGTGAGTTTTTCCGGGTCGAATTCAAAACATTGTATCTACGAGTACATAGGTATCTCTTTCAAATCATTAAAGTTTTTACCAACCATCGTCTTAACCCAAACCAATTTCCATTCCAGCTGTTCAAGGTGGATGCGACCGGCGCGTACTCGCAGCGCATCTGTGCCAGCCTCGGCCTGCGCGAGCTGTGCAAGGTGCCCTACGCCAGCTACCTCGACGACACCGGGAAGCCGGTCTTCGACGTCCCCGAGCCTCACACCGCTCTCTCCGTCATGGTCCTCGAACTAGAACCATGCCTCCGCAAGGTCCCTCTCCCCATCATGGTCACAGTAAAGCAGGAGCCGCTCGACGAGTCCGAGCTTGAACAACTCAAGCAACTCGACCTCCGCACTAAAAAGCCTCTCGTTGCGGAGGCTGATTCCACAGTGGAAGACCCCGGGAATCAGGAAGAACCTCCGAAGGCTCCTCCTGCTAACCCTGAGCCTGCAGAGGAACCTGCAAACGATTCCGAGCCCAGGGAGCGTGATCCTACCATCCCCGATTCTACCAATACTGAGTAATCTGGTAAGAAGAAGTAGCCTTTACTCTTAGAGTGGCTATTTATAATGGAGCTGCACCAGCTCGGATTAAGGGTTTGTTGTAAGGGCTACTTAAGTTTTTAGCAGAAAGGTTAACATTTTAAATGCTACCTTTTTTGCTGTCAAAAAGAATCAGGGGACTTGCCACATCTGCCAATCATGGTGGGTGCATGCATGCTTGATTATTTTGTCGTCTAATAATATTCACCAACTGGTGAACCATATTTATTGGAAGGGGTATTTATTTGTAACCCTATCAATGTTGTAGTACTGTCACTATCTTTGAAAAGAAGAAAAGGCTTTTTTTGTAAAGGAAATTGTCAAAGTTCCCACACAAATTGCTCTAAAATCATACCAAACTTGCAAATTGTTTTAAACTTAAATTATTTTCAAAAACAGCAACCATTATTCAAATTTTATTTTTACGACAGTAAATTAAATGGAATTGAATACAATTCAATCAAAAAAGTAATCAATGTGAGTGCTTTCGAGATTAATTTTCATTTGGGACTTACAAATACGACCTTGGATTATTGTAATCTCTTATGTTTATTGGTTTTAAGGCGAATTTAGACAACTTCCTTTTGCGCCAAAGTTTATGTGTATGATGTTTGTGTCTAAATTGCTGGTCTAGTAATAACATCTCACTTAATTTCATCAATAAATAGGTATTCTAGAAAGCCTTTATATCAATTCAAGAATTATTTTGGCCTAATTACAAAAACACTGTCTGTCTCCTATGAAATTTTATTAAATTTATTTAAATTAAGGTATTATTATGGTGGTGCGGCACAAAGTATTTTGATATAATTATACTGTTTAAAATAATGTCTTGTTTATATGCGGACAATACGACTTTACATTTTTAATTTAAAGTTAGAAATTCTAAAAAATTACTCAACAGTTCTTTAAAGTTGATATTATTTAACTGATAATACGAGTATTTAAGTTAATTTATTGAGATGTATATTTTTACTTAGTTTTCTTAAAACCTTAGACTAGTTGAGATTTAATATTTTTCGAAAAATAAAATGTTTATTTTTACATCCCCTTTTCTATAATCTTCATAGGAACTATACATGTCTTTTCAAAAGATATCACATACTATTATATTGTACGATGTTATCTCGTAATCAAGTATTTAGAGTCGATTTACGAGATGACTGATACTTCAACGTTGTTTTGTAGTATCTTTACATTGTATACCCGTAGTAGATTGTGTGTATTTAGCCATTAGGGCATAGTAACCGACACGTATGCATTAATCATTTTCCATGTAGGTACATATTTAATGTTGTTAACAACAACATGTATGTCGGAGGTGTCAAGGTGGAACGATATTATACCTACATTTTATGTAAATGGCGTTTTATTTCAATACCCTACCACTCTAATTTATGAAATATCCTAAATTTTCCTCATCATCACGTTCTTGTTACTTTTTTACATAACATCGGTACAATACGACTTATATTATTATATGATAGTGCAGTCTGACTTGAATGATCGACAAAGAGTCTCTATATTATTTAAAAATGATCGACAAAGTTGAGTATAGGTAGAGCCTCAACTTTGAATTGGAAATCTCCGGACGTTGTGAAAATCCTTGAGAGAGGCCTTTGTTTAACAGTGGATATCTTTCGGTTGACAATAATACTTCTGTTTCTGTACCAAATAAATAATTAACACATGCTCGCTATTCTCTTGAACTTGACAAGACTAGAATTAACTAAGCTAGACATAGAGCCTTCGACATTGAACGTCGTAGTGAATTTTCAGGTTGCATCCTTTGCTGACATTTATTTTAGCATTATGATGTGTTACAATCATCAAGATGCTCTTCTCAAGTTCATAATTATCTAGCGATAAGTAATGGAATGGATGGAATAACTTGAATGGGTATTTCGATTCTGTGTCTTAATAATTATACAATTTTATATTATGAAAATATAAAAAATAGAGACAATCGATATTGTACGCAACAACCAACCGAACCGTTTCTTTAAGACCTCAAATATTATTGACTACAGTTTAAGTGTAAGGTGAAAAGGAAACATTCTCAATTAGTTTAATCAATTTATTGGACAACAAAATATTCTAGATTGATTGAAATTGAAATGTAAAATGTACCTAATGAAGACAAACTTTAACGGTAATAAGTCGGAACCCCAGGTAGATTCAGCTTTTAGGACACCTATTTAGGGGTTATTTCGTAGGGAACAAACCATTAAATATTTGGCAAATCCCCCTTAATTTGTCCTTATGATGGATTGGCGGTTGAACCAGATGTCCCCATGCGACAGTTAGGTAGAGCCTATCGTTCAACCCTAGTTTCAGTACCTCTAGTAGGAAAAACTTTCGAGTTCGTTTCGTTGCGTATTCAAAGTGTCATCGAAAAATTTTGTATGAAAAATTAAACAGCGCCCCCTATATTATAGCCGCCCTAGGGGGCGCTGTTTAATTTTTCATACAAAATTTTTCGATGACACTTTGAATACGCAACGAAACGAACTCGAAAGTTTTTCGTACTAGAGGTACAGGAACACCTACGCGGGTTCGCGCATATTCGAAGGCTTTTAGCGTGGGCGGTCCTCCCTAAGCCTGCCTTATTAGCTTTGGGAAAGATTAATCAAACTCACTGGACTAGGTGACTACATTGATATTTATAAAGAGATAACCTTGGATTTAGGAATAATATCCATATTAAACTTCTTTTCTTAATTTTGTATAATGGATGGAATTAATTACTAAAAATAATTAAATAATAAGTAGTGTAAGGAAAGGATAATCTCAATCGATCACGGTGCAAGTGTGGTTGTGTTCCCTAATGGATGAAGCACATGATATTGTACCCTGCATGCCCAAACTGCACGCAGGAAGATTTTTAACACTCTTGTAGCAGAGTTTGGGGCTTATACCATGTTTGTTATCGACACGACAACAAGAAGAAGAAGAAGAAGTAAAAAATGACGTCAACTCATACATATTTATAAATAACTAATCAAAGATTCTAGGATTTATAGGAATTCGGCTTATTTCACTACTGAGAAGTACTTAAAGGTTACTTTATGAGAAACATTGAGCCTAGATAAACAGTTATGTTAAGTTTTATCGAGAATTCTAGATCTATTTGACCTAATTTAGGCTAGCAAATAACGTTACACGTGATTTATAATATTATGAATGGAAAATTTTAGTCTTGCCTCGGGTATAGAACTAGAATAGTTTAACTTTTATCCACAACACATTAAGTATGTAAAGGATTGATTGAAATAGGAAGTTTCCTTTAATCTCATAACACTCATTTAATTAATAGTGTCTACTCTTAGCCTACCCTATAACTACTTTAAGGGGGTTTAATAAGTTCAACAGATAGCTTAGCTAACTTACTACATTATTTAACTTATTTTACTATCTCTGGAGCTTAAAATGGATACCTTCGGCCTGATCATCAAGTGAGATGCATGCAGGTCAAGACCTTCCTGGTAGTGGATAAAAAAACTTAACAACGGATTTGTAGAAATACATACAATCTAATAATCTATTTAGCCTAGACACCAATCCAGTATAGGATAACCATCAAGTGTACTTCTAAATCAGAAACCTCAGTCATTCGTTTCATTAAAATTCTGTAGATCCTGGTTACACAGGAGTTAACAATGCTAGGAAGACAGAGAACAGACGTAACGAATAGTATACCTACTGCGCCTTCAAGACTGTTTCTTATTATAATAGCTTGCATATTTCGCGTCAAGAGGAACAAACATTTGGCAGCGCTACGCAAGCAAGCAATAATGAAATAAAGGCGGCGCCGCACGGTCCGACAAATAAGTGTCTTGTCTGGGCCGCTGCCAACAATTGATTGAAACGCACTACCTCCCCCTCCTTACCCCCACCCGGCTCAGAACGTGATGCATTACGGCCGAAAAATAAATAATCCTCAAATGGATGCAGCGCCTAGCGTCTTAGATCGAAAATTGGGTAACTATTCGTACGTGTTTATTAGGATGTACATCTCATGAATTGGAAATCTAGAGTATTTTAAAGCTTCATACTTGGCTTGGTGTAACTATTAACATGAAATAAATATTCAGTAAGTATAATTTAAGACTGACTAACTCGTAGGTTGCTAAAAAAAGCTACTCAGAAAACTTCTCTGAAGATCTAATATAACAGAATATTTAAAACGAGAAGGAATATTCTAGAAATTACTAGTTGATGGAAATTGTCAATTGAAACGAATAAAAATCTAATGCAATATTAATTATTTCAAATACTAGGTACTTACTCAATATCTTAGTAACAACGAAACAAATCATCTACAAGCCCGGAAAAACTTTGCTACGAACTTTCACACCGCACGCTGTGTGTGCTACTGTGGTGCTACGAGAATGCTACAGCGTTACGAGATTTCTAAGAATGTAAAAACATTTAGAATTAATTTCAAAATAGTGTTCTTAAAAGCAACCGTTAAAATTAAATGTCTATTTCACGTTATAATAAGGAATATGTTTGTTGTTACTGTTGTTAGCAAATAAAATTATCCACCGCTAAAATACGCCTAATATTATTATACACAGACAATGAAAACTCGCAAACAAGTTCTTAATTTTCAGCCAAATAAGCAATTACCAAACTAAAAATAAGTAGAACTTTGAGAATGGTTTCTAGAGCGAATGATTTGGTGCAATTTAGATCTTTCCAGAAATGGGGGCGGAGGCTTCAGGCTTCAATAAACATTTAAGAACATTGGATAAGATAATCGGAACGCGTGGGAAATGTTAAATAAACTGGTGAACTGAATATTATAATAACCTAATTAAGGTTTAATTTAACCGAAATAATTATGAACTGTTGATCCATGAATCCCCTGTCATGTAAAATTAAAAGAGAATTCATTTTAAACGTTTCAGGGATAAATGAATTTATTTATCGAGAACTCAAACTTTAATTAATTCCAAATAACTGTCAACAATTCTATTACGAAAAGGTTCAATCGTAATGTGTCTTCAGAAATAGGACACCTTTGGGACATGGGAATTCAGGGATAATTATATTATTTTAGCTATACCTATTCACAAAGGCTATCTATCTGTTATTTCATTACGAATGTGTTTTATCAAAAATGGCCTTACTTAAACGAGCTATATTTGAGACGTGTACAAGTAAGTGCACAAAAGGGCCTATTGAGGAATTTGGTAAATGGTAAGTTTCTTGGTGGTGTGTTCCCCATTGAAGTCGACAGTGATTCACCGCATAACCCTGGGTATATAAGCAGGGGCTTCCCGAGGACACGTCAGTCGAGGCTGGACTGTGGGGGTGAGCGCGTCAGCCGCCGCTGCGAACTTTTTACGAGGATCGCGCTATGGGAACTTTCGCGAACGAGGTAAGTCCGTTCGTAGTTTAGTGGAGGTAGTGAGATTTTTTCAGTTATGAGGGAGTGATAATAGGGAATGAGGTTGACTGTACTTTAAATTGCACTAATATAACTTAAACTTTGGGGTTAAATATTTTCTTTTTAAAAAGGACGTCCAAAATCTACATTCAGGGCTAAACCTAATGCAAATGACTGAACCTGACGAAACCTACTCTATGTAATTTAGTCTGAGTTAGTTTTTTTTAAAACGTGTTGTGAAAATACGAGTATGTAGGGTTTTTGCTGCATAATTTAAATTGTAATGTTAGAATAGGTAATCTCTAACGTACCTGCTAAGTATTATAAAAGTTACAAGCATTTCTATCGTGATCGAGTACTAGTAACTGGTAGTTTATCTTTTATCGTCAAATATTTGAAAAAAAAAAAGTTTGAAAGTCGTGGGTTATTTTTAAAATTTTGCGAGAGCCTAAAGGTTATTTGAGTAGGTAGGTTCATCGTTATTAGGATTAGATTATGCTGAAAAAATTTCAAAGGAGCTAAAGTTTTTAAAACTTTGTAAAGATTCATAGGATCCTGGGTTGGGTTTCTTGGAGAGTTAAAAATAGATGCATTAAAATTAAATGATAAAGTAATGGTTGAAAAAACTTACATTCAGGGAGGACTAAACTAAAATAATACACCTAATAATATAAAAGGAACCACTGCAAAATGCTTTAACTGCGACGAGAATTAAGTACATAATTGCATAGAATAAAATGATTACTGATATTAATGCATTTGAAATTACAGCTATATTTCTTAACTATAGTTTTAAAGTAATACATAATTATGTAATACTCAGTCTAATTAGACTGAGTATTAGTATCACTCGGGGCAATAATTAGATTCCTTAACGATACATAAGCGGAACAGCCGGCGTTTTCCCGCGCTTATCTATTAATTTTTCAGAGAAAACTCGAAGCATAGGTACAAAGCTCTAGCAACACGGGCTTGTAGTTGTGTAACGTGGTTTTAATACCAGTTATTTTATTGTTGACTGAAAAAACTAGTTTTAAACAGTAAAAAATGTGATATACTGTTTCAAATCACACACCCAATCAATGGGTAATAATTTTTTTTTATGCGATTGCACTAATATGAAAAAAATATTGATCAATAACTGGGTTGTTTGGTGGTTATGATAGAGATTATGTGCTCTAAAGCTAAAAATTTTGTTTGTTTGTTCCACAATGTTCGAAATTGGAATCACATTTGCATCCTATTGGAAAATTCAGCCATGCATTGCGGTTAAATTAAAATTTACCGTCCGCCACAAAAATAACTATTTTAGCAGTGGTTTGGTGTTTCCATTCGTACCGTTTAGAAAATCACATTACCTAAGTCGAATGAGTGTTACTGTGATGGAAGAACTATACTAATGTGATTGAAGAACTTCACTTGTGATCATAGTTCCAAACGAGAGTTTGGGCGCAACTTTTATAGCGTAGTTATTCTGACATCGGATCGGCAGTATTTTTAGTAACGACGGAAACATCAGTCAACCACGCGATTTTCATTTTTTTATTTTTCTATTTCCACCCAACTTAAGCTGGGTTGCACCGTCTTATTTTAACTTTGACAAACGTCAAAAATCTGTGAAACTCCATGCAAAAACACCGGTTATCGTTATCGGTCAAAGCTAGGTGGTGGTGTAACAGCCTTATTCTGGCAAAAGAGGACTAAAAATAATATTTTTCCATTTTATCAATAGAAGCATTTACAATTCAAGCTTTCACAAACAAAGTTTTGTACCTAACCAATTGTCTTTGAGAAGGTTAACTGGTTGGATGAAATATTCAGTGTTGCTCTATATTCTATTGGAAGATTACAACAACTACTGCGTATTTCTTTGACCTGACAACGAATTTGATTGTCTTCAAGGGTAGGTTCTTTAGTGCTTAATTATTTAGGATGCGCTTAAAGTTCTAAAAACATTAAACACAAACGATTCTTTACAAAGAAAAGAAAAATAGAATGAGACATTTCAAACAAAAAATGAAATGAACCAAGGACAAAGTCCTTGCATCACACTGTCACATAGTTTAGAAACATTTAAAATAGAGGTAACTCTACATACATACCGTAGGGCGCAGTATGTACGAGACACCATTGCACCATCCAGCACTAAAGCACGTCAGGTAGTTTAATTAAAAATATAGTTTTATTTAAGTTAGTTTAAAAACGTTCACTTTAAAAATTAACAGCTTGAAAAATCCTTCTAATTCCGCCTTTGTCTTGAACTTCAACATTTTCCATCCATAAAGAATACTCAATATCCATATTATAATACCGGCATGAGAACAATCTATTTCTATACTAATATTATAAAGCTGAAGAGTTTGTTTGTTTGTTTACTTGAACGCGCTAATCTCAAGAACTACCGGTCCGATTTGAAAAATTCTTTCAGTGTTAGATAGCACATTTATCGAGGAAGGCTATATACCATTGCGCTATGAGTAATAGGTGCAGAGCAAAAATGAAAAATGTTGCGAAAACGGGTTTTCACTCGTCGCGGGCACAGCTAGTATATAATATGCGGCATATCAAAACGCGATTAAATATCACCACATATTTTTCACCTGCATAATAATTTTGGAATTTTATTTCTCGTCGGCTATAGCGCTTAAATGTCGCCATATCAATTTTATAGTCATTTTATTAACGTTAAATTACTTTAGTGATTACTGTAGGAGAATATACATTTGTAACCCGATAACGTCGCAAAGATGACGGACGGCATACCTAGACGTCGCGTTTTTGTACGAATTACGTGCTGTATGTCGCCTTCTAGGCCTAAGGTAGCTAAACGGTTTGTTTCTCTACTTATTTAGATTCCGCGGAATATATGAATATACGAGCAAACACGTGTAAGGAGGTCAGGTCAACCATCGCGTTCTATTAGGTCGTCTTTAGTGAGTAAAACTTCTGCGTTCACTTTATCGGCTACAAGTTTCGCTAACTTCGTTAAGTTTTTTTTGTCATAACTATTATTTATGTGTTGTGTGAATCTGAGATACCACAGCGTACGAAGGTAGTGTCATTTGGATTAATTTCACATGGGGGTTAAATTTAAATTAAGATATGCCGTACGTTTGTAATTGCCTACCAAATTTTTCGGAACAAAATACCTACAAAAAGTGAACTTAATATTTTGGGCTATACTTACTCTCTCACTCAACTTTTTGAGGGGATAAGGTTCCGGTTATTATTGCAAATCGTATGTTGCCAAAAACAGTTATTTAGGTACTACTAGCTTTTGCCCGCGGCTTTACCCGCGTGAAATTTAGTTTGTCACATAATATCGTCATAAATTATAGCCTATATGTTATTCTGGGTTATCTATACTTATAATAAATCTGTAGAGGTCAATTCTGTACATAAAATATATTTTCAAAATAACTATCAGGGGGTGATTAGTGATCGATACTAATGCCAAAAATGCAATCAGTAAAATTTTTGTCTGTCTGTCTGTCTGTCAAAAACTACTCGACGGATTTTAACGAAACTTGGTACAATTATTCTTCATACTCCTGGGCCAGGTTATAGTATACTTAGGAATTCCCACGGGAAAAGGAATTAGCGGGAAAATCCTTTTGTATGAAAAATCTAAACCGCTTAAGTTAGACGCTTGAAATTTGGCATGTAAGTATCTTAGTAAACTTAAAGCTTAGGTACAACAAGTTATTCCCGAAATTCCGACTGGAACGGGAATTAGCGGGAAATTCATTTTGTATGAAAAATCTAAACCGCCTAAGTTAGATACATGAAATTTGGCATGCAGGTTCCTTAGTAAACTTAAAGCTTAGTTACAACAGGATATTGCAAAATTCCCATGGGAACGGGAGTTAGCGGGAAAAAACATTATTTGTATGAAAAAAATCTAAACCACGTCAGATATGTGGGGGGTATGTGGCNCTAGATAGATGAAGGGGGTAAAACGGGATCCACGCGTACGAAGTCGCGGGCGGCCGCTAGTAAAAAATAATACTGTAAAGCGTCGTCAAAATCCGTTCAGTAGTTTTTGCGTGAAAGAGTAACAAACATCCATCCAGACATCCAAACTTTCGCATTTATAATATTAGTAGAATTAATGTAGATAAGTTCATATTCCGCTCCATTTGACCCAGCTTAGTAGCGATTATATTTCATCGAAGTTAAGCAGCTTTAAGTTACCTACAGCTTATTATTTCTGGCACTCCGTAATCACGCCAGAGGGGCCATAAGAATCAATAGTGGCCAGTTACGTTGCATAACCGGTGCATACGACAACGGCGATGGCTGCAGTCAATAATTCAAGCGGGCCATGGCTAATTTTAACCACACACACACCATAGGCCTCGGCCGCGTCACGGCTACGTACGACCTACTCCGAAAACTCTATCGATTTTCTCATTACATAAACCAGTTATTAAAGTCGGTGCTGACTGCATTTGCGAGTGATGCTATTTGGGATGACGATAAGTACCTACTTGGTCCCAAAGATAAGTGTTGGCGACAGACCTTTTTTATATGCGTTTTTTTGTATTTTTTCTTTTGGAATGTTTTTTATATTTTGACGCTTTGTTTTTTTACTTTTTTTCTGCAGTTGTTCATTAAACACCATTAGTCAAAGACGTGTTTCAATAGTAAAAAGTGAACATCTCCAAATCAATTAAATATATTATATAGGTATAGTAACGGGCACACCCGGTGCTCAACAGTAAGTGTTGTAGAGAACACATTTAAGATATAATGTGTAAAAAGTTAGTTTATTTAAAAAAATCGTTTTGTATCATACGGCGGTCTTTATAGTAGGTTACTTTAGGTAGAGTCAAGAGCAAGAGCCTTGATTACCTTCGATACTTAGTTACTTCTGACGAAGTAGTTTGTCGATATTATTTTTAAGAAACAAAAATATTTTAGGAAATATATAGGCACACACTTATTTGCAGTTTTTAAATTTTTGATGCATTTAAAAGTGAATTCGGGCAATCGCCTTGGCTCAAAGCTTTCTAAATTGATTCAAAATCAAACATTGCTACAAACTGATATTAGATTGTTATTCTAATTCGTTAGACTTTGTGGACTTTCGCATTTTTGATAAAAATCTATCGAAACATAATATCAATTTCAATATTTATATTAAATCAATTTGCTATCATTGATGTAAACACAGGGGGCTTAAACAATTCAATGACAATGTCACTCTACCTTTATTTGTTTGCAAGATTGTAACAGACTTGGTGCAAATAAATTACATAAGATATTACAATCAACAACAAGGGCATAGGTACATCTCGATGGGTTTTGTAGCCATGACTAGTGAGTCGAGAGAATCATCAGTGCATTAGGCAGACTTCGTCACGCAGGTGGCAGTACATATCCTCTTTGATCATGGGCATCCAATCGGATAATACTACCATACCATGGCTACCTTGTGACTACCGGATTCCCATAATAGGTACATCTATTGCGTCAATGTATGGGGCAAGATAATTTAATGGAGGTACTTCTATCTCCAATTCTCCACAGACGGAACAAGGGAGGTTAATTGTTTTTTTACGTAGCGCTGTAGTTTCTATTCTACCAATCACCCGGCAAACCAAAGCTCTATGATTTAACTTTATGAGGCAGTCAATTTTAAGCGAAAACTTTTTATGAAATCTGTGTGTACCTTATTTTAATGATACGATCTTTGAACTAAATTACTGAAGTTAATTAATATTTTTCTTTCGCAGGCATACAATGCTTCAACGGAGACCGCGGCCACTTGCGAGATGAGGCGTCAAATCACCGACGGAGGATGAAGTTCAACAAAAACTTTACTTTAAATCAATTTAGATGTCTTGATGGTGTTTGCGGTACCGATAAGACTTTATTGCACGTGTGCAAATTTACATGAAGGTCATCACTTAAATTGAAGTTGAAAGTACTATGCAGATGTGCCTGCGGCTACCGCAACCGCGACGCCTCTTGCGCACGTGAGCGCCAGCCACTTGCCACGTGCGTGCGAGGCCCGCGCGCGCGCAGCCCGCAGCCAGGGCGCCCACCGCGGGCACTCCGCCTCAGTAAACATTGACCAGTGACCACTGTCGGTCCCGCTGCACCGCACGTATGATCATTTCGCTGCATTTAGGGACCATAGGGAACTCAGGGACGCTAGGCAACCTCCAGAGGTGCGATCGAAGCTGAGCAACGTTCGTTTGTCGCAGGTGAGACCCTAAACGGGCAGCGCCTGATCGAGTTCCGACTCGGGCAGGAGGGCGAGTCGGAGCAGGGCGAGGGGCTGGCGGTGGCGTCGGCGGAGCTGATGGTGCGCGCGGAGACGTCGCCGCGCGCGCGCCGCCTGCGCTACACGCTGTGGGCCTTCACGGTGGACGGCAACGCCACGGTGGGCGAGCTGGCGGGCAGCACGCGGCGGGACCCGGCGCGCGGCTGGCAGCGCCTGGACGTGACGGCGGCGGCGCGGCGCTGGGCCGGCGGCGGCGCGCGCGGCCCGCTGCGGCTGCTGCTGGACTGCAGCGGCTGCCGCGGCCGCGTGCGCCTGCGGCTGGGCGGCGGGCAGGCGGCGCGGCCGCTGCTGCGCCTGCGCCTGGCCCCGCCGCCGGCGCGCCGCCGCCGCGCGCTCAACTGCGACGCCACCACGCGCGGCCGCTGCTGCCGCGAGACATTCTACGTGAGCTTCCGCGACCTCGGCTGGGACGACTGGATCGTCGCGCCGGAGGGCTACTACGCGAACTACTGCCGCGGCGCCTGCGGCCCGTTCCTCAACTACCACTCGCAGGTGGTGGAGGCGGCGCGGCTGGAGCGGGCCGCGTGCTGCGCGCCGGTGCGCTTCTCCGCGCTGTCGCTGATCTACTTCGGCGCCGACTCCAACATCATCAAGCGCGACCTGCCCGAGATGGTGGTGGAGGAGTGCGACTGCCCGTAGCGGCGCCCCTGTACATAGCCTCGCTCCGCCCGCGTCGATCCGCTCTCACGCCGCACCGCCGCGGCACGCTTCTGCCGCTCTCGAATCCGATTTAATCCGAATCGATTATAAATAATATTCTCGACTTGTGTAATATTTTGTTCCTCGCATTCGAAAGACTATATCCTAAATCGATAAATAAACTGTGTACGGCGGGCGCGCGCGGCCGGCGCCGCGGTGTTGTTATCCTGTTGCTAGCTGTGTTGTTGTTGGAGGCGCCGGCCCCGCGCGTCCGTGTGTAGACGGCCTAAATAATTTAATACGCCGTTTTCTTTCACCCCGTTTGGTGATCGCTTGTAATTATTGTAAACTGTATTATAATAATTATTATAATTATAATAATAAATCAACTTTTTCATAATTATTATGACATCTTTTATTTCTTCATCTTTTTTCAAGTCTGTCGACCAACACAAAATAGAGTCAAAAAACTTAAATTATTCTAAGGCTGAGTTGCACTATCTTACTTTAATTTTGAGAAACGTTAAAAATCTGTTATTCTCCATACCAAAAGCACCGGTTTAATTGTTAATTTTACGGTTAAAATAAGATGTTTCAACTCAGCCTAAGAATATGAGATTAAATTAGTAATGTTTGATGTAATTAACCCATTTTTGAGGCTATGAAACATACTTAACTAATTGCAAAAAGTTTTTAAGGAACTTATGTCATCGCTCATGGTATCATCACGCTATGTCAAGCGACATAAAAAATTACTCAAAATAAGGTTGTAACTTGTACTTACAAAACGGCTCGCGTGACTCGCGACAGTTAAGTGTACGAGCAGCTGAAAAAATAATAAGCAACTTTACTGAAGACTAATAAAGAAATTCTAGGGAAGTTCTTTAGGCTTAGCAAAAATAAAGTAGGATTAATGGGACAGGACAGGTAGAGCAGGGCTTCTAAGTATGTACCTGTGTATGTACTATGTAATTTACAGTAGACATTCGAAACCGCTGACCACCGATTTTTAGTTGGCCAATAGTTGGGTCGGGCTGTTGATAAGTACGGAGATGTATAAAAGTGCGCACATTACACCGATTTGAATTTACAAATTAGAATCGGGCCCAACTATTGCCCAACTAAAAATCGGTGGTCTGCGCCTAGGCTAAATAGCTGTACCTCTAGTACGAAAAACTTTCGAGTTCGTTTCGTTGCGTATTCAAAGTGTCATCGAAAAATTTTGTATGAAAAATTAAACAGCGCCCCCTACATTATAGCCGCCCTAGGGGGCGCTGTTTAATTTTTCATACAAAATTTTTCGATGACACTTTGAATACGCAACGAAACGAACTCGAAAGTTTTTCGTACTAGAGGTACTGTAGTACGAGTACGTGCTCGTAATTTTGCTACGAAAACTAGAGTTAGAGCTGCTACGCGACTACGAGCTACGGCGCAGCTAATCGTAGACTGAAAAAAATGTATCATTACATTATTATTATTTCAGCAAAGACTATCCTTTTCGCCATTTTAAATATTAAATAACTTCTTAATTTGTTTCGATACACTATAAGAATTCAATAAAATAGTTAAGTATATGTATGTATACCCAGTGAAAAACTAAGTACTTAAAAATTATCCTTTTAAAAATTAAGCTTAAATACTAAAAGTTAAAACTAGTAGGTACCTAGACCTACGTGATCCCTTCCGGCTAACCACCCACGCTGCGTCTTCCGTCCGCCTTACAAAGAGAATTCCAGGCAACTGACCTTATGTCCGAAATTATACAGATTGTAAAAGGTGAAAACTTACACGGTTCATCAGTTCCCGAACTTTGAAAACTTATGTTTTTCTGGAAAACTTATATTTTTCTGGAAAACTTATATTTTTCTGGAAAACTTACAATTTTTTCTGGAAAATTTACAATTTTTTCTGGAAAATTTACGATTTTTCTGGAAAATTTACTGATTTTCATGTTTTTAGGCAAATACTTTAGTTCAAATGTTACCAATACACATTATTATTCTGTTGTAATACTAACGTAAAAGTGGAATACACCTAGTTAACATAATACTTCTAAAAATACTGTTGGATTGAGTTTTAAAAGGCAATACGAATTTCTCGTATAATTAATTATATCAAGGTATACCTACATGGTAGCCAGCTCGCGATTGGTTTTGAATTTGAAACTAGCTCGTAACTGTAAGTTTTGGGCGGTTTAGAGGTGTAAAAAAGTCAAATCGCTTGGAGCAAATATGTATGTAGTGGCGTGAAAGGACTGAAAGGCCAAGTCTCTCTACATTGGTTTGTAACTATGTGATAGGAAAAGCTAGTGGACAGTTCACTCCAGGTCTGAATACCAACGCGTTGCTCATTTTACAACATAAGTAAGGTAAAACACCCAATTATCGACACTTTAACGTCGGGCTAAATTCAAAACAGGCAATGGTCAAGTCTCTCCCCATTGGTATTGTAACTATTGTGATGGGAGAAGCCTATGGACAACCAGTTCTCCTGATAATAGTAAGTACCTACGTGGTGTTACAACATACATAGAATAAATTCAAAACAGGCAACGGCCAAGTCTCCCCCCATTGGTATTGTGAGTATTGTGATGGGCGAAGCTTGGACAGCCCGGCGCCGCGTCGGAGCCGGGATGCGTGCAATCGATGGCCGGCGTAGACGTCGCGGCGCCGATCGTCTTCCGATGCTGTGGTGTAAGTAGCCCGCTGGGAGATGATGCTGTTTTTAACTTGATACGAACAAAAATGTACGTATTGATCGTAAAGGTCTGAAATAAACGTAAAAATATAGGATGCATTTTGAATCTGGACTTTTTTTTTATGTAACAGGAGGCAAACGAGCAGACGGATCACATGATGGACTGAAGGCCCATTTTTTAAAATATTTTCGAAAAGAAAGATAACCTTCAGTTCTACGAGTAAAGCGCGATGAATACAATAATGGTCTCAATAAACAATCATTATTTTCTTAGTGGTTGGTACCGTACTAGTAGAAAATAATAATGTAGTAGCCATACTACAGAAAGGTGCTACGGAAGGGTGCTACGTAGCACGTAGTCATGTAGCATAGGGTGCTACTCCTACAGGTTCCAGTCAGAAATAGTATTTTTGCATATTTTTAAAGTTAGTAAATCTAATTTAAAAATGACCAATAATATAATGAATGTAGCCTAGGCGCAGACCACCGTTTTTAGTTGGCGGATAGTAGGGCCTGATTTTAATTTGTATGAAGAATCGGCCGATACCAAATCGGTGCTGTAATGTGCGCACTTCCATACATGCCCGTACTGATTAACTGCCCGGCTCAACTATCGACCCATAAAAAATCGGTGGTCTGCGCCTAGGCTTACAAGTAGAACGATATGCTTTTTATTCAGTTCTTTATATCTGCACATTCGAGGGAGAACTCACAGCATCTACGAGTACGTGTTATTCATAAGATAAGTATACCTAAAAACAAAAACCTCTAAACCATAAATTAAAAGCCAGCCAGCTACCTACAATGTGCGATCGGATCCGCGGGCGCCCGCCGGCCCGTCTGCGGCGGTAAACATTCGGAGATAGTGCATTAACGCACACAGCTAAATGTCTATTTGCCTTTATTATTGACTGGCTCGACCTCAGATCATAGAAAGAGAATAGATATGAAGTCGCGCGTAACTACAACGAGAACCAGTGTCCCCACATTTCCCCCACCACAGCTCCCACACACACATTCAACTGTGTAAAAACAAAGCGACTGAGAGTCTACGACAACATGTGCAACCGGCTTAAAAGTGCTGTGATTGGCCAGAAGGCGTGCCTTATGGCCAATCAATGGCCGCGTGACGTGACGCACACATAGAAAACGCTAGTGAGAGAACAAAGATAAAATGGAGTCGACAAGATATCGATACTTTAAATCGCTAGGGGCAAGGCTCGAAACTGGTTTCACAAAATGCTTATGTATGAAAACCTTTTTATTATTATACGTTATTATTAACTAATATCACGCATTTATTTTTTAATTATGGCGATCTGCGTACCGCATATGTTTATCAAAAATAATGCCTATATTAGGCTTTCAACTAGCTCTTATAGTAATTACATAGTTGACAGTTACTAATGATTTAGTTAGCAACCACTTTATGTCATGCTCAACTACTGCGCAATGTATTTAATTTCTTCCGATATCCACTGTCGTGTGAAAATACACAGTACGGCCGCATGTGCCGGTCGTAACATAGTGCTGTGCTCGTGTTCTAATGCGGTTTCCTATTATCGATAAATAGAAGTAAATTATAATTTTCTATTTTGTAATTTTAAATAAAAAAATTATGTGTTACTTGCGATTATAAGATTTTACAAAAAAATTATTACAGTAGAAGTAGAAATATCTTTTTATCTTTATCTTTGCCATTTGGCAAAAACCGCAGCGTGTGGCTGTTGCCTTATTTCTTTACATATCCCTTTATTTTTTTAATAATACCTTAGAATCTTTTTACTCGAATGCGCTAAGTTTTTGCAAATTTTTGTTTTTGCTTGGTTTTCAAAATAAGCATTGACACTTATTTTGAAAACCAAGATGTACCTATTAAGTTCATAACTAAGGCTGGGTTGCACCATCTTACTTTAATTTTAACAAACGTCAAAAATCTGTCAAACTCCATACAAAAACACTTCAGCCTAAGTTGAATGTACCACGCACACAAGTAACGAGCTTTCTGTTTGCCTTTATTATTGGCTATGCCGTAATTCAATATGAAGATCAAAGCAGACATACATAACTGTTCTGGAAATTAGCGCATAGTCGTAAATCATAGCAAAATGCGATAGTAACTCAAGATTTATGGTTTTGGATTTGTCATGATGATCAGTATCAACTATTATAGCATTTTTTCTTGGAGAGTTTTTCTTTCATAACTTTACGGAACTCGAAGTTTTTATATGTAGGTCTACAAGACTATAAATCCTTCTATAATGCAAGCGGACAGTTAAAAAAAAATCTAAAAAGGGGATAGAAGTAGGAATAAATAATTATTACATAACTTAACAAATACAAGATTTCATTAGGGAGAGAGGATCCAGAAATTACCTAATTATTAAGAGGAAATAACTTATAGTTATCCCTAAAGGAGGTTGAATTGTAAACTGTATGTAACATCCGGTATTTACGATTTGATGTTTTGTAAGCTCGTTCAAATCGAAAATGAATACACGACTCTACATTTTGCACTTGATATTAGCAATTCAAATATGTGCACTTTTACTGATTCAACACAATGCAGAGAGCATGCGTAGTATACTCAAGCAGCTGATGTGACCTTAAAAAGCCGGTATAGGTACTACGTTTAGAAAGTATCCTCCGTCCCACTTACACCATGGCCAACCATCACACATCTCGTTCCAGCACGAAGGCATTCATTCAATCTTCGGACGATTCGCAGTGCGTAAGCGCATGTTGTATGGGAAATAAGTGAAGTTAGCGCTAAAAAGTTTATTTACTTGTGTGATGAAAAATAACTGTGTACCCGTGCTTACTTAATATGGATAACCATGAAAGTGTGAGTAACTGCTTACCTAAATTCTCAGTCTAGATTGTATTTAGATAAATCGGACATCATCAAACTTTATAACAAGTTAGTGTAAACACAATTATCTCTCTATATGAACCTTTATTCTGTATAAATTGTATAACTCATGGGCACACGCTCCATTGCACGCTAGCCGGTATTTACAAGAATAAAAGCTTAGGGACTAAGAATTCTTCGTATTGTATCCAATTAGATTCAAACCAATACCACAGTACCGAGAAGTTTTTGGCTAGTAGAGATAGGAGAACTGAAACTTCGTCCTATTTATGAATACGTACTTGATATGTTTATTTTATATATTAAATTGCTAGAATAGAATATTCGCGTATTCTGAGATTCACGTGCCTACTTTCTCTATTTTTGGTTCTAGGACACAAATCAAGCAAAAGAAAATAACAAGTTTACCTCATCGCATAAAAACACAGCACAGGAAATTGATAAAATAAGTAGCAAGAATATTAAAAAGGACGCAAATATTAACATATTTCTTATCGTATGTATCGTTGGCGTTTCTTTGGGTATATTATTAGAAATATTGAATGTACAGAACAGAAATAATGGGGTTCAGAGACCGAAGTATTGGGTGTACTCCGATCACAGTGACGTTGACAACAAGAATGGTATTCTCAAACATGTACATCTAGTGCTAGATCGATACGGGTACGAAAAGAGCACCAACACATCTTCATGGAACCTCCTTTGGTCACACGACTACCCCTTCCGAGTACTGTATCCGAATCTTCACAGATTGAAGCCTTACCAAAAGGTGAACCATTTCCCAGGCACAGGGTTCATAACGAACAAAGTGGATTTTGCCACCTCCAATTCAAAGTACATTCCCAAAGCATTCAAATTGCCTCAAAATAAGAAAGAGTTTTTGGAGTACGCATCGAAAAACAAAGATGCGCTGTTTGTTGAGAAGCATAATCAGCACAGACAGATATTTATAAAAAATGTGAGCGAAATTGACCTGTCGAGTGGACGAAGCTTTGTGCAGGAGTACCTGCAGAAACCGTACTTGGTGGATGGGCACAAGTTCGACATTGGTGTGTACGTGGTGCTGACTTCTGTGGACCCTCTGAGGGTTTACTGGTACAAGGGTGACGTATTGTTTAGGTGGGTTTAGTAACATTACTTAAATAAAACATTAACAGCATCATTTACTGATCACACACAAGATAGTAGTAAGCCTTTTCAATGACTCTATAAAATCCAATAAAACACTAACATAATAAACAAAAGACTAAAAAGGGCCGGTTGCCAATATGGACCATTTTCTGAAATTCACTGTATTTTAGGAATGGGAGCTATTAATAACCGAGGTTTATTTTAATTAAACATACTTAACAGAGCTGTCACTGCTCACATCCAGTAAAAGATTAAGGCAAAACTTAAGGTACTACCTATTTTAATTTTACAGATACTGTCCAGCAAAGTATTACCCATTTGACCCTAAGAACCTGGACAAATATGTGGTAGGAGACGACTACTTGCCCACGTGGGAAGTGCCGTCTCTAGCGCACCCTTACACGGCCTTGGGATTCAGCATGAAGAACGCTTTCGACCATTATGCTCGCTCTAAGGTAAATAAACTATACAAATTACCTATACATTTTCTTAACATCGCGATAGGTATTCTTAAACTTGACTGGTACTTGTGTCCAATTTCTCCATCAATCCCTAATTTTTAAGTGATCCCTATGGTAACACAACAGGAATTTCGTTTTCATAGGGCTTAATTTGGGATTGATGGTGAAAATGGGCATTGGTCTACCTGTGGTAAAGCTAGATTAGTGTCTGGTTTCCTATGAGCTACAACCTACAAAATCTATGTTAGGGAGTCAGAAATACAAGAATTTAATATAAACCTGCCTATTACATCATTATTATTTTAATTACTCTGAGGTTGAACAGAGAGTCTAGAATTCTAGACAGGCGTAATAAATAACAGTGATGACGCACATAATGTGGCTTTTCGGGATTAACTTTAAGTTGACGTGACAATGGCCGCAGGACAGGACAATTACCTTTTCATGGTTCAGACTCAAAGGTGATCTTTTTAGGACGAAGCTTTTCAAGCTTTAAATAAAATTACACCTAATGTTCGTCCATAAATCACTTTGTATCCCGATTTACAAAATGACGATACCTATAAGTACCTAACGACAAAAGGTAGAGTCAGTATACAGCCACAATAAATCAGAATCCTAGTTACTTTAAAAACAATTCTCAGGTGGTATTTTAAGAAAAATATGTTTGAGACCATGACATACCATCTCAGTTAGTTTGTGATAACAATAGAAAAGGAAGTAGCTCTCTGTAATCAATTACCTAGGTCCTACTAGGTACTAAGAGTAGGCGCACACCATTGATTTTTAGTTGGCAGATAGTTGTGCCCGATTTTAATTTGTATGAAGAATCGGCCAAATCGAATCGGCGTAGTGTGCGCACTCCCATACATGCCCATACTGATCAACTGCCCGACTGACTATCGGCTGACGAAAATCAACGGTGTGCGCCTACTCTTACTCAATTACAATGAAATAAGATGTAATTTACTGCCATTTAAGAAGTTTGGTTCTAAGTAGGTACGACTATATTGGCACATAAAAAAAGAATCTGGTCATTAGTTTACTTATAGGTATATCTAAAATTTACAGAATATTTATTTACAGAATGTTTATTTCAGGGCGACGATCCATCAAAAATGTGGGAAGACGTGAAAAAAGCTGTCGCCGAAGTTTTTATTAACAAAGAAAAACACATCATTGAAGCAGTAAGTTTACTTTACCACCGTCTTTAGTTCTAAAAATATACCTTAGTAGGTACCTTACCTACTTAACTTAATTTAGATTACTTGAAATTGCTGCGCTGAAAATAGGTAAGTAGGCACAATAGATTAACGAAAGACCGCAACGATACCGTTATTTTAAATCGTGAAATTAACTCTTAGAAATTAATTAATGTCTTACTAAATCGTACAAAGAAGCAAGTTGGCGCCCGAGTTATACAGTAGGTAGGAGTAATACCTATATTATGACCAATTTAAAAACATTATTTAGGGTGCACTGTCTTTATAGCATCTTTGCAACCGAAATCAACTGGCTACCGATAAAAGGCATCCATTGTTACAGTTGAAGAGCTACCCATCATCGGACAACTTCTTCGAAATGATGCGAGTCGATCTGGTGGTGGATGAGAACCTGAAAGTGCATCTTCTGGAAGCGAACATGTCTCCGAATCTGAGCTCAGCCCATTACCCCCCGAACCAGCTGTTGTACGAGCAAGTGCTTTATAACTTGTTCTCTATCACGGGGGTTGGGACAATTATAAACAGACACAAGGATCCTAACCAAAGGTGAGCCTATGAATTCAAATAGATTACCTATTTCTAATACGCGATAGGTAAGTACCTACGTCCTGGCTCAGCATGACCCAAAGGTCGATGCTTTAGTCCATTTTTTAAGAATAAGAGTTCATTACTTAGTTCGATCACTTCGCACCTACTAGATTAATTTAAAAGGACCTAATAGGGTACTGGACCTATTTTCCCATCGTTTAATTTACCCATGAAGTTTTAAAATGGTGAAAATAATAAACTTACTTAGCGCTAGAATTGGAGTTCATATAATATCCATACCAACCAAGTTACGTTACATTGAAGGGTATGATAATGTACGTAGCAAAACTACTCGTGTACCGACTTCAACTTTGCCATTATGCGCAGAATAAAACATTTCTTTTGCAATAATTATAATCAATAAATAGTTGGTAAATAAAACGTGGGATTGTTGATCTACGTTGGCGAAAGTCAATATAGGTTCATAAATACGATTTATAAATGAAATCTGGGCTTCGCAAATATGGAATATAAAATTACAATATGGAGACAAGGAATGTAAATGATATTTGGATATTTGCTCTCCTTTTGTGACGACATTAATCTAACCACCATGGTACGAGCCACGCAGCTGTTGTCAAGCGCCCCGGCCGGCGGGCGGCGGCGGCCACAGCGTGAGCACTTTTAGTAGATTTCTACTTTTTTGGTAGATTTGAGGCAAAGAGAACGATGATTTAGTAGTGCGAAATCGTTTTGTAGATTTTGGTAGATAATTGGTATTTTTAGAACATTCTTATATATGGTAATCCAAAATTAAATTGTAACCGAGCTGAGAATCCAGGCTAAAAAAAAAGGCCAACGTCTACCAACTTTTTCATTATATCGACAAAAATAATTAGCGGGCCGCAATTTATAATGAGTACCTCTGATATTTTTTTTTTATCAACTCTCGGCGAACAGACTTTAATAATTATGATAGAGGTAGTGAGGTAGGTAAGGTAAGTAGGTAATTATCTGAACTACCTAATAGAAAAGGAGTGATGCAAGCGCAAAACCAAAACAGTGATAATTTCGGTGCAGTCCTGTTGTCCCCCCTGGGGAAGCCAACAGATCAACAACCCCAGGGAGGCCAAGGGACAACAGGACTGCACCATAATTTCGCGTTACACTTTCATAACAAGTGTAAATAGCGCTAGTAGCTACTTACCTTTTCAAAATTTATTTAATGTATAAGTTATGCCATATAAATTGGCACATAAGATGATAAGACGAACTTGATACTATAAAGCATTCTCTGCCAGTAAACCTTCCAGAAAAAAAATCAATTTAACCTATCGAACCTGGGACCCCTGAGTCAGAGCCTGCCAGATGGTTTTATCTTTTATCACTAGATAACAGAGGCGTTTATCTTTAAATGCATAAATATCTACGTGTAATAAAACACAAGACCTCTCGTATGGTGTTATAAAGGTATTCCTTCCACCAACGGATATACAGAACAATCCTCTAGAATGTTACGAATTGTATGAATAAATATTCAACTGTTGTTGACCCATATACTTACCTATTAGACTTGATTAACTTTTACCTAAGGAAGAGCGTGGGCTTATTGTTCACTAAATAACTACACAACAAATGCGAATATTACGTTGATAACACTAATAAGACTAGGTACTTAGATTGATGTTTCTTATCTTAACAATCGTTTTACCATTTATCATTATCGTTAAGTTTTCTACTTCCTTTCCGGACGTGACAAGTAGCAAAAAAGTAATTAAGTAGGTACTTAGAATAATAATTAAAATAGAATTATTTATCATGTCAATTTCTGCCCGGCCGGGAATCGAACCCGGGACCTTTCGGCATAGTAGTCCGTTCCGAACCACTACACCAAAAGGTATTTAGTAGGTACCTACTTGTTCTGAAATTTTGGTTTGTCTGACGTTGGTGGGACGTAGGTACTTAGTCGTTACCTTGTAAGTTGTACCAAAACGCGTGAACGGTGTACCAACTTGAATAGGGACCTTTCGTCATCCACCATACCTATGAAAAGATCGTATTTTGGATAATGATCGCATAGCTATCCTCTTATAGTCATTGTAGTAGGTCAAGATCCGCACTTATCTTACTGCGTTCAAGGCGATATTCCGTGAAAGATAAAAAGTATGATAACAAAAAATGATTTTCCTTGTGATTTAGGCAATTCAAAACTGTAAATTTAATTGAGTGTAAAAATCATGTCTACGCGCAAGCACGACTTTAGGGGAATGGAAATTACCGAGGGCGAAATATTATTCAAGGGGTTATTAATATTCATAAGATAGGTTTACTATTCTACCAGAAATAGACTTAGTGATAAGGACTACTTACCTATTAATGTTTCCGTAACGTTATTAATTAACCATGAACATTATTGTTTTTAGCGATCAAGCCGCAGCGAATATGGTGTCATCTCAAAAGAACATAGCCGTTTGGGGTGACGAGTGCAGTACAGTCTGCAAGGACAACTGCGAGTCTCTCTCGGTCTGTGCATTATGCAAACCCTGCATCGCCAGCAAACTGCGGAACAGTTTGCTCAAGGCGCATAGAGAATATTTGCACCAGGGCGACTTTAGGAGACTTTTCCCTCCAGCTATGGTTAGTTACTGCTAAAGAGTAAAGTACTCTTTAGTATAAAAAAGTAGTTTGATCTTGATTAACAATTATTTTTTTCTTTGCAGAAACAAAATACAATGTATGAAGAAGCCCTCCAAAGTTTGAGTGAAATGAACAAGCTCCAACATCTGTGGTACCAAGGAAAATGCAATGAAGATGTGTCATGGTGTACATAAAAACTAAGTCATTACATTTAAAATCTTATTTATTACAAAATATAACATTTTGTTTTCCTTGATCTAAATTCCAAACTTATTTAAGAACATTGAACCATAGATTGTAGCAGGCCCAAAATGTAACTGCCCAAATCCTCATCTTGGTTTGTCCAAGACACATAAATACTTTTAGTATTTTCATCTCCTTCAACTTTTATAAGCACTGATTCAACAGATATGTTACCATCGGATATGGTTATTGTCCAGCCCTCCAGTTTTTCAGATAGTAGTGCCTTTAGTTTTTCTGCAGTCTTGACAGCTGGGCCTGGATCATCAAATCGTACTGTACTTGTGAACCGAATTACATGCCTGTTGATACCTATTTCATCATATACTTCATCAATATCCAACAATGAAAGTCTGTTGTCTTTGACACACAGAATCCCATTCACAACACGTCGCCTTTTTGGGTCTGGGGGCAAAGCATTGTACCTCACAGCCTCAGCCTTCAGTAGTCTCAGAGAAACATCCACAGGGAGCTTTGTTGGAGTATTTATCACAGTTGTTTCACCATTAGCTGGCATGTAGCAGTTTATTTTAAATTCTTTTTCAATCTTGTCTTTCAAAAATTCCATTTTCTGGGCTTCACCATGTACCAATAGCACATTTTTAGGCTCACAATACTGTATTAGTTGCATGATGCCTTTGGCATCAGCATGGGCTGAGAATGACATGTACTCAACAGCCATTTTAACTTCAACAACTTGGCGATTTTCAAATTCAACTTTCTTAGCCCCATTTAGAATTTTGTGACCAACAGTTCCTTGGACACAGAAACCAGGCATAATAACCATGTTTTGCTCATAAGGTGCCCATTTTTTAAAGATATTCAATGATAATCCAGCATGTAACATTCCTGGTGTAGCAAAAACCACCATGGCGCCTGGGTTATCAATGTAGGTCTTATCAAAAGGCTTAATGTGCTTGAAATCAAACATATTTCTTTGTACAAATGTCTTCCTAATCTTTTGATTAGTCCAAGTAATAAACATTTTGTAGTAATTGTTAGCTTTTTCAGTCAGTCCCAATGCAAAGTAAACTGGATACTTTAAATTCATTCTCTCCCAATAAGTTTCCAGTAAAATGCAAAGTTCTTGAGCTCTGCCCAATGCAAATACAGGAATGAGGACTTTTCCACCTTTTTCTACACATTCATGCACTTTCTTTAGAAAATCTCTCTCACGACAGCGTTTTGAGTCTCGAATGGTAGTGGCATAAGTTGACTCTGTTATCAATAAATCGGGACGGCATTTATCAATCCAAGCTGCACCTAGATGCCTGTCCGGGGTCATGTTGTAGTCTCCGGTGTACACAACAGATTGGGAGCCAACTTTGATCCAAAACATAGCAGCTCCAAGCACATGACCAGCATAATATGCCTTTATTTCTAAATCATTATCCACCATGACTGACTGATGCAGTGTGACAGCAGTCACCTTCTTGATGCAGTCCTTTATCATTTGAGAAGTAAAAAAATTTGATTCTCCCTTTCTTTCCACAACAACTTTTCTCATATCCTCGAGCAGAATAGGTGCTATAGCTTTGGTAGGATGAGTCATGTATATAGGGCCAGTGTAGCCTATCATTTCGGACATGTAGGGCAACGCTCCACAATGGTCCAGGTGGAAATGTGATATAATTACGCAGTCGATCTGACTGGTTATTGGACCTTCTGGAACTATGTAAGAGAAGTCGGGAAATCGTCTTTCATCGTTGTAGCCCATGTGCATGCCACAATCTAACATTATGTTTTTACCTCCCATGGACAGTAGTATACAACTCCGGCCCACATCTTGCCCAGCTCCCAAAGGAGTAATTTTGATTTCAGGCATGTTGTTATCACTTACTGATAACTGCGATGATCCAACACCACTACTTTATTCGACTCTTGTGGTATTTCATATATTTTTGTTTACTTCATCTAAGCTTTTAATAACGTGATTAAGTTTGTGAAACCAATTTGATATTAAAAAATGAGCCAAAAACATTTAGAAAAACACTTCCTCCTTACGACAAACAAAATTGAAAGAAATGATGATCTGCTGCTGTGAAATGATGAAGACCACAGATCAAAATTAGATTAGCTGTCACTGTTAGTGATGGGGCCGTTATAGTTAGATCATAATATGATTCATCATTAATCTTAATGCGATGTTATTGCTCTGCGACATAAAGCGAAACTTTGAATTATTTAATAAAGTCGGGTCTCCAGCGCGCGTTTTGCCTAAAAAATCAACAAAAACATGTCAACATTCAATATTTTTTGTGGACATTTTTGTTGAATGTTGAAATGTTTAATTGTTGACTGTGTAGGGCTTAACACGCGCTGAAGACCCGGCTTAAAATATTACTTTTAATCAAAATGTTAAAATAGTACAAACCATACAAAGAAAATAATTCTCAAAATGCAGGTTACTTCTACTAATACGATCTTTTACGATTGAAAATCGATTTATCAGATATAATCTATTATCTGATCAAGATTATAGCACCTCTCTAGGTATCCAAAAAAAAGACAAATCAAAGATTATACTAGGGATAGAGCACACAGGAGTTCCAAAAAAGGTTTTTATTTCATTGGAGTTATATCTCAAAACTCATGAAACTGAAAAGGACATGATGACACTGTGACAGACTTGCTTGATATTAAAAGATTCTAAGCTATTTTCCGGCATTATTTAGTCCCACGAAAAATAACAAAATAGCGAAGAGAATTTATGTGCTCCATCTTTAACATGCAGATCAAATCCAATCAAATCTTACAAACTTATAAAAAAATCAAAATGTCAACTGTCTGTTCTGTCTTCTGTCACAAAAATGTCAACAATTTTCTGAAGGAAAATCAGGATATTTCTCATTTATTGGATTTTCTTTTAAAATAAAGCTCTAAAAATAATAAATAACGATACGTGTAAATTTACTCAATTAATAAGTTATTAATCTCTCTGTTTCCCAATGATTATATAAACAGCTATTCATCAGCATTGTGTTAATTGAATATGTGTATTTACGATAAGCTTATCTCCACTACCAATCGTTTGCCGACGCCGGATTATTAGTGTTCTGTAGTTTGCCGGCTCGCAAGGTGTAGACGTGTTCTGTGTTGTTTCAGTAGTATTAAAAAATAGTTTAAAAATGTCCGGCGAAGGCTCCAGTTCTAATGGTAACTCGAAAATAGCGTTGATTACCGGCATCACCGGCCAAGTGAGTTTTACTTGATTTGTTCTTGATAGTGTAGTTTCTATTCATGGGAAATCCTTTTACTATCTACTATTGATGATGTGGCTTTATGGTTCTTTTTTATATTGAAGTGTGGTTTAAAATTTTGTTTACTTTTTCAGGATGGCTCATACCTTGCAGAGCTTCTTATCGAGAAGGGGTACGAAGTGCATGGGATCCTCCGCCGCTCCTCCTCCTTCAACACCGGCCGCATCCAGCATTTGTATGGGCAGCCAGCCCTCCACACAGGGGGACGAATGCACCTACACTACGGAGACTTGACTGACACCACTTGCCTTATTAGTATAATCACTAAGGTATGTATCTTGATTTAATGTAACTTACTTATCTATTTTGATATCATTAATTTTTTAAGGTTTATTATACCCATTTTATTTTAATTAAAGTTATCTTAAGAAAGTTTCTGGATTTTGAGGAACTTCTTTTAATGATGCTAAAAGACACACACAATTTAATTATAGTTAGGTTTTTACAACTTAACTGGTATAAGAGAAATTACTTCCATAAAAACTTGGTAGAGGAAACTAGTGAAGAAAAGAGGTAAAACATTTGAAGTAAAACCATTGAAAAAACAATTTACGTAATTGTTTCCTGCTTTAATCTGTTGTATAAAATATGTGTAGTAATTTAGACCTATTTAACACCAAAAGTTATTTGCCAAAACCATCATGTCCTTGCATTGTAATGACTTCACAATTTCCTCACAGTTGTCATAAATTCAAGGTATTCTAAAGTATAATTTAAAATTAAATGATGGTATTAAATTGAGAATAATTGTCACAACAATAGACTTGCAATATGGACAAAAAAATGAAATATTATTTTGTACTTTTTTGCAACTAGATCAGATTAGAGAATTAAAATTGAATTAAAATTTCTTGTCTGTTTTCCAATTTTTAGACCAAGCCAAAGGAGATATACAACCTAGGAGCCCAATCTCATGTTAAAGTGTCATTTGAATTAAGTGAATACACAGCCCAGGTGGATGCTTTGGGCACTCTAAGGTTATTGGAGGCAGTGAGAGCAGCAGGGCTAGAGAAAGAGACGAAAATATACCAAGCTTCAACATCAGAGCTCTATGGAAAAGTCATGGAAGTGCCACAGAATGAGAAAACACCATTTTACCCTAGATCACCATATGGTAAGATATTATGTATAATAGACCCTGGATTTTCATAATAAACTGCCACCTAGCTGTTGCAATCTGAATAAATTTAAGAGAGTCCCTTTATAAAACTATGAATTAAAAACAAATGGTGGCTTATTCAATTTCATAAATACCACAACACATTGTGTGTAATAAATAAGCTGTAAAAATAGTATACACTACACATGAAATTGAAGTTTGTGACCATGGTTCTAATAAGTGACTAATTTACAGTTCAAATATAGGTACACCTACATTTTGATTTCAAATATTACCTTCTCAAGATAATTTTAAAGAAGGAAATACTTATGACTAACCATGCTATCACCCATTATTACTCTGTAATCTTAGACCTTGTTAGATTGTAAATGTCTACCATAGTATACCAACATTGATTACATTCTTTTAGTGGCCATTTGAAGTTTGTTTTGAGAATTCCTTTGAATTGTCTGTAGACACAATTGCTATTATGTATTTTACAATCATAATACCACTCACAAGGATATTATTAAAGCGAATGTTTTATAATAACACATACTTTCAATGAATCAATGATGTTATCAAGTTATCAGTCAATGATAACTATGTGTTGTCAATAATTACTATTATGTCTATTAATAAGTATTGTATCATTGTGTTGTATATTTGAAAGGTAAAATCATAATGTAATAAAAGGCACAGGATGTAGTTTATTGAAGAATTTCAACTGTATTTTTGCCAGGCCAATTAGTTTGCTATACCTCTTCATTTCAACCCAAAAGTTTCTTTGGGCACTAAAGAACCTTTCTGTCTTTCTTATTGGTCTCTCTTTACCAATTTTATTGCAATGTTTAAAGCGCACAACACAGTGGTGTTACCACAATATAAATAAATATTATTTTTTTAGCTTGCGCAAAACTCTACGGTTATTGGATAGTAGTGAACTACCGGGAGGCCTACGGCATGTTTGCCTGCAATGGTCTCCTGTTCAACCACGAGAGTCCTCGACGAGGCGAGAACTTCGTCACTAGGAAGATTACCAGGGGAGTCGCCAAGATCACGCTGGGTTTGATGCAGTACTTGGAACTGGGTAATTTGGACAGCAAGAGAGACTGGGGACACGCTAAGGATTATGTTGAGGTGAGACATAGAGGACCGACAAACTCATAAAGGTAGCAGGAAGGCGCTGCAAGCCGCCACCAACTGGCCATTGTGAAAATCATTGGGGAGGCCTATGTTCAGCAGTGGATGTCCTATGGCTGAAATGATGATGGTGAGACAGAGATTAACAATGTATTTGTACAGATGATACAGTTTTTCAGCAATACCCATATAACTTTAAAAGAACCTAATATAATATTAGTTCATCCTATATTATTATATGCAGTTCTGCAATAAATACACTATACTAACACAAATAAATATTACTGTAAACATGTGAACCAATATTATATGAATAATTTTTAATTTTATCAATACTGCCTCCATGTAACATACTTAAAATTATGTTAATGTAATTTACACGGCGAATAAAGACGTCGTTTTAATTGTTCAGTTGTTAATCAAGGTCACTCTTACTCGTTTGTGTAGATAATGTTAATACATCTTACTAAATTAAGAATGTACCTACAGTCAGCGTCAAATTGTTCGTGACACCACAACTGGTCAAAAAGTTGCCAACACAACCATATCCGAATGGTTACAAAAACGTGTGACCTTTTTGGCAACTCTAGGTGACACGAACTATCTTTCACGCTACGCGTACACGTGGACCCCGTTTTACCCCCTTAGGATTGAATTTTGCTAAATTCCGTCTAGTGAGCACGTTCGTACCTGCGTTCTAAAAGGAACCCCCATGCAAAATTAGACTTCTAGCACTTGTAGTTTCTGAAATTTCGTGATAAGTAAGTAAGTCATTGAGTGACCTTTCTCTTTTATAATATAGAAGGTGTAATAATAAACCTCAATTTTGATAAGTCTCTTTCATCCAGGCAATGTGGCTAATGCTACAACAAGAGGAACCAGAAGATTTCGTAGTGGCGATGGGTGAAGCGCACAGCGTCCGCGAGTTTGTAGAGAAAGCGTTCGCGTGTGTGGACCGACGCGTCGTGTGGCGCGGGACTGGCGTGGATGAGACGGGACATGACGCGGAGACTGACCAGCTGCTTGTCAAGGTTAACCCGAAGTTCTTCAGGCCTACGGAAGTGGTGAGTGATCTGGAGGATTACAAGATAGAAGGGTTCACGTGTGTAGACAGTAGATCAGTCTTTCCCAAAGTGGGCGATAACGCCCCCTTGTGGGCGCTGCAGGCTTAAAGGGGGGCGGTAAGAGACCCAGAAAAAAATCGGGATGTTGTGTAGAGGCTTGAGAGGCGTCATCTACTAGGAGGACTCTTAGACATCGACTGAGCTCGACTCTTGACTACAAAAATGGGAGGCGCTGCAAAATAATTTATTCTCAAAGTGGGCAGTAGACTAAATAATAAGTTTGGGAACCGCTGCAGTAGATGGCCGCGTTGTGAGAGCATGTGACGTCACGATGCATATAGCTTACGATGTGAATAGAAAGAAGAAATTCGTAACCTTTTTCAACCTTACGTGGGTAGCAATAAGAACGCATCATGTTTAGGTGAAGATACTAAACTTCCCGTAATAAAAGTTATTGGATTATTGTATATCTATGTATCATCTGTATTACCTATTTTCATCGTGTGCCAAGTTTCATAGGCAGAGGACTTATTCGGGTTACAATAGCTTCGTTGATCGGACTAAAATTCATTATTGGCTTTAAACCAGCCTAAAAACAATGATAAATACGTCACATATACTATTATTATTATTGGATGTTTTAAATACCAGCAAAACATTGCATCTATATACAGGGTGTCCCAAAAACAATGGATAACCCTGTAACCATCGATAGACCTCGCCATGATCTCCCTAACGTCCATTTTTGACCCCAGTAAAAATATCACCGATTTCAAGATTTTTAAGTTTTTGTGCATTTTTAGAAAATTGCCACCTGCGATTACTTTTTCTCATGCCATTTCTACAAATGAGAATATTTTTCAATCTAGTTTTTTTCCTTATCACAAGGGATAGTTGGGCTATCAAAAGAAAAGATTAAAGTTCAACAAACTAGTTTGAAAGTATGAAAATTTTAAGAAATTGCAGAAGAGAAGGAAAAATTAATTCATTATCTTGCACTTTTGATCAGCCATCGTGTAAAAAAAATGTTGGAAGACCATCGTGCCCATTACCTTAAAAACTTCCTTGGTTAATTGAGATTCTAAAAAGGCATCACAAGCCTATGTATCCTGAATTATTTTTATCTTATGGCTACTTGAATAGCAACTAGTATGAAAACTGCAAAAATGAGTTTTTCTCGTAATAGTTAAACTAGGACTACATAGTGGCATTAAATACAAATGGATAATTTTTAGCATAGGAATTTAAATAAAACAACATTTTATCATCATCATCATCATCATTTCAGCCGTAGGACGTCCACTGCTGAACATAGGCCTGTACCCTAATGCTTTTCATAATGACCGCTTGGTAGCGGCCTGTATACAGCACCTTCCTGCTTATCTTTATGAGGTCGTCGGTCCACTTTGTAGGTGGACGTCCTACGATGCGCTCTCCGGTACGTAGCCTCCACTTGAACCCTGCTGCCTCAGTTCTGCGAACTACTGTGCCTTGCCCTTTGCCACTTCAGCTTGCTGATCCGTCGGGCTATGTCAGCGACTTTAGTTCGTTTACAGGTCTCATTTTTTTATTTAAAATTACAAAATAGAAAATTATAATTTACTTCTATTTATCGATAATAGGAAACCGCATTAGAACACGAGCACGGCACTATGTTACGACCGGCACATGCGGCCGTACTGTGTATTTTCACACGACAGTGGATATCGGAAGAAATTAAATACATTGCGCAGTAGTTGAGCATGACATAAAGTGGTTGCTAACTAAATCGTCAATGTACAAGCGTGTTAGAATTTTTATCACCACTGATATCGATATCGCAGTAACTGTTACGGCACTGAATTCGTTCGTGAAAATGTTTAGTTTTTTTTATTTATAAGCAAAATACCAATGGATTTGCAATACTTACATGTAGTAAATGACTCCATTGTTCCTGTAGTTCTTCGTTTTACTTGTTTTATTGCACGTAACGACGCATTATCCAAAATATCGGAGAACATTTCCTTAGTACGACTGAATCGCGACTAACCTAGCTACGCGGCCGATGTTCGTTTCTGGGCATATCGCGGAGACACGCGCCACGCCCCCGTTTCACATCTATTCCCTTCTATGATCTGAGGGCTCGACAGTTAGAGCTTGGTCATACAGTGCGTCGAATAGCAAGATTATTAACCTACCTACGCTTTGAACTGTCTATTGAAGGAAGAAAGCCGTTGCGTAGTTTAAAAGGCCTTGGCCTAAGTACCTACAGACACATGGAGACGTAGGGATCATACATGAAATGTATTTTACCTACTGATATTATTGTCTTATTGTCTAGTTTGCTCATATAAGTACTAAGGATAGGATTTACCTAAACCGGTTTCAATTTTTTTTTATCCACAACGCGGAAGCTCTTGGCCTGTATCTCACTTGATGGTAAGTGACGATCAGACCGAAGGTGGAAGCGAGCACCAGCCGGAATCCTCAACCACGGAGGAACTGGCTATCTTACCTCTAACTGCCGGAACACAACAACGCTGTTAACATTATTGTTGTTATGGCGACAGACATAGTTAAGATGGTGGGTGGTAGCTAGCCAAGCGGACTTAGAACAAGCCCTACCACCAACCAAACCGAACAGAAAAATCTGCCCCCACTGGGAATCGAACCCGAGACCTCTGCGTCTGAAGCAGGTGGTCTTACCACTAGACCACAGGGGCCGTCAGATTTTGTTCACAGGACGCGGCTCTTAAAACACAGAGCATTCACACCACAGCAATGTAGTAACCTACTACCTACCTATACCTACCTATACACATTCTGTCTACTTATTAATCTTTAACATTGTTTAATAACTAGCAACACAGCTTGACTAAAAGATAGTGATACCTAAAAATATCTTTTTATCTTTATCTTTGCCATTTGGCAAAAACCGCAGCGTGTGGCTGTTGCCTTATTTCTTTACATATCCCTTTATTTTTTTAATAATACCTTAGAATCTTTTTACTCGAATGCGCTAAGTTTTTGCAAATTTTTGTTTTTGCTTGGTTTTCAAAATAAGTGTCAATGCTTACTTGATACAATAAGACAATAATATCAGTAGGTAAAATACATTTCATGTATGATCCCTACGTCTCCATGTGTCTGTAGGTACTTAGGCCAAGGCCTTTTAAACTACGCAACGGCTTTCTTCCTTCAATAGACAGTTCAAAGCGTAGGTAGGTTAATAATCTTGCTATTCGACGCACTGTATGACCAAGCTCTAACTGTCGAGCCCTCAGATCATAGAAGGGAATAGATGTGAAACGGGGGCGTGGCGCGTGTCTCCGCGATATGCCCAGAAACGAACATCGGCCGCGTAGCTAGGTTAGTCGCGATTCAGTCGTACTAAGGAAATGTTCTCCGATATTTTGGATAATGCGTCGTTACGTGCAATAAAACAAGTAAAACGAAGAACTACAGGAACAATGGAGTCATTTACTACATGTAAGTATTGCAAATCCATTGGTATTTTGCTTATAAATAAAAAAAACTAAACATTTTCACGAACGAATTCAGTGCCGTAACAGTTACTGCGATATCGATATCAGTGGTGATAAAAATTCTAACACGCTTGTACATTGACGATTTAGTTAGCAACCACTTTATGTCATGCTCAACTACTGCGCNAGGCTATGTCAGCGACTTTAGTTCGTTTACAGGTCTCCTAATTTCTGATACGGTTTCGTAAAGAAACCCGAGCATAGCCCCTTCCATAGCACGCTGTGCAAAAAATCCACGTTTCCAAGCCGTGTATCATGACGGGCATCTGTCTATAGGCACATTTATAAGGTGTAAAACAAAAAATAAGTTATCACAAAAACGCAGAACGGACGGCCAATGGGGCAACAGGGTTCAAGTGGAGGCTACGTACCGGAAAGCGCATCGTAGGACGTCCACCTACAAAGTGGACCGACGACCTCATAAAGGTAAGCAGAAAGGTGCTGGATGCAGGCCGCTACCAAGCGGTCATTATGAAAATCATTGGGGTACAGGCCGATGTTCAGCAGTGGACGTCCTATGGCTGAAATGATGATGATGATGATTATAAAATGTTGCTTTATTAAAATTCCTACGCTAAAAATTATCCATTTGTATTTAATGCCACTATGCAGTCCTAGTTTAACTATTACGAGAAAAACTAATTTTTGCAGTTTTCATACTAGTTGCTATTCAAGTAGCCATAAGATAAAAATAATACAGAATACATAAGCATGTGATACCTTTTCAGAATTTCAATTAACCAAGGAAGTTTTTAAGGTAATGGGCACAATGGTCTTCCTACAATTTTTTTACACGATGGCTGATCAAAAGTGCAAGATAATGAATTAATTTTTCCTTCTTCTCTGCAATTTCTTAAAATTTTCATACTTTTAAACTAGTTTGTTGAACTTTAATCTTTTCTTTTGATAGCCCAACTATCCCTTGTGATAAAGAAAAAAACTAGATTGAAAAGTATTCTCATTTGTAGAAATGGCATGAGAAAAAGTAATCGCAGGTGGCAATTTTCTAAAAATGCACAAAAACTTAAAAATCTTGAAAACGGTGATATTTTTACTGGGGTCAAAATTGGACGTTAGGGAGACCATGGCGAGGCCTACCGATGGCTACAGGGTTATCCATTGTTTTTGGGACACCCTGTATATATAAAAGAAAGTCGTGTTAGTTACACCACTTATAACTCAAGAACGGCTGAACCGATTTAGCTGAAAATTGTCAGGGAGGTAGTTGAGAGCCAGGAGAAGGACATAGGATACTTATCATCCCGTTCGAAATAAAAAAAGTCTGCTTATTTATTGCCATTAAGGCGGAACAAAGTTCGCCAGGTCAGCTAGTTTTTTACTATAAAATAAAAATGTCTGTTTACCGTTACAAAAGTTTTTGTTGCAAAATCCCGTGAGTGTTAACTTTACCAGGAAAACAGTGTCAAACATGTTTGTTTACAACAAAGATTAAAAAATCCGTCTACTCCAGGACCTCCTCCTCGGCGACCCGTCGAAAGCGAAGCAGAAGCTGGGCTGGGCGCCGCGCGTGTCCTTCGAGCAGCTGGTGCGCGACATGGTGACGGCCGACCTGGCGCTCATGCGGCGCGACCCCGAGGCGTAGGTCATACAGGTAGCGAGGCGGCTGGCGTGGCGGCCCTAGGTGCTAGGTAGTTACATTTTCGATCAGGAAATGCATACATGCATGGCCGTATTTATTTTAATAAAACAAACTGCATGAATTAATACACGTTAATGAAAAAAAAATAGGGAAAAAAGCAGGAGTGTTAATTAGTCCGTCAGTTAGCTTATCAAAAATTACTCGACACGTATTTTTCACTTTAATGAAAATGTAGAGATAAAGCGTGCCAAAGTTCTAAAGAAAAGGCCCGTGACGTTCGTGAGTGCGTAAAAGTGCAGCACTTTGTGACGTTGCGCGGAACTTCAACGCACTATAACTTTTTAATTATTTGTTTGATTGACAATTAAAAATATACATGTCCAATATTTTTTACATTAAAATTGACGGACTAAAAAATTTTTTTAAGGAAACTAGCCTTTTAATCTAGGGTGGGCAGATCCAAGTTTGCACGTTTGCCTCCTGTCACATAAAAAAAATAGGACTCGCGTATTGTACCCGGGCGCTGTTTTATTGGCTCAGGACACCGTTGTTCGGGTTTCATTGGGTAATCCCCAACCTTCTGGCGGGGAGAGTCCCACAACCCTGACGGCCAGCGGGTACGTGCAAAGCATTTCCCAACAAATAAAAAGGGGAGGAGCTAGTGCACTTTTTTTCGATTAGGTACGAAATGCATACTCAGTTTGCATATTGCATGCATTTTCACTATACCGGAGGGGAACCCCCGCTTTATCCTCCGATTATCTTGTCTTGCTTAACTGTAACCAAAGGTAAAATCCTCGTAGGGTGCCTGGGCCGCCACTGACTGAAGATTTGATTGCATGGTTATTTTAGTGCATAATCTTAAGAGCGTTGTCACATTTTTCATGCAGAAATCGAGAATTTGGCAGATTTCGAAATGATTTTAGTCATATAATTTATTGTTATAGCTTCTTTTGACTTATATCATCGTAATTATCATACGTTTTTACGGAATGTCTATTGACAAAATCTCGTTCAAATTGGATTTTTGCCTACGAAAACAGCGAATTTCGAAAGCCCGATTTCCAGGTAACTCGCGAAGGCACAACTTTGAACTAATATTACAACAAATTTATTTCTAAGTAAGAAGATAGAATGTATTCATTAGAATAAGCATACCCTGAAGAAGAAAGTGTATTGAGAAAATTTTGATGTTTAATTCATTAAAATGCATTTTTATCATGTCTAAGATAGTCAAAATTCGAGAAAATTACTGCAAGAAAACAGGTCACATCTCATAATCTAAAAGTCATTTGGCAACATAAATAATAGTACTATGTTTCTTCTTAAGTATAAAGTAGTTTATGTTGCCAAATGACTTTTAGATTATGAGATGTGACCTGTTTTCTTGCAGTAATTTTCTCGAATTTTGACTATCTTAGACATGATAAAAATGCATTTTAATGAATTAAACATCAAAATTTTCTCAATACACTTTCTTCTTTAGGGTATGCTTATTCTAATGAATACATTTTATCTTCTTACTTAGAAATAAATTTGTTGTAATATTAGTTCAAAGTTGTGCCTTCGCGAGTTACCTGGAAATCGGGCTTTCGAAATTCGCTGTTTTCGTAGGCAAAAATCCAATTTGAACGAGATTTTGTCAATAGACATTCCGTAAAAACGTATGATAATTACGATGATATAAGTCAAAAGAAGCTATAACAATAAATTATATGACTAAAATCATTTCGAAATCTGCCAAATTCTCGATTTCTGCATGAAAAATGTGACAACGCTCTTAAGATCCTATTATGTTTTCACGATTATAATAATTTCAATAATTTCACAATGCATGTAAAATTATTCAAATTAATGTTATTAAAATGTCTTGAATTAAAAAAAAAAGTTTTCATTCAAGATCAACGTTACATAAATGTTTGTTTTTTCAGATGCAAAAGGATGTTTGCAAACAGAGTCGACGTAGATGACGTCATACACAGCGTGGAGCGCAATGCACGGAGTATTTTTTAAGCAATTAGTGTAATGTTGAACGAGCCGAATGTAGGTTGATGAAATGTGTGCAATACCAGTGCGATATAGACCGAACATTTTTGTAAACTGATCGAATGTTCAAAGTTAAGTATTTATTAACATAACAGCTTTTATAAAAACTATTTATGTACTTATCCTATAAATATTATTGATTCATGATTTCTCTATTTTAATTTTGTTACATTAATGCAATGCTAAGTGCAATAGGATTGATTAAAATTTCTAATGTTAAACGTCGTGACGTGTCACGGTGTCTAATTTTTGTGCTGAGAGAAATATAAATTAACGCACAAGTTTATGTTTAAGATATTTTTGTGCCATTTATGAATTTTGTTCCACTTTGTATACAATCTATTTAAAGATTTCCACTTAATTACACTTGGAATCCGAATTAACTTTTAATTATGAAGTAAACTAAAATAATTAAGCTTAAATGTAAGCTATTTGCTCTAAATAGCTGTATCTTGGCTGCCACGTATATTTAGCTTATTGTTTTCAATTGTAAAAATGTATATTTAAAATATGCAGATATGGCAGTAAAATCTGGGTAAACGTATAGTAACGTAGTAAATCCGGCAAGAACGACCGGCTTCCCTTTATGTAATCAAACCCGCGTGGCTTGCAATGTGATTGGTACGGTCAGCAAAATAAGATAAAATATACATAATTGTAGACGTGGGAAAAATATACATCACACCTTTAGGAAGTGAGACTGACTCTTCTTTTCTAATGCAGATTCGTAATTTTTAGCTGGAATACTATGTAATGCCGACAGTGAGACCGAATAGTAAATTGTTCGCTACCTCAAATCAAAGTTAAATAAAAAGAAAAAGCCATTTTGCTGACGTTACCTAGCAGTTACGTTAAGTGCACATAATCCTCTTTTATACGTACTTATGTTGTTATGAGGTTGTGTAACTGTGTTCGTAGTACTACTACTGGTACTACTACTACTATGTATAGTGAAACATACTTTTTATGTGTCACTAAAAACTGTTTTTCTTGTGGTACCCAACAGGGTTCCGTCATGGGGTTAAATACGTTTTAAATGAATATTTTTTATTCCACCAGTGAGAGATTTTTCGAAAAACAGGCTTCCTTGTCTCGGTCAATAACATACGTTTACTTTTCTGTTTTATTTAAACGAGGCTCGATTAATTTAACAGATTTTTTGTTAAATGAGAGTTAAGTATTTTTTGTGTGTAACTTAGGTTATGTAAATTATTGTAAGAGCCTCTCTTAGTCACAATTTTATTTTTATCCTCTTTATGTATTATTATAAAAAAATAAGAATGTAACTATTTCATCTTAATGCATTTATGTTAATTATTGTTGTTAAATTATCGTAATTCACGTCTTTTACTATGGGATTTTTAACATTCCACTCTACTGTGAATCAATAGATATAAATGTGGGTTTGTAAATATATATTTTTAATGTCGAAGCTTGTGTGTGTTTTATTTATTACTGGCTTTTTCGCGCGGTTTCGCCTGCGTGATTTTGTTGTTACAGAGAAAACGCGCGCGTCCCTGTTTCAAAAACCGAATTAAAAACCATCCTATGTTATTTCCAGGATTCCCTATCTCTTTAACAAAAAGCGTAAATTTAAAATTTAATGGGAACACCACAAGTGAAACAATAGATTTAAAAATCAAGTCTTTTATTTTATGTTTATCGATCACAGAACGATAAAAGTTTTCAAAGAAAAGTTGTATTACTGTCATGAACACAATCACTAATTTACACAATAATATAGGTCTTAAAACTGAAGAATTCTGTCCAACTATGATATTTTTTATTAAAAAAATATGTAAAATTACACTTTTCATGTTGCGAAATATTAGAAACTAATTATCGTAATATCATTCATTATCTCAAAATAAGCATTAGGTAGTTACAATTATTAAAAAAATGACAAATTTATATTTCAAATAAAATGATAAAGACCTGAATCCTGATAATATGGAGTAGATTTGAATAAAAACATTAATTGAATCATTAAAATACCAATTGAATTACATCATCATTTTGAAGAACATCAAATTAAAACGGGCCATACAGGAATTTCAATTAAAAAGTAAAGTAGTACCCATAGAATACTAATGTGATATAAATTAACAATTGCGTAATAGATATCATTATAAAATTATAACATAATACACACACAGTATAAAAATAAAGGTATTTGGTACATATTTACATTTACAACATACATAAATAACAAGTTTTAAGTAGTCACCACCTACACAAAGTTCCGTTAACAGTTAAAAAAGTACAAAAGAAAACAAAATAATAGTTGCTCAAACAGAGGAATGCCCTTATTATCTCTAAAACAATAAATTTACAACTAAAGCTATCGTAACCATTAGAAACTAAGGCTTACAAAAAAATGTACTTCTAAAAGCATTAAGTTATTTAAAATATTGCTTCAGAATTCACTGGAAAAGGTGGGTAGTTCATAAAAGACTAGGTCTGCGATGAATAACAATCATTACAGATTCTGTGGAGGGTAGACGGAAAACATGGTCGATCTTTATTAAAGCTTTAAATTTAATGGACTTAATTTTACAATCTGGTGTTAGTTTCCTTTCTAGTGTAGTGAAGTGATAAATAAAAAAAATACGAGCGAGTTGTAGTGTGAACAACTCGACCCGATTGTGTTTTGAAATCTACTTACTAGTACTCGTCCCACAGAATAACGAAAAAACAATGGAACTGCAGGTACACTATATCAGAACTAATAACGCTGGTCACTGGCAGAAATAAACTTCCCAGAGAGGTTTGGTTGCCGCTTAGTATATAAAAAACAATCGATACATGGTAACAGATATAACAATTTCAAGCAATGTTTCCATCAAATGTAATATTGCCTCTAATTTGTACATTAATTAAGGCCTTACTGCCACTGGGTTTTGAACCGTGACTTACTTAATTCAGAGTTTATTGTTTGTGATGTCTGCCCTCTGCCGTAAGACTCCTCCGAGTATGAACTCTGTGGAGACGATGGTAGCGCCGCTTCGCCTGAGTGCGGGCCATAACGCCTTGTCTGCATTACATGACACGCATATCCATTGCGGGCCTTGTTCCTTCCACGTACCACCGGAACATTCCACTATTACTGTGAAAATAAGAAATTGATTATGAAATACACATTCATTTGTACAGCTTAGGTATTCTGTGGTTATTGGGCCTTTGGAAAGCTAAATTCAAGTTACAATGTAATTAACCCTAGTCTGTCTATGCCTTGGAACAATAAAGTTGTCGTCTTTACCAGCCTATCCTATTCTATTTCTAGTGTTCATCACAAAAGTGTCAGAATATTGTACAGTTCCAGTTACCCATTTCCATTTTTTCTCTCGCTCTCATCAAATGGTGATTCTTTGCGATAGAACGAGACGACATGACCGAAAATGGTAGCTGGAACTGTGGCCCAGTACTTTGAAAATAGCAATCAGACTTTTACATTTTAAGGGTGGTAACCTCAAGAGTTTGATGTGTATGGAGAAAAAAAGTTTGGATATTTTACTCTTATAAAATTATAGGTAACGTAATTATTTTTATTACTTACATTTCATCTCCTCAGTACAAGGCATCACTTTGGGAGTGGAAGACAAATTAAAACCTTTTAGGAAGTTGCGGCTTCCTACCAAAGTTTTCTGTAAACTGAACTGAAACCTCTTTTCAGCCACCTCATCCTTTAAAATGTACAACCAAGGATCTGTAAGCCAAATATTTTTTATTATCTTTACTGCAAATATAATCTTAAATCATAAGTAGCATTTAACCATAAGAAATGAATTGTATAATTTATTACCATTTACCAATAATACCAAAGCACAACTTGTCAAAAAATTGTATTCAGCCTAATAATGATGGTGTAATAATTTCTTAACTGGAAATCTCAAATGGAATAAAGCAGTAAACATCACTTCAAATTCAACTAAAAATGAAACTTCTTGACACTGGCCAAATGAGAACTATATTTAACTGGAAAAATGTGCAAGCCCAAGGAGCAATATTAAAAAAAGTATAACTTACCAACAATGGCGCCAGAATCTACGCAGGCCTGCACCCAGTCGGGGCCCACTACAGGTCTTCCCAGCCCAACTGCGCACAGCAGTTTGAACGTGCGCCGTATCGATAGCGTCAGCACCACGCTGCACGCGCTCACGTCTGATACTACTACTGCTCCTGAAAAAGTCACAGCATTGGACAACTGCTCTTATAGCCAACTCAACTTACTACTATTTTTAGGTCGCACAGCGAAAGTTAAGGTGAAGAAAATATGCACACTGATGTAATTATTTTATTAGGTACAAAACACAACATATTCAAGTTCAAATATCAAATACACTAGCTATCTCGCTCTTGCTAAATGTGTAAAAGAGAGACAGAAAGTACTTTTCAATCTGACTGTGAGATAGATTTGTTTTATTTTCACAGAGCAGGGATCGACTTTGATTTTACAAGCTTTTTTTTCGGTTATGGTTTAGGGCAGCAGTTACATTACAAATATCTATCAAGATGGACAAATTATCAATTAAATCTTACCCAAGTTCTCCAGTTTGGCCTTAACTTCTTCACTTGGAAACGCAGTGAACAAGACGTACTGCGTTTTGTTCATCCTCGCTGGTGTAGCTCTCGAGTTAGCCGCAGACCTGGTTCGCTTAGGGCTCGGAGGATCCAAGTTATCTGGAGCTGAGCGTTTCACGTTCATCGGCGAGTCCACACCAGACTCCGACGACAAACTATAAATCGTGCTTTGCTCGGCTTTTACAGGACGCCCATGCTTTGGCGGTCTCCCCCTCCTCGCTACAGGTTTCAAACTTTTATCAATATCAGTTTTATCTAATGATTTGTCATCAACTTTTTCCACTTTTTCCTTAGTTTCCTTCTTTTCGTTAGGCTTCTGTCGTCTACTTCGCCTAACTTCAACTGGTTCGTCCGTTAGATCGATTTCAATCGTTTTCAAATTCTGTTTTCTACTTGGTTTACTCTTTTTCTCACTTTGACTGTCATTGTCGTTAACAGAACACTTATCTTTTGATTCGTCAACTTTACGTTTATTCCTTGTACTACGTGTACTTACAGAACTGGTATTGGTTTCAATGGACACATTTGTAATTTGGCTGACACTTGCATCTTTCGGAGAAACGGCACTAGTTGTGTTTGCATCAGTGACACACTTTTTGTCGTTTTTACTTCTTCGATTTGACCCTTTCTTTTTAACTTCGTCTATTTTTTTATCATTACCAGACTTTTCTTTATGTTTACTTGTCTCATGTAATGGTTCTACAGCAATATCATCATCTTTGCTACATGCTTTGTCAGTTTTTGGACTTTTTTTGTCATTCTTATGGTTTTTGGTAATTTCTAAATATTTGTCAATTTTATTTGTGTTATTTGAGTCCTTTTCTTTAATTTTACTTTCAGTTTTTGCTTTGCTCACTTTTTGATCTAAAATCTTACTCTTTGTTTCTCGTCCTGAATCTTTGTTTGCCTCTTTATTCTTAGATTTTTCACTTTTACTTTTGAGTCTGGATATATTTTCTGTAATTATGTCTTTATCAATTTCTTCTTCCTGCTCTGTCAAATATTTAGGTTTTAGTATGTTTCTGGACAATGTATTAGTTTCATCGTTTTGATATTTATTTGTGGGTTTACGGACACGTGTTATTACTCTAGTAGGCAAAGATTCAGCTGCAAACATTTTCGTCAAATCGATTTTAGCATCAACTTTAGGTTTTTTCTTTTTACGAAACAAAATGGGAGTGCATTCTTCGGAATCATTTTCTACCTCGGACTCGCTTGATGATTCTGTTACGGGTGTCCTTGAGTGCATTGATACGCCAGTTTTTATTTCTTGACTATTCGGTAAATCAATATCCATAAATCTTATTGGACGAATTTTTTTTGGAGTTAGTTCTAAATCGGAAGAATCACTTGGCACGCGTTTTATTTTGTCCACCGATTCTACACCTATCACTTCCCGTATCTGTTGACTTGACAATTTGGAAACGAAATTATTAACATTTTCATCTCCGTCGCTACTGTCGAAAGATCTATTTAGATTCTTTCTTGGAGACAAATTGTTTTCAAGATGTGGAAAACGCTTGCCTACTGCATATTCTTCAACTGAACTAGGTAGGAAGTCATCATCAGGAATTTTTGATGGCCCTGTAGCTTTATTTTTATTATGAGGCGAGATATCAGCTGGTTGAGTACATAAGTCTTCAAGTATATCTTGTGTTGCTGCATAGTAATTATCATCATCTGGTATAACAATGGATTCCATTTTATTTTCATCTAGGGTAGTTTTAGGTGTTACAACTTTAATATTTTTTCTCTTGGCCTTTAGGGGCGACATCAGAGGAATTTTAAATGGACTGACAAAATCTTCAGCTACATTATTTGGAGTTGGTTTGTTACTTATTACTTGAGTTGGTAAATCTTCAAAACTGTTATCTTTGGGTGGGATTGGCTTATCTGCAATAATCACATCTTCATTTTCATCAACGATAATTTGAGTCGGCAATTCTTCAAAACTAACTTGACTTGTATTTGGTTTATTTGAAGTGCTCGGGGTTTCATCCTCTGGCACAATCACTTGAGTAAGCATATCTTCAAAATTCTCATTTTGATTAGTTTTATTGGCAGTGTTATCTTCACAAATGACTTGTGTTAGCATGTCTTCAAAACTATTATTATTTACTTTTTCTTTGAGTTCTTTAGTAGGCTTTTTTGGCACATCATCAAATAAATCTTCGCAATCTGTTACATCTTCATCATCTCCTTGCTTTTCTGTGTGTTTTGGTGGCACCATATCAACATCTTCACAATCTGTTGAGCTATCTGACTCAATAATCACTGGTTTCTTCACTTTATTTACATGTGTCTCCATTTTATTTGCAGTATTATCAGATTTCTTTTCATCACTAGTACATTTCTCAAGGTCCAATATTTTTTCTGTAGGCAGTAATGCTTGTGATTCAAAATTGTTATCAAAATCATCACATTCCATTTCTTCAAATAGAATTTCTTCACCTGATGCATTAATTTTATTTGGACTTTTGTCACCCAGTTCTGTTTTCTTATTAATTTTGTTGGGTACCACTTCTTGGGCACAGACTTGGGTTTCGGCATCAAAGATGCTATCATTATTATTTTGTTTATTGCTGGAGGAATACAAATCAATTTGCATGTCCTGCTGATTGTTTATTTTGCACACTTCGGGCAGATGTGTCGAAGGAGGTAGTTGCGTATTTATGTTATGGATAGATGGGGATGTAGATGGTGCCTGCGTATTCTCTGTGTGAATCGAAGTGGGTGCTTGTGTGCATGCATTGTGGATAGAGTTGAAATCTTGGGTATTTTCAACATGTATGGAGCTCGGAATCTGTGTATTTTCAGTGTATATGGAGCTTGGAACCTGTGTATTTTCAGTGTAAATAGAGTTTGGAACCTGTTTATTTGGTGTATGAACTGCCGGGACTTGTGTATCAGCAGTGTAAATAGAATCTGTACTTTCATCTGCTGCAAGTGGTACAGGTGGTTGAGTTTCCATTTCAAAGATACTTTTTTCGCTGCTCTGTTTACCAGTTTTATTAGAAAGTGTTGAATCATTCAGGCTGTCAGAATCATTGAATTGTGAATTGAGCGAAAGTGATCTTTTTGATGAACTCCAGTAAACATTGTCAATTTTATTTGTTCCTATTGGTTGTATGGATATTACTTTGGACGATGGCTTCACAAAGTGACTATTGGAATTTCTAAAACATTTATCTCTCTTCGGTTGTGATGGTACAATGAAAGACTCATCCTGTAAATAATAAAAAAAAAGCTTAAAAAATTGCTTTTAAAAATAATTCAATTCAAGCAATGCTGTTGGTATTCATTACTTTTGCTTTAATATTTTCTTATGATTATGACAATGTAGATCTAACTGAAATTATGTTAGTCTTGATTGATACTAGAAATAATAAAATTTAATTACCTTGTCACTAACATCTGGAGACTCAGGAATAGTAGTAACTGGAATTCTGTTTGCCTTGGAAATGTGTTTGTTTGAAACTGGTGTCTCTGGAATTTGAGTTTCAGGCATGTCAATAGCTTGAGTCATTGGCAAGTCAGTATCTTCCTCCAGTAATCGAAAAACACCAAATATATCTCCAAATTGGACCATATCTCCATTCTTCAGAGGATGAGGTATATACGGTGGTAGAGTTTTCTGTAATTAAGACAATTACATTTATAAAAAAAAAATCAACAAATTATAACACCAAAAATGTAAGTTATTTTTCGCCTAACTCAATTTTTTTTATAATCAAGCATACTTACATCCATTAATTTTGTTTTATTAGCTGAATCTAGATCCATGAGCATATATTCTGTTTGGTTTAGCACATTGATTACAGCATGTTGTCTGGAAATTGACTGTAATAAAGAGAAATAAGTAGAAACTTAGTTATGAAAATTAAAAAGAATAAACAACATATTGGTGTGCCTCTTGTAAATGAATTTGGTGAATATCACACATATTTGCATTGGTTGAAAGATTCTGATAAAAGATACATCAATATTTGACAAAATTTGAGAATAATGGTAGGTAAATAACTATGTTTTAGATACAGAAAAGTAAAGGTCAGAGGGGGTAATGAAACACATTGCAAGCTTAATGTTTACATTGTTCGAAAGAATAATTTAAGGGATTCACTTCATTAAGAATTTTCAAATGTTGTGGCCATTATTACTTACATTCAAATTCAACACAATACTGCATGTTTGAGGATCCCTTCCAATTTTGTTTGGCCCACGTTTCACCGGATGCTTTACTCCACATATCCCAAGAAAACCGATCTAAAACAAATTAGATGAAATGGAAGTATTTATCAAGCTTCCTATGAAAGCAGATAATGTTGATTATTTTAAATTCCTAACCTGTTCTGGGCAAATTCTTTCAGGCCGTGCATCGTATAAATCTTGCGTGCACTCGAGCCGTTGCGTACACTCCATTCTTTATTATTACAACACCGATGGTTATTATACGTAATTCACTGTACATTTACTAAAAAAACACAACTTGTACCATAACAACGCACAAACAAACATCCACCATATTGACAAATTATGTGACACATTTTTTTTTCAGTAACTGAGCAACAGATTAGATAGCTATGCCATAGATCTTATCTTACAAGAGTTGGCGCACAATTCATCGTATCTATTTCGTATCGTTGTCTGCTTCTAAAAGACGTAATAAAACTAAATATACAAACAAAAAAGGATCATTATTCATCTTATACGTTAGTTGGGTCTCCAGCGAGTGTTTCACCTTACACAAACAACAAAAACATGTCAATATTGATCAACAAAACATAACGATACGATGTAATGCAAAAAGTCTTCTCCATTCTTTAGTTAGTCTTTGCAGATGTTTTAATCTGTGCATGCATAAAAAAAAAAAAAAAAAAAGTGATGTAAAAAAAAATGGCTGTCTGTCAAAAAAATTTATGGTTCCCGAAGTGATTGTTGGAAGTTTGTTTGATAAAATTTTAGATTTTACAGCAAATATTGTGTTTTCGTTAATATTTTGGATGATAGAATTGAATAGGGTTGAAATTATTATATTTTTGTTAGTATTTTAGTTTATGCGTAACGTACTTACTTTGCAATTGCTGTAAACCTGCCTCATGGAGTCTCAGAAAGACCGTGTTTCCGACGGGGGTGAACCCGAACCCGAGGATATTCCAAGTGATTTTTTTGATGATTTTGGCAAAGAAGATTTCATGGAAGGTCTTAGTGTAATAGATAGTTGGGATGACGACGACAATTCGAGACGTAGAATCAATGCAGAAGCTGTGGATAGTGTAAAGGACCTTCGTGAGCTGATCGATGGAGGTGAGGAGAGGCAACGAAGAAGCGACGAGGATAAGTATCGCAAGAGAAGTGATGACAAAAGCAGAAAGCCGACTGACCCTTACAAATGGGTGAAACCTGACCATTCTCAGGAAAACCGGCGGTCTGAAGAAGATAGCAAGCTGGATGACTTTATCAGACCTGGCAGTCGACGCGATCCCAACAAGACCAACGAGGCAATCAAAAAGGATAAAGAAGTAAAAGTCAAGGAACTTTTAGCCAAGCAGCTCGAATCTTCCAATGATGAACTGCGTCCCCCTGGTACCGAACTTGATGATTACTACAGTGAAAACAAACGCCCTGAAAAAAAGAAGTCTCCAATGCTTGCAGAGTCGCACCCACCACCCGCAAAACGCCGATCAAGATCAAGAGAGCATCGAGATCGACCCCCACGTGACCGCGAGTCTCCCGGGAAACGACGCCGAAGCCCGCGCCGGAGCCCGCGACGTAGCCCGCCCGCTCGCTGGAGCCCGCGTCGTAATTTCCGACATTTCAGCCCTCAGCGGAAGTTCAGAAGATTTAGCCCAACCTCACGGCGAAGTCCACGAAGGTTTAGTCCGGGTCGTCGAAGCCCCCGCCGCAGCCCGCGTCGTTATCGTCGATCAAGATCGCCATATAAACGGCTCAGTCCCCGACGTTCAAACTCCCCTAGGACAAGAGATACCTTTTTGTATCCTAATGTAGATTATCCAGTAGGTATGCCTTACACTGAGCCAGAATCACCCTACGTTGGTTCCGGTGAATATTCAGGTTATTCATATCCACAAGGTCCCCATTTTATGGGGGGCTATAGTGCTCCAGGTTATGATTACACAGCCCAGCCGCAGGTGCCCGTGATGCCTCAGCCGCAGCCCGTGCCGCCGCCACTCATGGGCACTCCTGTGCCGGCGCCTGCTGCAGTGAACCCACCGCCAGCCATGGTTCCTGCACCCTCCCAGATGGTGTCACCTGTATCAACAAATCAAGCTTTCCCAAAAAATGAAACTCAAACACCGTTTGATGCATTGGCACAAGTAAATATAAGCAGTGATATCTTTTCTATTAATTTTTATAGTGCACCTGTAATTTTAGTCATTTAATAAAATTGTGTTTCAGTTAGTGGCAGATGGGAAGCTTTCTAAAGAAGATTACTTGAAGCTAGCTCCTAACAAGAAAGGTGAGGCGAGGCCAAAAATATTTTGTATTCTCTTGAGATGTTTTATGTAAATTAATTATAATTATACATAGCACCTAGAATGAGTAAAATTTTCAATGTAATAAATCTTTGACAGTAATTTTTGCTAATATTATTAGTTCAGTATGTGTGTTTTTAATGTAAGCTTAGCTGTTGATTGATTTTCGTTGATATTTTTATAGTCATTTAAAAATGTTAATATTTATTACAGGTTGTCCCCCTTCAATGGATACCAAGGCTAGGGTTATGGGTTAGTATTTTTTTATTTAAATTATAGTACATAACGTAATTGGTATTTCTTTTTATTTTACACATGTCATTTGGCTACTAGTGGTGGTCGCAGTCGCAGCAAAGCTATAATCGGTGCTTCAGTGAAGCCACTAGTTGCCGCGTCGAGTGACGTATTTTTTTAATATTGTGTCTAATCGATGTTATCACAGCGTTCGAGTGGCTGTGTCGAGACTGTCACTGTGGAAACTTTAAAAATCGCCGCATTTGCTTCCCACCTCACTGGAATATAGTCGAGAAGACTCACCAGACTCACCAGCCAGTCTTGCATACCCCTAACCAGTTAGTGGTAAAGTGACTGGTGGATGTGTACAGAAAACACTCGTTGAGGCGCGGATTAACGGACTAATGAAATTATAACGAAAGTTAATAACTCCGTTAATAATTTCAAAGTTATCTCAAACGTTGATCCGTAAATTCATACACACCACGTTCCCGTGTCGTCATCGTCGTCACTAGACTTCTCGAATGACAAAGAAAAGTAATACATATTTCAATAATTAAATTGAATGATGTTGTATATTTGAGAGATAAGCTTGTGCTTTTGATTGTGAATTTACTTTAATGTATGACTTGCTGTCGAGGACGCCCTCGCCGAGTTATCGACTAATAGAAATGTGCCATTTTACACAGTGAATACATGTTGTCTCCATCTATGGAAGTGGACAGACTTTATTTTTAGAAATAAATTATTTTTTGCGTGAAGCTAGTGGGATCCTGGTGAAATGATAGGCTTATTAGACGTCATATACCTTCTTATTTAACTTCAGATTAAAGTTCTTTTTTTATTATTGTTACTTTAAAAATAAAGATTGTTAAATTTCAGGAACTTTAGATTTTATATTGTTAAAATATTAATCTGGAATATATTATATTTCTCGTTTTTAAGATTATTTTATTAATTTTTTGCAGTGTTGGGTCGCTGCAATCAGGCATTGTCAAAACTGTCGAAGTTGCTTTTACCAAACCGTTTGGTAATGCTCCACAATATCATTGGTCCAGAACCGAAGTTTTTGACGCCTAAATATTGTTCCCCGCTGAAGAGGCAAGTCCCCGTGGAGTTCCAGTTTACGAAGACCTACGGCAAGACTTCGCAGCAGAACAAACAGCTGGTCGACAGCATCATTGCAACGATCGGTTTGGACAAAGTGGTGGCAAGACCGAAGAAGAAAATAGCTAAGGACATGAAGGATGCTGCCGTGCAGACTACGAAGCCGTATTGTGACGTCTGTGATATTCGCGAATCTACGAAGCGTCATGACATTGGCACGGCGGTCGAAGCGGAACACTTCTCGGCGTCCATCCACACTCAAGTCGTTGAACAGGATCTAATCAATTCGAAGTCAATCTTCAATCCGACTGGGAGCGCTGCTGATACTGCACCTATTTCGATAGCTCACATGACGCCGGCGCAACTGGTGTCGCAGCTGGCTGCTCGGGCGAAGACTCTGAAGCAGACGAATGACCCTCCTCCGGCCATCAACCAGTTCGGCAGGAGGAATCCTCCATACGATAATAGAGGTCCATATCACAACAATTATGACAACTATAATTACCGTTATTAAAGGTAAAACATTGCGTGCACGCAATGTGATTTTATACTGGTCACAAAGTATCATGAATAAAGTTAGGGCGCGTGGCATGTTTTGTTTTATTTTCATAGTACTTATTAAAAAGTTAGTTTTATTCAACTCATTGTAATGTAAAAATGAAATATTGTACCTACATACTACATACTTACATAGTATATCTACAACAATTTGTTTTGTATGTACAGATAGTTTTAGTAAGCTTTTTATTATATGATCATGCATTATGTGTAGTGATAGTAAAAAAAATTTAACATTATGAAGCTGAAAATTTCTACCTGAATTTGTAGCTGTTGTAAAAAAAGCCTGCTCGAGACTTAGTGCAATAAGCGAAGGCAGCTGTTCCCGTTATCAGCAGAAGATGCGACCAGAAGCTTTCAGACAGCGATGTGCAGCGGAAATGCAGCAATGAAGATATTGATCACGCCAGACGTCGTTATTTATAAGTCGTTAGTTTTATCAACCCTTCTGTTAACAATAACATAATATGCCTATATCGAGCGCAATGTTTGATTTAGCTGCGCTTACCACTGCGCTGCACATTGCAAGGCTGTGGTAAAAGTTCTAATGTGTTTTGTACACTTATATAATTGTGTAAAATGTTCAAATGAACTAAATACTCGTTTGTGACTGCGTTGTATGGAAACACATGATGCAGCAAGGTTACGCATTCCAATGAAGAGGTCGAAGCTTAGCAGTGAACCAAACCACCCAGCAAATTGGTAAATGTCGGCTCTCTGATCAGAAATACATGGAGTTCCTATTTTTTGCATTTTAACCGCGCTTAACTTGTCCGCCTCATGTCACGTTTCTCCCTTCTTCGATATAACTTCTTTGCAGAACGAATAACAGAATGTCTACTATCTACAGAATTTGGAACTTGTGCTTTCTTGAATTGTGCTGGTTGTAAAAAAAATACGTTGTAACTACAATGTGTGAGAAAAACATTATCTTCAGTGCATGTGGTGTGTCTTATTTGCTAACAAGTGTAAAAGAACAATATTAGTGCAGTACCTACATAGTAATGTAATGATGTTACTATACTTATTGATGGTCTAATGCCTATCTATTGATACAATAAATTAGTATGTTTTTAAATGTTTGTTTTATTTCAAACTGCAAATTTTATGTGACACTGGATGTGGCCTACCTACACAGGCAGGGTAGCAGATGTAATAAGCAGAACACAATTTATTACTTCATAGTTTATTGTTGGTGTACCTACATATTGTAGAAGTAGTTAAAGGTGGTGGTGGTGGTGAACAGATATAAAAAAACCGGCCAAGTGCGAGTCGGGCTCGCGCACAAAGGGTTCCGTAGCAGCAAATATAATAAACTTATTATGTCAATTTAATCAACCTATCTCAAAAACTATAAGAGATACTTTGATCAAACCAAAAATCGTTGAAAGAGTTAATTAGCATGCATCACCTCTATTTTTTTTAGAATTTTATACCCCGTAGTTATAAAAATAGAGGGGGGGGGACATACTTTTTACGACTTTGAGAGCTGATATCTCAAAAACCGTTCACTTTAAGAAAAATGTTTTTTAGAAAACTTTATATCATTTTAAAAGACCTTTCCATTGATACCCCACACGGGTATGTACATCGAAAAAAAATTTTCATCCCTCAGTTACATGTATGGGGGGCCCCACCCCCAATTCTTTTTTTTACTATTTAGTGTCATAATTTTGTAGCGGTTCATACAACACATATTCCCATCAAATTTCATCACTGTAGTACTTATAGTTTCCGAGTAAATCGGCTGTGACAGACGGACAGACGGACAGACGGACAGACGGACAGACGGACAGACGGACAGACGGACAGACGGACATGACGAAACTATAAGGGTTCCGTTTTTGCCATTTTGGCTACGGAACCCTAAAAATGATTGATAGCTTGTGTAACCTACATGAAATAAATAAAACGATCAATCTGTTCTCTGTATATACCTAGACTGTAATATGCGAGATTATTTAAGCAGTGGCCGTTATAGTCATTTTAACCGTCCAAAAAATCGTCTAACCATTTTTCTAGGTCTTCTGGAGATTCTATGACGACATTTTTTGATTCTTCTTGTTTTGGTTTTCGATTTTCAGCAACAATAACTGGAAAAAATCATATAAAGTAGGTAAGTATCAATGCCAGCCGGGCGACAGTTGAAACTGGGGCGCCAAATGGAAAAACGCCCCCGTTCAAAGCTGAACTTTTTGAACTTACGAAACAACAAATTGGCACAACACATGATCCTTTCTCTAACGCTGGGAGGGGGCAAAAATAAATTAATTGAATCAGATAGAAGAAGTTCCGTGTCTGTATTAATTGATGGCAGAAGAAATAAAATTCATAAAACTTACCATCTTCCATATCTTTTATGTCTGGAATTTCAATAGTTTTTAGTTCCAGGTCTTGAGGATTTTTGATTTGGTCACCCGAAATTAAATCATCTAAACTATCTAGATCTTTACTATTTTGTAGTTTTTTTACTGGCAGTACTGTAGCTTTCAATGGTTCAGACTCGAATTCTGGTTGATTTTTATCAGGAACCTTTGCTTTATTTATGCTTGAGCTATCTATAGTGGCACTTGGTAGATCCAGAATTTGTTCAGTGAGTGTTTCATTAGCCACATTAATATGGTCCTTTTGTTCTACTGAATTTTCTTCTGTCTCTTCATACTTTAATTCAATGCTATCTACTTTCTCTTTGTTTCCCATGAGGCTACTGAGAATCTTGTCCTGAACTTGTAACTCTGGAGTTGTAAATGATTTGTCATTGTAATATTTTTGTTTAAATCTTGTAGCTCTGTTATTCATATTCAACATATCTGTCTCACTAAAGATTGATTTGTCTATGTTGATGCGTTCATAAAATGGTATTGTTGAGATACTGAGTGCTAAATTATCCATATTTATTTCAAAATATTTGTCATAAGGAGAAGGACCAGTGTCAGTGTCCCAAGATTTTTCATGTTTGAATTGGAAGTGCCCACCAACAGATAGAGGTGCTTCAATAAGTTTCTGAAAATTAAACAAAAACAAATATTTTAGACATACAACTTACAAAAACTGCTCTCAATTGACAAGAGCCAGGACTCCCAATACAGATTATTCCTTTTCTGATGATAAAAATATTTATTTAATAATTTTTTTTTTGTTGTGATAATGTTTTGTAAGTGGTTACTACTGAATAAAATCTCAAGTTCACCTCATAATCAGCTCCCATATTTTCTTGCTCTTCAATCTCATCATAACTTTCAATGGGCATTTCATACTTGGCCCAGTTGCTCTGAATTTCTTTTTTCTTGTACTTTGAGTTGGCTTCTTCTGTGATCTTTAGGATCTCATCTGTTTCTCGTTTTAAGTTTTTGTAGAATTCTGGCCCAGGCTCCTCGTAAACAGGCTTTTGTGGTACTGGAACTGAATGCATAATAATCATAAATACACAGCTAGTGATAAGAGTGAAGGACTCACATTTTGGAATATTGCTTGCTAACAATATTTTATTGATTTATGCAAGTATTAATATCTTTAGATTCATCTTGTAGATTCTGGTGCACTTTATATCTTACACAAACTCCTTACAATTTCGGTTAAGTAAATGTAAAGGTTTTCTGGAAGTGTATATTGAATCTTGTAGGTAACCTTACTTAGTGGAAAAACAACTAACCTTTCGGTTCAGCAGCTGTATCGTGTTTTTTTTCCTTTCCTTCCTTTTCCTTTCCTCCTTGATGTCGGCCGTGCCGGGGTTTTCTTTGCTCCTTGGCATCATTTCGACCTTTGGGCCTGGAAATTAAATAAAAAAACAATGTTTTACACGGCACGAATTTGGAAGTTTTACAGAAAATTACCGTATTCTAAGATGTTTTTAACCGTATTATTATTGGGGGATTTTTACTTACTGATTTTTCTTTGATTCTTCTGGCATGATGTGGTAATGTGAATAGTAAATTTTGCTCAATAATCAAAAAATATTGCTTGTTTTACTGAAACAGAGCCCCGATTACGGTAACTTTTAACGTCTACAATCCAGACGCGTTTCTGATTCTGCAATACGATTGGTCAAAACAGCTGACGTACGCTGTTGAACGACCAATCGTATCGCAGAATCGAGAAGCGTGTCTGGATTGTTGACGTTAAAAATTACCGTAATCGGGGCTCAGCTGTGAGCTTTTGCATGCATTTCCCTAATTTGACATACCAATGACCAGTGTTGCCAGTCGGGTCTGGTCAGAAATTACCAGAAATATGAAAAAATGTAACCTTTTTGAATAAAAAGTAACCTTCATTCGTGGGAGCGATTGTTCATGGATGGAAAATGAAATACAATTGATCATCGATCGTTTACCTAAATTTAAAATTTTTACCATTCCATGAAGACCGAAAAGTGACCGGTCGCGGTCGTATAAAAACGTTTCATGGATTTGCGTTTCATTATCGAAAACATTCGCCAAATCTCATTTTTGTAACAAATAATAATCTAATTCATGTTTAAATGCAGTTTATGACATAATTTTTAAATTGTCACTATTAATATTTTTTACTGATTAACCTGTACAAGTTAATTCTACAATTTCTGAAAAATCACCTAAAAGTAACCTTTTCATTAGTGTAACCTAAAAGTAACCAATGCAGTTCAAAAGTAACCTAAAAGGTTACAAAAGTAACCTTCTGGCAACACTGCCAATGACATTGACAATTTGACGCTGTTGACAGTGACATTTGTTTGATATTTTTTAAATATTTTGCGACAGGCAAAGGCATTGTCCGAAACAGACATGGCTTAGAATTAGACTGAAAATCCTAAAATATTTACTTTTTCCCATTGTTTTCTAGCGTTTCAGCTCAGCCCATACTTACATTTTGGCGAGCGGTCTTGATGACTCACTTGGTCAATACGGCTGCAAACGCTGCGTGATGCCGAGCTGCCTGCCTGCCTGGTATGGACACATTTCACACATTGCAAGTGCATGCATGCTCATCGTGTCGACTAGTAACCAGTATCCTTTGGATAGCTCGTTTAAGCGCCTGTTGGAAAGTTAGCGCACTATTTCTTTGATATCTGAAAATAAATAACATTGCCGCAACGTTTTTGAATGATTTCAATTATCAGGTCGATTAGACGCATAGACGTTCTAAATTGCAACTGTATAATTTTAAGCTCTACTATTTTCTTTTTGTCGATTGTCAATGAAAAAGCGAGGGAGTAACAGTTATTTTACGGTCGTTTTGTTGATGTGTAGGCGGGTGCACGATGCAGCCGTGTGTAGGCGGTACTATGGGGCACCAGGTAGAGTAGGTACACTCGCCGAGTCCATTTGAGTCTACTCATTTTTACAAAACAATAGATGCAAAGTAGTTTAGAGTAAGTAGTACAAAAGTTTTGTATTCCATAGACGATGCGCTGGTATACTAGTACAACCACCTACTAATATTAAGGCTTTACCTGCATGTTTTTCTTCCTGATTTAGCTTAAGGGGGTCCTGCACAGAATCCTTAAAATTGTCATATTTTTAAATAACGAGTGCTCTGCGATTAGTGACTTAAATACATCAAAGTAACTTGTGTAGGGTAGCCCAATCCTTGATCTAGGTCGCCGCCTTTTCGAAATTTTGAATAAATACGTAAAAAATTGATAAACAACATTTAAAATGCAGACATATGGAAAATTTATTTCTTCGAGAACTTTGTTAATTTAACGTATGAAGCAATAATTTTTATATGGAAATGTTTAAATTAATATTTTGAAGGTCGCCCCCTTTTTCGTTTTTGGTATTAATGCATTAATATTGAGAATTTTTGATTTTCCCAAAAAAACTTTGCCGTGAAGAAATNGCACCCCCTTAACATTTATAAAAAAAAAATATAGTAAGTATTAGTACCCACCAATAAAAACCCTACTCTCATTTAGATTTCTCTGACCTACTGCAGAAAAGAGGGATAAATAATTTATTTATTGAGTGATAATTTCGTTTTGACTACTTAACAGTTTGATATTGTAAAATAATAAATAAATTGAAAAAATCAAACTGCCTTAGGCCGAGAATCGAACCCACGACTTTTCGCTTGCCGGGCGACTGCTCTTCGTTCGTTCATAGTTTGTTATTATAATAGCCTACCTAGGTATTCCTTTATTTTTGATGATCGTAAGCTAATAAAAGATGATATTATAGAAAAGTAGATGCTACGCCTATAATACCTAGATAGTAGATAGGTACGAAACTTGCATGCCGGTAGTTATGATTTATGGTGCAAAAATTTCGTATATCCGCAACTCTCGCTTCCCAATCTTAAATTCAATCAAAATCATACAGTAAGTACCTACTCGTAGTACGCCAAATTACAAAAATCTGCGCCTAAAGGGACCTTTGTGTGCTATGGATAAGCTGCGAAGTGCGAACAGCGCGGAGGGTCCCTATGCCCTAGGGTAGGGCAGTGCCGCGTGCCGCCGAAGGGTCTACTCTCGAATCCGCACAAAAACAATAATTGTGAATTATTGCGGGATACAGGGAACAAGGAAGAAGGCTGGTTTGAAGCGCGGGAGGGACGGCAGGGGTGACGCAGCACGCATGCGCAAGGGGCGGCTGCGCGCAGTCGCTACGCGCCCGTCCTCAAAACAACATGGCGCATCGCGTCCGTCAAGGACACGTTTGACAGCCCCCGCGGAAAAAATAACTCGAAGCCAGCTGTTCCCAAATAGTTGTATAAAATACGATACTATTTGAGTGCTTATTTGAATAAAAGTGCAGTGCTAACGTTGTGTGTGTGTTTATCAATTGGAATACCGGCGCCCGAACTCCCCGATTGTTTCCGTAAGGTATGTACAAAACAATAATAAAGAGTATGATTAAGATCTCTCATAATGGTTCATTCATTCGGATTCCTTATTATTACTAAACTAAACCAATGGTATGTGCAATTCCTAATGTTATGTTTATCAGTTTTTCGCAGACCTACCCCATTCGAAACCTCCGTGGGTCCCATTTGCAGCCACCGCACTGCACCCATAATATCATCTCACTTTCTTTCGAGCTTATCGAGAAGTCGTTGTTAGCGATACAATAATAAAATTCATGAAGAAAAACGTGTTACGCTACGATGCATGTAATGCTGAATCGAATGAAATTTTTCGTACCGCGTTCAATATATTTTGCTTGATCAGCATATTTATGAGTCGATGACCTGAAAAACATCGCTCTACGATTCAATCTAACAGGCGAGAACTTATAGGTTGTATAAATCAGATTCACTGTTTATTTACATTCCTATTTGTTTCGCCGGCGTTTTTACATTTTTATAATCTTGATTAATTTCGTCAAGATAGAGACAGAAAACAAATTTTGGTAACAATAGCGACACCCTTTGCTATTGTTACAAAAAAGGGACACCTACCCAAGTGTTGTATGCTGACGTTAACTGTAACGTTCTGACCTAAGGTATAAAAAGTTGGGCAAGAAGTGTGCAAGCTGTTATTTTTCGCTATAATCATTTCTCCAATGCAAAGTTAACTTGGTCAGTTGGATTAGGTTTTCGTCACCAATTTTCTGCTCTAACTGGACTCTCCAGGTAAACATAACAATCAAGTAATGTCCCTATAGGATAAAAGCAAATGCCTACATGTAATTTTAGCCAAGAGGAAAATAATGTCATTGATAGAGCGCCTATTATGTAGGCATACACTGAACGCTGAACAGTCGTTTCAGGGCACCTGCTGTTTGATTTTAAAACTCCATTGTTTTAGCTATCGTTGACTAGGCAAAACCATGATGTTATGAAATAAATTCTTAGTATTTCGAGCCTACGTTTATTCGTACCGTTTAGACGTATGTTTTTCATGTAGAGTCCTTGCATCAACTGGACAAGAAGCAAGATTCATCTACCATACTGAGTGTTTGTTGTTTACGCATTAGATGCGTCTTAAATGCTCTAATGGCATACGTGTCCTAGTTACTTGTTAAAGCGGTAGTAATTGACAGTGAACTACATTTGTCTAATTAGTGACATGCAAAGTGTGAAAAATGTAGATCTCTATGGGTATATTCAATGTTAATCACCACAGAGTCAATCATAGTCACACTGTTAGTTAAAAACCTTAATTTTTAACATCTTTGCCTGTCTTCACATTTTACAGTACTAAGAATAATTTCTAGGCAAACGGGCGACGTCATCTGTCTTTAAAAGGATGTTATATCTAAGGTTTTCTTTGCATAGGACATTTATAGGACTGGATGAATGCCAACAGACGCCAAGTCCTTACATAAGAATTTGCAATTGCAATAAACATTAGGCGACAACGCGAGATGAATGTAGAGTTAACTATGCCAAAATAAAGAGGTCAAACTCGACTTAATAAAAGGCACCCCTTTCCTACATGACATGGAGAAACGACGTTCCTTTGACATCATCCGCGTATTACGACAAAACACCTCAAGAAATCAATCAATTTCATGTTTCAGGTAATTTTCCTAATGAAACGTAAGTAAATGGCATTTAATCCTGACATGGCTTTATCAGCCCCTGAACCACACCGAAGTCGTTTCGGTCGGGTTCCCCACAAAATGGAATTCTTCGCGGCACGGGCACGGGCCGGTTCGCGAGGTCTTTGAACCTCAAATTCCCCCAAATGTTAAAATGCCGGGCTATATTTAGAACTGCACAGTGTTGGTCTGAATCGTGTGTGGTTTAGAATCTAGGATACATATCTTAAAGGAACTCGGTTTAGACATGAAGATTATACACATTGGCACTTTACGAATATTATTCTCCTTTGGTAGAGACGCCAAGCACGAACAAAAAATTAATGTGTCGTCCTAAGGTTCCGTTTTTTGTGGGCGTTCGGTCGATAACATAAAAAATGTTATAGCATTCTTTACTTATTGTGCACGTGCCTTTGATGTTATTCTAGCTAGAGTCTTTATTCTAGCAATCAATGAGTGTCATCATCGACGAAACAATTGTGCATTCAGTCTTCGTATCGGTTATTAATTTGACATATAAAATATGCGGGGGTTTATTTCCTAGCTAATAGTTGGATGCGACTTGCATTTTGAGTTCGTTGTTCGTTTCAGCCAAATGACGTCCACTGCTGGCCAAAGGCCTCCCCCAAGGCCTCCCCCAAGGCTTTCCTTTTTGGGCGCATTTTGGGCATCTTAAAAAAATTTAGTATAGTGGTCAACAGTAGCTTGCATTCTTCTATTGAATATGCC